AATTTCGGGTCGGCTACTGTTCGAACTGGGGGTTCATGCAAAGGCACCTGACAAGCGTTTGCAGTCAGCACACCAGACTCAGGGAGTATATACAACTTCAGTCAACAGATGGTCGCGAATATTCTGCTCTGAAGGTATGCATACATTGGCATGTTTTTGTCCCTATGTTGCTTCAGTAATTTGCCGAATATACGTGGTATGTCAGGCCACCTTGTTGCTTTCGCACACTCAATAAGTGTTGACTTGAGTTTGTACGTCCAAGATATTCTTGGATTGGATCTCTGTCTCCCCCAGGGGCAAGTCCAATCTCTAGTTTTGTTGGTTTGTATATCGGAAGGAGGCTGACTGGGCTGCAGAGTTGAACAATGTTTGTTTTTTCTTCTTGTCGTTCTGTAACGCAGTAGTTTCCCAGTTTTTGGGGGGTTGGCCCTAACTGGGTGATGTACGTTTAGTTCAGGAGAATAAATCCTCCCTATCTCGGCCCATCACGGACAACCGTACATCATCAGCCCCTTATTATTTTTATTGTTTTATTATTATTATCATTATTATTTTTATTATTATTATTATTATTATTATTATTATACAGATTAAAATAAATAAATGCAGCAAAGAGGGTTCGGTTGATATTTGCACAGTCAGGCTGGTTAGGCTTATTAGGCTTATTATCAGCTCAGGGCCCTAGCCCCCTCCAGACAGCGAATGTGACTACCACCACAGCAAAAAAAGTGTAGGTTTCCGTCTTCCGGAAACCTTCCGGATACCTACCCATTTTGGATCCGGCCCAGATACCTTCCGGAAACCTTCCAAAAAAAATGTCAAAATTTGGGGGGTGCATTTTGTTCACTTAAGTGTGAAACACATAAAAAAATATCTTGAAAATACCAAGAAATTTGAAGGTTGCTGAAGGCATCTGGTAGGTTTCCGGAAGGTTTCCGGAAGACGGAAACCTACACTTTTTTTGCTGTGCACTAAGTAGAACGTTTGGGAGAATGAGAAGCCTCAGAAGTGTCAGAAAGGTTGTGTTCCTGACAGCAAAACCGAGTTCTATCCCAATGGCAGTTGACATATTGTAAGGTACCAAGGCACCGGGAACAATGACCAGACGGACAACTCGGTACTTGGGATGCAAGCAGGACATTTTGTAATTATTACTGGGGTTATAGCGTTTGCTCATCCCACTAAAGTCCTGGATTCGATTCCCCACAAGAGTAAATGGCATGAAACACATTTCTGGTGTCCCCCCGTCGTCGTGATTTTGCCTAAATTTTCATAAAAGCGGAGTAGAATGCAGCCCACTCACTTACGCAGTACTTTATACAAGTAGTAAAGGGTGCGCCGTTTCATAAGAAGACTATTTCCTTAAGATATGACGCCGTGGGGAGCCGAATGTATCCCCTGGACTCCCAGACTAGCGTTCCTTAGACCAGCACACCACTAACATTGGCCCGACGGGTGGCTAGATGGCCTGATCATATCAATCGGCTGGTAAAGTCCTGCCCTGTGCATTAATTTTATTTGCACAAATTGTATTTCAGAATTATCTTTTCACTTCAGCCCTTCACCCAGTTTGGCTCATGAGCCAATCTGGTGGATTGCTTCATTTTCAATAATTCTGCTTGAGTATATCATCTCAGTATACTTTGTGCTGCCAGTTGGAGATCCACTGGTATTGTGCAGCGTCTTTATGACACTCGGTGGTGGAAGGTGAGCGGTGAGCTGGGATGGTGAATCATATACACAATATCCATGGAACAACCAAGAAAAAACAAACGTGCATTAGATTAAAAGCTCATTTCTGAAGAAGAGTAGTCTTTTTCATCTCCAGATAGTTGGAACATTTTATTTTACAGTTGTACAATCTATTGATGGTCTGCCTCTGAGACTCAATCCTTTTGCTATGTACTGCAAAATCCCCCTATGGCATTGTCTGTGATGTTTAAAGTTTTAGAAATTAGAAACGTTTTCCTCTGAATAGAATGCAAAACTCGAAAACCAACAATTCAACAATTCATTCTACCATGAATTTGGAATTTACTCGATTCTGATTTGTCAATCAGAGGCTATTAAATCACAATAAACCCCCTCTGATTGAAACAGCTGGTTTGACGGCCGCATCACCGCGGAAGCTAATATTCATAGAATAGTAGTTTTTTCAGTCATTGTCGGTAGGCATAATTAAATAATTATATCTACAATAACAGGTTACAAAATGCACAGATGCGGTTACTACAATATTCAAAGGATGTGTGGCAATACATTTCGTGCACAAAACATGATAGCAATCTACAAAGGGACTGTATTTATGTTTTGGAGACAACAGAGAGCTTGGAATTTTGGCGGTGTTTTATATACGACTATGACGTCATAAATTTTGCGTCACAATAAACAATATGACGTCATAATGGTGACGTGCGATGTAGAGCGAAAGCCTTGCAAAGCTTGCTTTGTTTTCTTTAGGGATTCCCAACTCATGTTAGCTTACCAAGTTGCCGTGCTTATATGCTTTCAATGCCTGTCATATGTTCGAGTGAAGTATTATGGAGTAAACAAACAGCTTGAGTATATACAGCGCCATATTGTGTTCGGTGATTCCGTAATTCAGATCGATCAGATCAAAACATTCGACTCAACTCATGCCGCTTCACTCAGTATATTTGCTAACACCAAAGAGTTCGCGTTTTATTTTGTCATGGTAGAATGGAGATAAACATACTGTGTTTTCAATGTAGAGCTAGGTTACCTGTAGATTTAACCGCGCTAAATTTAACATTTGTAACCTCACGCTGCGCGTTCGGTTCCAAATTCAATTTAGCGGGGTTAAATCTACAGGTAACCTAGCTCTACATTGAAAACACAGTATGTTTATCTCCTAAATCACCAACACTAACACCTATCTAATTACATTTGCACTTCACAAACTTCCAAAAGCAATCAAAGCAGAATATAGTAACATCGGGATGGACACATATTCCAAATCCATCCCATTGCTACACATGTAAACAATTCCGACATGGATCACAATCATGCACACAACCAAAAACACGCCAACGATGCGGTGAACAAAATCACGACAGCCTTGAATAGACTAACGACCGCAAATGTCTAAACTGCACTGGGGGTCATATGGCCTACTCCAAATTGTGTCCTGTATTTCCAACGGAACACAATATCATCAAAATCCAACCGGTAAAGAAAATCTCTTACCCTGATGCCAAGCGGTTATTACTTTCAATTCAGCAGCAGACCCGCACAGCCTCTTATTCCGCAGCTGTTATAAATCTGTTTCGTCTGTTGAAACCCGGAAATATATTGCTGTTACTCCAATAAACTCAACAGAGGCAACATCCAAAACCATAACCATGTGTCACCTTGGGCGCAACAGAAGCAAGTCATCACGGTCAGGTCAAAGTAGATCGCCCGTCCTTCAGACCCCGGTAACATGAACAGGTATCACCAACTTTTACAGTGGCATTGGACCAAGACTAAGGACCAAGATTAATGAATTGCTATTATTACTACATGATTTTCAACCGTCAGCAATATGTCTTCAAGAGACATATCTCAAGCCAACGACTAATTTGACTGGCGTCAAAACATTTATTTTTCCCTCAACTGTTAAGGTTTCAGGGGGATGTTCAATTTTGGTGAGACAGGAAGTGATCCACAGCCCTATACATTGAATGTTATTCTGCGGGCTCTTGCAATTCGACATCACATTGCACTTTGCTTTCACTTTGTGCTCATTTTATATTCCACCCTTTTCAACGGTCCGAACTACAAAATGTACTATCATAATGTGACCAACTCCCGAAACTCTTGTATAATCATAGGCTATGATCCTCTATGGGGACGTTTCCTTTTCCATTGAAGATTTTCTCACTGATAATAATCTATGTATTTTAATTGACGGCTCAAAAACTTAGTACACCCTGGTGTGGTAGTAATGTATTGTTTAGATTTGAAAACAGTAATTTATTGTTTAGCTATTAAAACAGTAATTTATTGTTAAGATATTAAAACATTAATTTATTGTTTAGATATGAAAACAGTTATTTATCCAAACGAGGTTTCTTCTGAAGCTCTTAATGTATATAGTGCAGCACACTCGCATCTGAATGTACCATCTTTATGTGCTAATGCTTTGTAATTGTGATTCACAATTACATGCGAATGGTCTATAACAAGGGTAAGGCTACTCGTACCACCGCCATAATTGCAAGACATCTCAATTACTTTGATTACGTTTTTTCTCTTCGTTTGAACATTTACATGCTCATGGTTTGTTTGTGTCACACATTTTCAAACTAATGGTCTTTGAGTCACATTAACAAGCTATTGGTTTGTTTTGGAAATATGAATGATATATTTTCGCTTTTATTTGTATCCCAGATTTACAAGCAAATTGTTCATTCATTACATTTCATGCTTATGATCTTTATACAGTGATAAGGCTAAACCTACCATCAGCATAATAGCCTATACCTGACGTTATATTTATTCAAACTGTTAAATATGTGTTATCGTAGATCAAATGTCTGTTTTAAAACATATTAGAGATGCTGAAGTAACACTGTCTTATAGTCAAAGAAAATATAAATTCAGTTTGACATCAAAAATAGAACTTTATATACATCCATATATGTAAACTAATGAGCAGGGGGACAATATAGCCAGTGTGTGTCATACCTTTGTGCCTCCCGCCGTGATGTCGCTTACAGCTGGCTTTACCTTATATTTGTTTTTCTTGTGGAGGTCAAACGTACCGTCTATTCAGACTTACACACGACAGAGTACTGGGCGACACACAGAGCCAACTGTGCGTATCAGTCGAAATAGACGCCCGGAACGAGGATAGTAATTATACAAGATGTAATCACCCCGCCAACAAATAATAGAAAACAAAGCCATAGAAATATGATGCATGTTGTCCTTTTGCCATATCAGATACAAAGTTTCCATTTCCTGTAATGACGAACTAATATAAAGAATGCCTTCATGTTTGAACTATGACAGTTCAGGGGAGGTGTGTTTTGTCACAACGCAGTAAGATCAAACCTACATACCCGTATTCAGTGTATGCATGGATACATATGCAAATGAATGAGTTGGGTTTGACGCTGTTTTAAGCATAATTACACCATTATCACTGTGGAGAAAACCAACGTAGATATACAAGAAACATGCATGACTGAAGCTCCTGTTACTATGTGACACATTATCCGTCAGCGGAGTAAACATTGAATACTACATCTGGATCACGTGCAGCTGTCACGATTCACTGGTGGTGGCAACATGAGGATATCGACAATATGTCTGCTTGTCTTCACAGGCTTCGTTGCGAGGACAAAAACCCAGGGTAAGACACCTCTATTTACAGCTAAGAGTAGTTGTAGCAGGACACAGACTCGGGGTAAGACACCTCTATTTACACTGGAAGAAGTTGAAGCAGGACACAGACCCGGGGTAAGACACCTCTATTTACACTGGAAGTAGTTTGTAGCACAGGACACAGACCAGGGGTAAGACACTTCTATTAATTTACACTGGAAAGAAGTTGTAGCAGGACACACACCAGGGGTAAGACACCTCTATTTACACTGGAAGGTAGTTGTAGCAGGACACAGACCAGGGGTAAGACACCTCTATTTACACTGGAAAGTAGTTGTAGCAGGACACAGACCAGGGGTAAGACACCTCTATTTGCACTGGAAAGTAGTTGTGGCAGGACACAGACCATGGGTAAGACACCTCTATTTGCACTGGAAAGTAGTTGTAGCAGGACACAGGCCAGGGATAAGACACCTCTATTTACACTGGAAAGTAGTTGTATCAGGACCAAGGCCCCGGGTAAGACACCTTTATTTACACTGGAAAGTAGTTGGAGCAGGACACAGGCCAGGGATAAGACACCTCTATTTACACTGGAAAGTAGTTGGTGCAGGACCAAGGCCCTGGGTAAGACACCTCTATTTACACTGGAAGTAGTTTGTAGCACAGGACACAGACCCGGGGTAAGACACCTCTATTTACACTGGAAAGTAGTTGTAGCAGGACACAGACCAGGGGTAAGACACCTCTATGTACACTGGAAAGTAGTTGGAGCAGGACACAGACCAGGGGTAAGACACCTCTATTTACACTGGAAAGTAGTTGTAGCAGGACACGGACCAGGGGTATGACACCTCTATTTACTCTCGAAAGTAGTTGTAGCAGGACGCGGACCATGGGTAAGACACCTCTATTTGCACTGGAAATAAGTTGGTGCAGGACCAAGGCGGTGGGCAAGACACCTCTATTTACACTGGAAAGTAGTTGGTGCAGGACCAAGGCCCTTGGTAAGACACCTCTATTTACACTGGAAAGTAGTTGTAGCAGGGCACAGAAACTGGGTAAGACACCTCTATTTACACTTGAAAGTAGTTTGAGCAGGACCCAGACCCTGGGTAAGACACCTCTATTTACACTGGAAAGTAGTTGGAGCAGGACCAAGGCCCTGGGTAAGACACCTCTATTTACACTGGAAAGTAGTTGGTGCAGGACCAAGGCCCTTGGTAAGACACCTCTATTTACACTGGGAAGTAGTTGTAGCAGGACAGAGGCCAGGGGTAAGACACCTCTATTTACAGTGGAAAGTAGTTGTAGCAGGACACAGACCAGGGGTTAGACACCTCTTTTTACACTGGAAGTAGTTGTAGCAGGACACAGGAACAGGGTAAGACACCTCTTTTTACACTTACGAGTAGTTTGAGCTTGACCTAGAAATACCAACACACACACACACACACACACACACACACACACACACACACACACACACACACACACACACACACACACACACACACGAACACACACGAACACACACGAAGACACACAAGCAGTAAGTGGGGAGTGAGATTATGTTGAGTACCCAACGCTTACAGCTGTTGGTTGATTGAGTTGGATTGCGAAATCCAATGATCTAGGTCATGCTTTATGTCGTAACAACATCACGTGTTTGATTACGTGTGTACAAGTCCGGTTGACGATAAAAGCGTTGATTCAAATGCAAAGTGAATGTCAACAATCGTCGATGATGTTTTCTATGTTGCACGTATTATTCATGATGTAAAGGACGCTATCCACACAGTAGACATTCAAATGCTAAATCCACTTGCCCCTTGCCCCGCGGAAACACTTTTTTAGAGACTATTGCAGACGTGTCGGGGTTTATTCAAGGTTTAAGATTTGATGCAGTCTTAGAGACTATTGGGGACGTATCGTGGTGTATTTCAAGGTTTATGATTTAATCCAGTTTTAGAGACTATTATAGACGTGTCGTGGTTTATTTCAAGGTTTAAGATTTGATTCAGTTTTAGAGACTATTACAGACGTGTCGTGGTTTATTTCAGGGTTTAAGATTTGATGCAGTCTAAGAGACTATCACAGACGTGACGTGGTTTATTTCAAGGTTTAAGATTTGATGCAGTCTTAGAGACTATTACAGACGAGTCGTGGTTTATACAAGGTTTAAGAATTGATTCAGTTTTAGAGACTATTACAGACGTGTCGTGGTTTATTTCTAGGTTTAAGATTTTATTCAGTTTTAGAGACTATAACAGACGTGTCGTGGTTTATTTCTAGGTTTAAGATTTGATTCAGTTTTGGAGACTATAACAGACGTGCCGTGGTGTTTTTCAAGGTTTAAGATTTGATTCAGTTTTAGAGACTATTACAGACGTGTCGTGCTGTATTTCAAGGTTTAAGATTTGATTCAGTTTTAGAGACTATTAGAGACGTGCCGTGGTTTATTTCAAGGTTTAAGATTTTATTCAGTTTTAGAGACTATTACATACGTGCCGCGGTGTATTTCAAGGTTTAAGATTTGATTCAGTTTTAGAGACTATAACAGACGTGTCGTGGTTTATTTCTAGGTTTAAGATTTGATTCAGTTTTAGAGACTTTTACAGACGTGTCGTGGTTTATTTCAAGGTTTAAGATTCGATACAGTCTGAGAGACTATTTAAGACGTGTCGTGGTGTATTTCAAGGTTTATGATTTGATTCAGTTTTAGAGACTATTACAGACGTGTCGTGCTGTATTTCAAGGTTTAAGATTTGATTCAGTTTTAGAGACTATAACAGACGTGTCGTGGTTTATTTCTAGGTTTAAGATTTGATTCAGTTTTGGAGACTATTACAGACGTCCCGTGGTGTTTTTCAAGGTTTAAGATTTGATTCAGTTTTAGAGACTATTACAGACGTGTCGTGGTTTATTTCTAGGTTTAAGATTTTATTCAGTTTTAGAGACTATAGCAGACGTGTCGTGGTTTATTTCTAGGTTTAAGATTTGATTCAGTTTTGGAGACTATAACAGACGTGCCGTGGTGTTTTTCAAGGTTTAAGATTTGATTCAGTTTTAGAGACTATTACAGACGTGTCGTGCTGTATTTCAAGGTTTAAGATTTGATTCAGTTTTAGAGACTATTAGAGACGTGCCGTGGTTTATTTCTAGGTTTAAGATTTTATTCAGTTTTAGAGACTATTACATACGTGCCGCGGTGTATTTCAAGGTTTAAGATTTGTTTCAGTTTTAGAGACTATAACAGACGTGTCGTGGTTTATTTCTAGGTTAAAGATTTGATTCAGTTTTAGAGACTTTTACAGACGTGTCGTGGTTTATTTCAAGGTTTAAGATTCGATGCAGTCTGAGAGACTATTTAAGACGTGTCGTGGTGTATTTCAAGGTTTAAGATTTGATTCAGTTTTAGAGACTATTACAGACGTGCCGTGCTGTATTTCAAGGTTTAAGATTTGATTCAGTTTTAGAGACTATAACAGACGTGTTGTGGTTTATTTCTAGGTTTAAGATTTGATTCACTTTTAGAGACTATTACAGACGTGTCGTGGTTTATTTCAAGGTTTAAGATTTGATGCAGTTTTAGAGACTGTTACAGACTGCCGTGGTTTATTTCAAGGTTTAAGATTTGATGCAGTGTTAGAGACTATTAGAGACGTGCCATGGTTTATTTCAAGGTTTAAGATTGATAACAAGAATTTACTACCTTCAAAGTGAAACAATGCAGAAGTGGGAGGGTCATGATCGTATATTTACACGATGTTACCAATTCTGACAATACCCTACCATAGACAGAACAGTAATGTCTGTGATTAGCAATAGTCTGAGCTATCGTCAATGCCGTTTGCATCTTCATCATGAGCAGAAACCGTAACTCTAGGTCGCTGAGAACGAAGTCGATCTGTGACGTCATTTTGTTATTCATGTCGCCGTATGAGTGCAGCTGTATATGGTGTTTGTGACAGTTGTTTCTTGTTCTGTCGGACCGCCTCCGTGGTCTAGTGGTAGAGCGTCCGCCAGGATTGCGAAAGGTCCGGGGTTCGATCCCCAGCCGCGTCATACCAAATGACGTTAAAATATGGTACTTGTTTTTACCCTGTCTGGCGCTCGACGTTAAGGGGCTAGAACAAGGACTGCAGGTTTTTCATGGCCCAGGGGAACATGCACGTGCAGAAATGGTTTTGTTGGTCACGTGCAACACTTCTGCTTGATGACATTCGGTGATCCGTAGATGTTTGCTCGTTTGGGCTTCAACGTATCTTAAAATCCCATTCGCCAAAACAGATCGAATTTGAACATATCACATATTTTTACCTGCACAGTTTCCTTTTGTGCCTCGTACTTATAGATACATTCTTCGATCCATGAAAAACGTTTTAGATCGAGTATATCCTGATAAATAGAGAATGTTAACCGAGGTTTACGAACACACATACATATAATGTTTAGGTGGTGATTTCACAATGATAGTGTACCGTTACATAAAAAAAGTTAGACCGCAGAGGTTTCCGTCGTTTAAAATTAAGAAGTTTTTTTGTTTTGTTTGTTGTTTAACGCCGCATTCAGCAATATTCCAGCTATATTGATAACATGAGCAAAGATGAAGAAATAAACTACTTTTATCAACGAGAGTTAATATTTTACATTTCAAAACATATGAGGGTGAGATTTTATTTATTATTGCATATTATTTCAAATATTTTATTGTACAGTGTGTTCATTTGATGACCACATTGATTTTTCGATCATCTTGAATTTATAACGGCGCATCACCTAACAAGAAATATCAAAATGTAGAGCTTAGTTCCAAACGAGGGAAACGTTTGCGGGCTAACGTTTTTATATAACACTACGTCATCTTTGTGAAATCACTACTTAGATAGTGTAGTTTGTGCAAAACTATTATCAGGGATGTAATTGTGGAAAAATACCACAAACCTGTAGATGTGATGGCGTAACCATATGACGCCACGGTTACAAGGGGACATCACAAGGTGCTATGACATTACATGTTCACAGTGCATTTTGTCACTGAAGCTCAATCACATCCTCACATACCAAGGAGTTCTGTTTTTTCGTTGCATTGTTGGAATCAGAAGGATTTGAAACGTGTAAAAAGTAAGCTAACACAGAATCCCTTGTAACAGACTTGAATACTTTAACCTTAAGGTAACACATATCTCAACTGACCAAAAATATAAATTCTAATTTAACTAGAACTCACAGGACAGTACAGTAAACTACGTTTGTAACGAACACGCTTATAACGAAGTGACCTATATAACGAACTTTGTTTTTAGTCCCGACCATTTGTTGTATATATGTTGTATGTATCTTTATAACGAACTACGGTTATTAAGAACAAAAAATAGTGGTCCCTTCGAGTTCGTTATAACCGTAGTTTACTGTAGTTTATCACGTGGAAGCCAGAGTTGGATAGTAATTTCATTTCACTTTCCTCATTATAATATTGTATAATTGTAACCAGTAATGGAGAATATTAGGATAGTGAATGTTGGGCAACATCACACATGATTGGCTTTTAGCCCTTACGTTTAGGGGACAGTTTAAAACCTACAAATACTGTTTTTATTATAGATCACCCTGAAGTTACGATACTATTGACTGAAAGGCACACACTGTTCACTTTGGGATCGGTGTACAGGTGGGATCTGTTCAAGGACAGGATGACTCGGCACAATATCACATCTGTCACCACACCCACAGCCATTGACTATGACAATGTCACCAGGCGAATTTACTGGACGGATATAAGCCGAGAGGAAATCAGGAGTTCCGAACTTGATGGTGGAAATAATACTCTGGTTCGAAAACTAAACAGTGGTAAGTGACCCTTCCGTCCAGATTTATAAGTCAGTTATAAGGTTACGCCATAACTTGCAAGTTTGATATTACAGTTCGGATAGAGACTTCATCAAAATCAAAATCTATTTAATTTTCCTTAAACCATTTCACTATTCCGTGGACACTGGTGGCCCAGTACTCACAGAGATCCGGTTAGAATTGCTTGTCGTCAGAGGCGACTATGCTTGTCGTAAGAGGCGACTAACGGGATTGGGTGGTCAGGCTCGATGACTTGGTTGATGCATGTCATCGTATCCCTGTTGCGTGGAACGATGTTCATGACGCCAATCACTGGATTGTCTTCACCAGACTCGATTATTTACAGACCGCCGTCATACAGCTGGAATATTGCTGAGTACGGCGTTAAACAACAAACTAACTAACGAAAGTTGTCCAATGGGTCAACTGGCTCTGGGGGCGGTCGGTTAGCCTAGTGGTAAGAGCGTTGGCTCGTCACGTCGAAGACCCGTGTTCGATTCCCAACATGGGTACAATGTGTGAAGCCCATTTATGGTGTCCCCCGCCGTGATATTGCTGGAATATTGCTAAAAGCGGCGTAAAACCATACTCACTCACTCACTCACTCAATTGGCTCTGTAAAAACATGTGGTTCGAGTCCAAGATGTGCCCTCTTAACGATCCTTGATTTGCCTTTTTCCACAAGTGACATTTTTTGGAAATACATTTTCCAGTTTCAAACCCGCATGGCATGACTGTTGATGGTAGTGCCGGCAAGATCTTCTACACCGACTTGGGAAATAAAGTCATTGTGAGAATCGACATTAGTGGGTCTAATAGTACAGTCATTGTGAGTGAAAATGTAAGCTATCCAATCGGCATCATTGCAGACAAAACCGACAGGTAATTAACAATTTTGTATTTGTACGAAACATATATTTCACCTATATATTCAAGTACATGTAATCGTATTCACGCCATGTCACCATGTCACCCTTTATTCAGTTATAATTTCGACTAAGGGCGGTGAGGTGACCTTCCTGGGTGTCCCCAGCCGAGATCATGTGATATGTCTGTAAGAAGTCATACAGCGTCACTCGGTCTTTATGTCAGGCCATATCATTTATCTTTATGTACTACTATGTTACCGACCGCCTCCATGGTCTAGTGGCAGAACGTCTGACCGGGGAGCGGAAGGTCGGGGTTAGATGCCCGGGCCGCTTCATACCAAAAGAAGGTACTTGTTACTAATCTGCCACTCTGCATTAAGGGGAAATACAAGCACTGGTCGGCTCGGAGTCAGTATACTGTGTCTGAGTGGGGTATTCATGTTTTTCTGCGGCATGGTATCTCAGTGGGCTAGCACTATCAAATCGGCATTAGTCCGGACAAGTACAAGCGCGCGCGCACGCACACACGCACGCACGCACACACCATGTACGTCGTTATATAGGTGCAAGAACCTTAAACCCCATCTCACCTCACCTTATCTACCATATTACCGGTACTAGCTGAGGCATAATATAATGACTTTCTTCGTTTAACTATGTACCTTTATACGTTTTTGTATCTCTTACACAGACCAGATCATGTGTTGAGAGGTTACTTCACGGCAGTTTTCATAATACTATAACATCACGGCAGTTTTCATAATACTATAACATCAAGTTATATAATGTATCCTTTCATAAAACATTGATCAATGGGTGTCACCTCTCCCGGGATTCGCACCTCTCCGACTGCGACCAAATCGTGTCTGAATATCTTCACGTCGCAGTCGGGTTTACATACCGTGTTCGTGTTTTTCACTTTGTTCACAAGACCTTTTGTGTCAATTTCGCTTCTAAATCTGTCCTCGGTGTTGTCAAAGACTGCGTCTAGCTCCATAATCCTATTTGCAAGTGAATGCAAAACATTTTAACATTTTTTGGAAGGCATTGTCACAGGAATGCTCGCCGAGCAGACGACACACCAAGGGACCTAACTCTTACCACCTGGACTGATATCGAGCGCCCTTTCAAAATGTATTGACAAGCCACGTCAGCCCGCCAGTGGGTGTAATACGGGTCTGGGTATTACACCCCGTGTGACATGACTGGCTCTATGTTGGCTCTATCGCACATGCTCATCGAAAGGAACGTCGTAATTATTAATGCTATCCCGCGTCCATGTCCGCCTCATTCGCAGCTCTAGCACCTTTTTCCACTCATCAATTTTGTTCTACTCTGGGGATTGACGGTTCCTTATACAATTAGTTTAATTATATCTTATACATAACTTCATTTTAGTGACTGTATGTTAGTTTCTTAATATCATGGCATGTAATATGTATATAATATGTTGTTGCATTCACTCAAGGTGTATAAACCGCGCGTTGTTCATACTATCAATCACTTGTGTTCGTGCCGTACCACTTTGCTCATATTATTATTCACTGGTTTGCGTGCCGTACCCCGTATGTTACCTAGACAGGGGAGTTAACTGATTATAAACGTCATGGTTCCACCTTTGCCGAACTAGGATGGAAAATGGAGTAACTGTTATATTTAGGCTGGACTAACAAGTCTATGTATAGTCGCGTAAATCGCGTAACGAAATCAACATCAGGTTCAATGTCAACTCAGCGTCAAAAGATATTTTCCAAATCTGTTCATGATTTTAGTCAAGGTGCTCACGTGATCTAATGCATTTCGCGAAGTAAGGCCCGTTTTATATCAATACATAGCTTGACTATCGATCAGATCGTCTTCACAGGGTGCCGCCATTTGTTTGAAACAAATGCAAGTGATATCAGAGGTACCATCTGATTGGTCAATAGGAGGGACAGAGAAGGGGCATAGCTCGAAATAGCCACTGGTGGCGTTACGATCGAGCTCAGAAATTCCAGCCTAATTCCGCAAGGGTTGTAACTGGACTTTTATGGTCAGTTAACTCCCTTGCTTCGGGAAGATGCGTACCTATGGAACGTTGCCCATGCTATTGATCACTGGTTTGCGTGTCGTACCCCGTGGGGCCTTGCTCATGCTATTGATCACTGGTTTGCCTGTCGTACCCCGTAGGGCCTTGCTCATGCTATTGATCACTGGTTTGCCTGTCGTACCCCGTGGGGCCTTGCCCATGCTATTGATCACTGGTTTGCGTGTCGTACCCCGTGGGGCCTTGCTCATGCTATTGATCACTGGTTTGCGTGTCGTACCCCGTGGGGCTTTGCTCATGCTATTGATCACTGGTTTGCCTGTCGTACCCCGTGGGGCTTTGCTCATGCTATTGATCACTGGTTTGCGTGTCGTACCCCGTAGGGCCTTGCTCATGCTATTGATCACTGGTTTGCGTGTCGTACCCCGTAGGGCCTTGCTCATACTATTAGTTACTGGTGTGTTTGGTATAGATTCGATTATTTACAAACCGCAGTCATGTAGCTGGAGTAACGTTGGGTGCGGCTTTAAACAATAAACAGCCAAAGATAATGTTAGATGTACTCAATGTAAAATGTTTGACCTTCAGAAAGTTATACTGGCTTGATCACGACACTGACATCATTGAATCATGCAACTATGATGGGAGTGGAAGGACGACTCTGGTATCAACGGGAGTCGATGCACCGACGGGAGCCACTTTCAACGAAAAAAGTAAACATATCTGCGGATTATATCGTTAATCCAAATCAAAAACCCATGCAAGGGTTTCACGCATTCGCACGAACCTAGTTCCCAATAGTGAAATAAAACTCAACTTTCATGAATCATCTCTGATTGAACAAATTTGTCTTAGAACCGTTTCATACTGTGCCGACCTCATCCCATTTTATTTAACATGTTTTTTTCTCATGTCACCCTCCCCTCATAACATAGAACCAGTCCCTCAATAATGTTCAATCAGTATTTCATTTATTTAAAATTATAGAACTCTATCAATTTTTCATGCCCTCCTCCTTTATTTGTATAAAATTTGCCCAACCCACCTCTTTCGCTGAGAGAGAGAGAGCAGCACCACTCATACCCAACCCAGATCCCCAACCCCCCCTTTCTATTACACTGAGAACGGAGTTCCACTGTAGTAGTAAATCATGTCTGCGTTTCTTTCTCAGCCGGACGTCTCTACTGGTGCGAATACAACGGGAATGTGTACTCCATCTTAAAGGATGGTACAGACAGAAGAACACATTACAGGAACATCTTGACCAAACCTCGCTTGATGGACATCGCTGTCTTCAATGGTTTTCTCTACATTATTGACAGAACATACAGGTTTCATAATCAATGTGTTTTTGTAACGGCCTAAAATTAATCATTATTAGTTTTCACAGTGAAAGTCGGGATATATTATGGGCAAAGTTTGCCATGTTCCTATAAAATCGACTGTATCTTACGTAGATCAATATTGACCTTGTTTCCTTCTTTAACGTCTTATTCTTTATATGTGCTTGTACGAGAAATTATTACACATTATGACATTCTCCAATCACTCAAGGTAAACAAGAACGGACGTCTTTCAGCAGTCAAAAACCTTTAACAATGGTTATTCAAATCAGTTACTGTATGTTACAGGGGCATTCGAGTGATCCCTGAAAAGCTCAACTTTACGCACATGGGAATCCTTTCTTCAAGGTATTTCAAAACCCTGACCGGAATCCACGTCTTTTCTCCAAATTCAGAAGAAACAGGTAACATGTTTTCAAGACCCCATGCATTCAGGTTAAATGTCACACTAAAGCAAAATATAACATGTATTGTTAATACATAAATTATGCAATAGACGTGCCCCACTTATACAGCTAAATAGTTCAACAAAAGATCATATTACGAATTCAAGCAGAAGCACACAAATGAATCATTGTAATTGTCACTCTCAGCGGTGCACATTAGCAACTCCTGCATGCGAGAATTACATGTACCAGCACATGTGCATCAGTATGCGTATGCACATGTTCGAGTTACTGTAAATCTTGAAATTAACGCGGACGTGAATTAAATGCGAAAAATGCGAAAAAAACTTCGCATTTATGTCTCCAACAATAAGACGTCCTCACTGCACACTTCGGATAGCGGAAATACCAACTTGAATAATAACACAAACACGGTTTATTGAGCAGCAGTTGCAACAAGTATTTTACAATGTCATTCAAAGAATAGGAATTACACAATGGGCATCCGGTGAGTTTTCACTGCTGGGGTGAAGAGTTCTTCCCACTTGTGTGACGCTTGTTGACACCTTCTCCGCATACCCATCAGTGAACTGTTGTTGGTTCAAGTATTTTATTGCCTTTGGACTGCCTTAAAGCCAGTCAACAGAGTAAACATATATACTGTATGTTATTTTTAGGAAAACACTGTCTATTGCTTTTACGAAAGTGCTCTACTTATTCTACTGGGGATGGGGGGTGGGGGTAGTATTCGCCAATCGAAGATGTACGCTACAAACTACTGATTAATCGACTCTTGAAGTTGCATGCGTGTACTCACCACATATATGTTCAACACTTTTCGCCAATCGGTTGCACAAAGACCAATTTGTATAAATAGAGGAAATTTCATGTGTTGCCACTCGTTAAAATATCTCCTTCGCCGGAGATGGCGCTTTGCAAAACGAACAGTATCGATTGACGAGTTAAATGAGAAATTTACAGTTTATAACGAAACATTTTCGAGAGAATAACAAACGGCGTGAAGCGATATTAACTCCATGAATGACCATATGTCATTGTTTTGCCTTGTCAATGGTGAATTAACGTTAAAAGGAAGTCAACAGTTTGTGTACGGGCTGGACACTTGCGATAAAGGGGAGACAATTCGAGGGGAGGTCATTCTTGTATGACACTAGTTCCGTCAAACGGTTATGTTCACAGCAGTGAAATATCAAGTGTTATGTTCACAGCAGTGAAATATCAAGTGTTATGTTCACTGCAGTGATATATCATGTGTTGTGTTCACTTCAATGAAAATAAAAGTTCGGAAAACTCTATCTTTCACACTGTAGTATATAATAAATATACGTATTTGTGTCACGCATATAATGTTTGTTTGTTTGTATAACGCCGCACTCAGCAATATTCCAGCCAGAAGACAATAACAAAGTGGAGGGGTACAATGACACGCAACAAGCCAAGTCACCAAGGCCAAATTGATTTTGACAGTGTTCCTTCTTGTTAGAACATTATCGTTTATACCTAATTTTCTTACCAGGGTGTGCTGACGGAAGATACGGCGCTGGGTGTACTAGTGAGTGTGGCCTATGTACTGGTGGCATGTCTCTGTGTGAGAAGACCACGGGGTCCTGCTTGGCTGGGTGTGAACCAGGGTACAAGGGAAACTTCTGCAAGGAAGGTAAGTTCCTTGACAGAGCGGAACAGGACTAATCTGACAAGTGGGATGCGTCTGACATACGTTTCGAGATAAATTGTTGTTTCGTAGTTGTTTGATGAGAGGATTATATATTTACAAAAATGACACGGAATCACTTCCTTGCATGATAAAACAACAACGTACATATTGATAATGTAAGAGAGAAATAATTCACTTTTGAAGACAACAAATCTTATAAGAACGAGTTTTGTCTTACTTGCTTCTAACTATGCTTCAACATGACAAATACTTTCCTGGAGAGTGCCTGTCCTCTATACACAAACATATCAATTTTGATCCTCCAGAGTGCCTGTCCTCTATACACCTACATGTCAATTATGTTCCTCCAGAGTGCCTGTCCTCTATACACAAACATGTTTATTATGTTCCTCCGGAGTGCCTGTCCTCTATACACAAACATATCAATTTTGATCCTCCAGAGTGCCTGTCCTCTATACACCAACATGTCTATCATGTTCCTCCAGAGTGCCTGTCCTCTATACACCATGTATATCATGTTCCTCCGGAGTGCCTGTCCTCTATACACAAACATATCAATTTTGATCCTCCAGAGTGCCTGTCATATATACACCAACATGTCTATCATGTTCCTCCAGAGTGCCTGTCCTCTATACACCATGGCTATCATGTTCCTCCAGAGTGCCTGTCCTCTATACACCAACATGTCTATCATGTTCCTCCAGAGTGCCTGTCCTCTATACACCATGGCTATCATGTTCCTCCAGAGTGCCTGTCCTCTATACACCAACATGTCTATCATGTTCCTCCAGAGGGTATGTCCTCTATACACCAACATATCTATCATGTTCCTCCAGAGGGTCTGTCCTCTATACACAAACATGTCTATTATGTTCCTCCATAGTGCGGAACAGTCGGGTAGCCTAGTGGTTAAATCGTTCGCTCGTCACGCCGAAGACCCGGGTTCGATTCCCAACATGGGTACAATGTGTGAAGCCCATTTCTGGTGTCCCCCGCCGTGATATTGCTGGAATAGTGCTAAAAGCGGTGTAAAACCATACCCACTCACTCCTCCATAATGCATGTCCTCTATACACCAACATGTATATTATGTTCCCCCAGACCGTCTGTCCTCTATACACCAACATGTCTATTATTTTCCTCCAGAGGGTCTGTCCTCTATACACCAACATATCTATTATGTTCCTCCAGAGTGTCTGTCCTCTATACACCAACATGTCTATTATGTTCCTCTAGAGTACATGTCCTCTTTGCACCAACATATCTATTATGTTCCTCCAAAGTGTCTGTCCTCTATACACCAACATGTCTATAATGTTCCTCCAGAGCGTCTGTCTTCTATACACCAACATGTCTATTATGTTCCTCTGGTGTACATGTCCTCTATACACCAACATATCTATTATGTTCCTCCAGAGCGTCTGTCTTCTATACACCAACATGTCTATTATGTTCCTCTAGTGTACATGTCCTCTATACACCAACATATCTATTATGTTCCTCCAGAGTGTCTGTCTTCTATACACCAACATGTCTATTATGTTCCTCCAGAGTGCAGACCTGGAACATACGGCAAGAGGTGTTCCCCCTGTGGCAAGTGCAAACAAGGGACTACGTGTCATCACGTGACCGGGAAGTGTCCAAGCGGCTGCCAACCCGGCTGGAGGGGAGGGGACACGTGCCAGCAGAGAGGTAGAGGGACTTTAAAAGACATACATATTTAATAACTCTCTCGATAGACCATTTCATGAGAAATCTCGTTACATCTATTTCAGATAGTATGACAGATGTATTGTTTGACACATTTCTTATGCAAATCAACTGAATTCTTAATTCAATGAACTGAATGAGAACCTGCGCAGTAAAATACATCCGCGTAGTGTGATGAAGGCTTCTCCACGTACACATAGATATACACATAGATGAAACAGTGTTAACCCGACAGAAAAAAACAACTCCTAAAACGTTGCTGATAGAAATCATTACGTGCAAGCCAAAGTGCAGGTCGTAGATGTTTATCACTTATCTGAAACCCGCAGCTGTAGGGCATGACAAATCAGGGACATAGAGAATCTCACCCTCGTGTCTTTTGATATCAAATATATCAACACGAGTTGATAAAAGTGGGAAAACTCCGAGGCTTGCCGAGGATTTTTTCCAATTTTATCAACGAGTGTTGATATATTTGATATCAAAAGACACGAGGGTGAGATTTTATTTATCATCAAACATCATTCTTCCAACTTTTTCAGTTTGTAGACTGTAATAAGCAGTGTCTTAAGTGTAAAAAGTACTGCTTACAGCTTCAGTAGCAGAGCCATTAGTAATGTCATTTGATTGTGACGTCATGGTAACCAGTGATGTCACAATGGTCTGCAAAGCATTGTGATGCAATTTCATTGCAGCGATATCTACAGTGTAGATATCGCTTGATCTCACCCAAGCGATATCTCCTGTGGGAGCCAGTTTTGGATGATAAAATACGTTTTCACCATAACACCTTCGGCCACCCAGGTATCCTGGAAAAATAAAAGTGAAAACAGAAAATAAAAATTATATAAAACATCATTCACACCAGTCTCGCCTATCCGACGAAACAGATTCCATTGGGCTAAAGCAGAAATAGCAATGAAAGGTATTTGAATAGATCGCTGAAAATCAGTGATGACACCGAGTGTTCGCGAAGAAAACACCACACAGCAAACAAGAACATATTTTTAAGGCAAGTGGTTTCACCACATTTTTCGTTCATTCCCTAACTGATTGAAAGTGCATCGACAAAAGCAGCATTAGAAATGCGCATACCATAGCTTACAAATAGCCATTAATCTGGTTCTTGACTTGTAGTCTACCTAAAAGTGTTCCACGTGCTATGTTCGTTCTAGATTGCCATCCAGGACTATATGGATTACACTGCTCAGTGCCGTGTGGCCATTGTAAGTCTGAACAGACATGTGACTCTAATTCCGGTTCTTGTCCGAGTGGGTGCAGTGCCGGGTGGAGAGGGGCCACGTGCAAACAGAGATGCATAGCAGATTACTACGGAGAGGGATGTCGTCGGATGTGTGGCTACTGCCACGGAGACGTGTGTAACCCTACCACTGGAGTATGTCCAAATGGGTGTCAACCCTACTGGAAGGGGGACGTTTGCCAGGACTTAAATGGTACGTCGTTTTTATTCATATTTTTTTAAATTCCATAGAAGGTCTGGATTAATGTTCCGAGTGAGCGAATGTTATTTTACACACCGGCCAGCAATCCTCTAGCCATATCACGTAAATGATCGAGTCTAGGCCAGGCCTAGTAGTAGGTGAGGTTCATGTCGTCGGGACCAAAGACAAACAGCTAGGTCATACACTGCGACTGTCCGATCCTCATCGTAATAGCATCTTAAAACTAGCACTAAGAAATTACCCACGTTCGTACATGAACCATAGCTATATATTCCGCAAGTATGGCAAATGACTACGATATATCCTGCGTTATATGAACAAACATTCATGTGACACGGCCTATACTAATCCTATTATCCAGTGTAAAAATTTGTTGCCAAAGTTCACTGGCCAGGAGGGCTTGTTAACAGAAAATGTTGCAAGCCCTCATCATAATTTACCAACCCAAAACATTTCCGATAAACTACGAAATGAAAACAAACTGGCAACATATTTTGACATTAAAGGACGTCTTTACTGATTTACTGATTCATAGAAATAAAAATGTATTAACTACAGTTTTCGATTCGACAGTCGGGCAGCTTTACGGAAATGTTTCTAGCACAATTTAAAAGTCACTGGTATTTTGCTCTCAGCACGCAGGTATTTCGAAGACTGCTCTGATCCTCCCCTCACACCACCAGCACCCCCACCCTCCCACTCTCATCGGGGACAAGGGTTCCATAGGGTCACATCAACATTCACTTCCACTCTCGTAATCATCCCAAACAGTTTTAATTTAGTGATGCGTGGTTTATAGATGTTGTCATTTAATTACGCGGCGTGTAGGACGTGAACTAACATTGCTAAACATCTTGCCTTTAATATCATTTCAACATCATTAGATACAGTCTTAACGTTACTTTTTTAAACCAGAGGCCCTATCTAATTTGTTTTGTTATTAATTTCAATTTCTCATATTTTCCAGTTGTAAATTTAACGAGTTCAGCAACCAAATCCAGGGAGAGGTTTGTTGGTAAGTATTGGACCTTTATAAATGTTATTGGACAATTTGACCCCAACCGGTTATGTCAACCCAATCTGTGGTTCTTTCTCCCATAGACCGCCCCCGTGGTCTAGTGGTAGAGCGTCCGCCCGGAGAGCGGAAGGTCCGGGGTTCGATCCCAGACCGCGTCATACCAAAAGACGTTAAAAATTGGTACTTGTTGTTACTCTGTCTTGCGCTCGGCATTAAGGTGCTAAAACAAGGACTGGTCGGCTCGGAGTCAGTATACTGTGTCTGAGTAGGGTATTCATGTTAAACTGCGGCATGGTATCTCAGTGGGCTAGCACTATAAATCGGCATCAGTCCGGACTAGCACAAGCAACCACACACACACACGTGCATGCACGTCGCTATATAAGTGCAATAATCTTGGACGCGACGTTAAACCCCATTTCCCCTCACCTCACCTCTTCCTCCCATAAGCCTACATCCACATCCACGACGTAGCAACTAATGTAGTGTTCGACGACCCTACGGTAAACTCCGAGCTGATCATCAATTTACATTCGGATTTATCCGTATGAGTCAGTGATTACACCAATGTGTGAACTGACTTGACCGCTGTTGGCGTGTGTGACAATAACGTCAGCTCAGAATGTTCTGATGTTCTGATGTTCTGGTGTTGTGGTCCGGTGGGCTGTTCCGAACGGGGATGGAGGGGTGAAGCCATTCGTCTCTACTCGAATAATACCTAGGGTTGCAATGCAGTAGTGATATTGCATGACCGCTTGTCTACCGATCCTTCGATACAGTTTGTACAACATGACAGCCGATTTTAAGAAATATCGATATTTCGAGCAACAATATTTATATGAGGGTAGTGTAATGTAAACAAGTAAACCCAGTACATCCAGTTCCACTATGGATTCCTCCGTTTGGGGACCGAGATGACCGCGTGCATTGGAAAGGCCGAGGGAGACATCCAACAGACATCCATGTATCTGGAGACGATTCTGGCTTTTTGGAACCGGTTACAAAACATTACATCCAAAGTGGAAAACTTTTTGTTTTTTGTTTAACGCCGCACTCAGCAATACTGCAGCTATATGACGGCGGTCTGTAAATAATCGAGTCTAGACCAGACAATCCATTGATTGACACCATGAGCATCGATCCACGCAATTGGGATACGATGACGTGCATCAACCAAGTCAGCGAGCCTGACCACCCGATCCCGTTAGTCGCCTCTTACGACAAGCATAGTCTCCTTTTACGGCAAGCATGGGTTACTGAAGACCTATTCTACCCCGGATCTTCACGGGTCCATGGGACTAAGTGATAGGTAATACACGCTGTGTTGTGGTTCTCAAACACACTGGTAATTTTAACATATTTCAAACTTGAGTGGTGTAAATATGATCTTTTAAATAACTATTGACTCTCGATTGACTCTGTTTTCAGATGCTCTGATCATCGCTGCTGCCTCAAGGATCTTTAAAATGTTAATGTGAACCCTTGAATATCTTCACAAGTACTATATTTCTTTTCCCTTACAAACCGAATTCAAGAACTCACCTTGCATATAAGGTTTAGTTTCATGGTTGATTATAAACTTACAGAATAGGGAATTGTGATATATGCAGTGAAAACAACTCATGAATAGATAGTCTCTTGGAAAATGGTGTTACCTTAGAGGTGATAAGGAAGGTTGGAAACGACAATGTCAAAGAAGTGGCAATCCAGATTAGTAGATAAAATTACCTTCGACTCAGTCAATGCATTGCTTTACCTCCATGAGAGATGACTGCACAACCTTAGGTAGATTTAACTAGAAACTGTTTTTTCTCTGCATGACCGTTGGCTTTAATTGCATATTACTTTCATGTGGATTTGAATTCTCAATACATTGGCTTGCTTTAATGATCATATTGTGATGTGTATATAACGCATATTTATTCATCAGGTTGTATACATTAGAATGCCGTCAAACAGTAACGTCACAATGCCATTTTGAAATTATCAAAATGTTATTATATATTCGTTTATGAACTTTTTAAGATGTTATAATATATTCGGTATTGAAATTATCAAGATGTTATTTCATATTTGTTAATGAAATTGTTAAGATGTTATATTATATTCGTTGATGAAATTATGAAGAATGATGTAACTACATTTTCGTTTAGGAAATTGTAAAGATGTTATATGATATTCGTTAATGAAATTATGAAGATGTTATTATTTTTTCGTTTATTAAATTGTAAAGAAGTTATATTATATTCGTTAATCAAAAGATGAAGATGCTATTTTATATTCGTTTATGAAATTGTTAGAAGGTTATATTTGATTGGTTTGTGCATCTGAAAACTGTCATTTGATCTAGATATTATTCAGGGTTTATTTTAGGGTTAATTTTCCGACTTGCTGTGTAATATTTGTGTGCTTACTGATTAACACCGCAGTCAGGACTATCCAGCTATATCATGGCGGCCTGTAAAACAGGTCTTGACAGGACAAACGAGTGAGTGACGGCATGAGCAATGTCCCACGTATTCGGTGTACAACGATACACAAACACCCCAAACCACCCAATCCTTGTTGTGTGACAACTGCCTCGCAAAACTGAAACGTTCAGGGTACACGCGGCTAGGAGGCCCACCATTTTATGTTCTAGTGGGTGGGGGTGGAGGAGGGTTGCGTGGGATGAGTCTGAACATTGTATTTTTTTCAAAATACATTTTTCTTTATGGACATATGCTTTTCCCCCTCCATCCCGACAGCCGATCTTCGCTCCCTACTCATCCCTCCCCCCCCCCCCCCTCCCCCCCAATCCCCTACTCCCAATATCGCCAGTCGCTAACGGCTGTAGGTATCACATCACGCAAAATAGTCAGAGAGTTTGATATGCTTTTATCTCCTTCAAATTATTTTTATATGTGACTTTTTTTATCTGATTTTATTATGATCCACATGTTTCTTCGTAGATTGACCCTTAATTGTGTTTATTTAAGAATTTTTTGATAATGTACGTTTGTTGTTGCTTATTTATTCAGAAATAAATTACTCTTTTGACAATATTCAACTGTTCATGGGTTGATTTTCAGCATTCATAAGCTTCATATTGATTTGTGATTATCGCTATTATTCGTTCTTTCTTTCTTCGGTCGGGTAGCCTAGAGGATAAAGCATTCGCTCGTCACGCCGAAGACCCGGGTTCGATTCCCGACATGGGTACAATGTGTGAAGCCCATTTCTGGTGTCCCCCGCTGTGATATTGCTGGAATATTGCTAAAAGCGGCGTAAAACCATACCCACTCACTCACCCCATTCCCTCTGAGTATGCCGTCGCTAGACTTTAAGTTGTTTAAAATACAGTATTGAATAAAACTTGGATACTCAAAGTTAACTTGGGTGTCTCTAATTGGCAATTTATTGACATGCAGCGTTGATTAATAGGATTACGGAGTCACTTTCTCTTCTTCATTTCCTGATGAGAATTTTCAGCGCATTTTCGTGTTATATCACTGTTACTCAAATCTTTCATAAGGAATGACAGGTTGTCTTGATTCATCCATGCGGATTGCAACCTTTTTCTATTCTTACCCCGACCAACTGATTGGTAATGGAATACATGAATCAATGTCATCACACAAAACCGGAATAGCAGTTTAATAGGTCGATATTTACCTGGATCCACAATGGTACAGGTTTAGCCTATGCTGGCAGGAATACCGGCTTAACGTCAAATCTGTCAGTCAACTCTATTTCACAAGCATATTAGCATTGGTTTTAATTTCCGAAGACAGTCTGAATTAAAGGAATCATACAAAAATATATTTTATATAATATTTTACAAACACTTTATGAACAGATAAAAAAGTATTTACCTGTATTGACTTCCTTGCCCTTCGCTTCTGTCTCTATTTATACTGGACTATGTTCTTTGGACAATGCAAACAATACACACGCAGTGTTAACATTTGTCATTATTATATAATCTACATATAATTCATTATTTCTTCTCGTTCAATTTACTGTACGTATAATATTCAGTCCTTTCAACGTTTCATTTATAAGATTCAACAAGGAAGGTGTAGTATTATGAATAAACTTAAAATAGGAATATCGAAACACATTCAAGGTTTAATCATGGTCAATGTTTAATTGAGTGAGTGAGTTGGGTTTAACGCCGCTTTTAACAGTATTCCAGTCATATCACGGCGTGTCAGCTTAATGTGGGAGGAAAGCCCGAAGTGATGCAGGTCTCAGACGTTTACCACTTCGGTGAAACCCACGAGCACGGGTATGGTGCTGACAAACCTAGAAACATAATCGGGGCGAACTGGGATTCGAACCCACAATCAAAGGTTTCTGGCGTGCCTAAGGGACGCAACTCTGCACAGCGAATCGCGGCGCCTTAGACGACTGGGCCACCCGTGCCCCCAGTCCATGTTTAAACGTTAAGGGATATAACTTGTCACCCTACACAACGATTGCGCTGACGCCCGTGGACCATAAAACTAACTTATCTAGATCATAATGGAAACGATTTACATAATATCCGGGGGCACTGGTGGCGAGTCGCTGTGCAGAGTTGCGTCCCTTTGACACGCCAGAAACCTATGATTGTGGGTTCGAATCCAGGTTCGTCAGCACCATACCCGTGCTCGTGGGTTTCACTGAAGCGGTAAACGTCTGAGACTTGCATCACTTCGGGCTTTCCTCCCACATTAAGCTGACACGCCGTGATATAACTGGAATATTGTTAAAAGTGGCGTTAAAACCAACTCACTCACTCACTTCTTAATATACTTATGTAAACCAACACGTGGTGGTAAGAGGCGACGTATTAAGATCTGGTGGTGCGGTTCTGTGACTTGGCTGAGGTTCATGCTGCCCCAGTGGCGCGGATCGTTTCTCATGATTTCAGTCACTGGTTTATGTAGTCCAGACTCGTTTAATTAAAATAAAGAAATGGCAGCATTTATCAGTGTGTCCCGATTGCGTACTCACAATATCCATCGCCGTGAGCGGAAATCTTATGGGCAGCAGAAAGAAGAAGAACATTAATAACACCAGCAACAATAACATATAAGAGTCAGAAACTACTATTGGATCAAGACCACCGGCATTTTTTAAATGTAGTTTTTACTGTAAAATAGTAATATTTCATGTGTTTTAAACATAGCTTAAACAACTTGTTCAGTTGATATATAGTATATCATTATTGCTGTTGCGATCCATTGCAGCTTGTGTATGTTATCTTTCGTTGTTGTTACTTTGGTGGAAAGTACCCATTCTCATTGCTTATTATGGAGTTATGGATGAGGCGCGTACGTGGTACGAGTAAAAGCGTTAGCCAATTAAAACTGTTTTCAATTTTAAAATCTTATACAATTTTGTTCACGTAATAATAATAATAATAAAGTTCATTTCTTCAGCGCCATTTCCGTCTACGTAATCGCTCATAGCGTCTCACACAGGGTCATAGACACATCTAAAGAGATAAGTCTTTAGTTTTGTCTTGAAAGTGTCCAGAGTTGGAGATTGGCTAATTTCCACTGGAAGGGAAATCCAGAGCACAGATGCAGTGTGAGCAAAAGTTCTGTTGCCGAATGCTTTGAGTGAGACCATAGGGACACTAAACTGGAGCTCATGTGCTGATCTGAGATCTCGTGCTGGCTGGTGTAGGGTAAGAAGAGTATCAATTTTATTTTTGCTTTATTTGTGCCTAGCTGAGAGTTAGGACTTTACTGTGAGTTATATAAGTTTTTTTGTGTTAAAAGTACCCATTATCACTTGTTTTGAAAACACTCCGATACCCCGACCCATGTAATTATTGCGCAAAATAACATTCCCCCCCCCCCCCCCCCCCCCCCCCCCGACCCCACGTGATCCCTAGCCCACGACGTGTGACGTGCGCCAACAAAGCAAACAGAGTTTATCATATACTCGTCATTCATTATATGGAATTTTTCATCTAGAAATGAACCACAGCTCCCCTCGACATAACAAGGTCATAAGCATTACATACGTACATAATAATATTTTTAAATACATAACTAATTTTAATTACAAACTGTGGAGCGAATTAAATTATGTGTTTAGTGTTATAACGGGGGAGGAATGTGGGCAGGTTGCCATGTTTGCTGATGGCTGGGTTTCAAGTGATAAGCGTATGACCCATACCATGGCTGTTGTAATGTGATCAGCCACGTGACTTGAAATGAAGTAAATATCTAATGATAGCCGGATTTGTCTCTGATAAAAGTCATCAGATGTCGTCAGGTGGTAGTTGACTGCGGGAAGACCACAGAACTGAACGTCTAATCAATCCATTTAGTCAAGGTTTGTACATTGTCATTTAAATCATAATGTGGCTTTATCAAAATATTGTTAATTTTCTTTTACAAATTTAAAATCATATAAAAATTAATGCGAATTTATAGTCATATGTTACAATATTGTACAAATATCAAAAGAAACATCAGCCTGTCAGTATTCCGGGTTACGATAGATCCCCCGCGGCCTTGTAAGAGGCGATCGGATGGTCAGGCTCGGTGATTTGGACAATTAGGATGAGGAACGGTTGGCTACAATGTGTGCCCTGAATGATAACGTGTCATCCCACCCCGACGACGTAGAAAGATGCTCATATATTAATCACATGTTTGTCTCGCCCATTATTATCAGGCAGCCGTCATATCGCGGGGAAATATGATGCCTAAACCACAACAAACAAATCAAACAACTGTCCACTTTGTGTAAAGATAATATATTCTGATAATGTAGTTTGACGAAATGGTGCTACAGTTCTGTATATTTGGTATTAAATATATGCTAATATCATAAATCAAACCTCCCTATGAAATAGGTGTAGCCGCGGTTAAGTGAACGAATATCAACCTCGAACGTCCGGACTAATTAATTTTTAATTTCATTAACGGAAAACGTTACATTATTTACATTCGTTAATTCCGATATTTCTATGGCAACGATGCCGCCTAGACAAACGGGATTTGACTGTATTCAGGTCATATAATTCGAATCTAAAATACTTTAGTTAAAGTTACTTTGTGCAGATGACTATACTTGTTTTAATGTTGTGTCCTTCCTGACCTGGTTTGTTACTTTGTTTGAACATTGACACTTTACCTGTAGGTTAATCCCCAAATATACAAATTAGCAAAGCAAATTTCGCAGTTTAGATCTCATACTAATGAGTAGGGGGCACGGGTGGCCCAGTCGTCTAAGGCGATGCAGTTGGCCATGCAGAGTTGTATCCTTTTGGGGCGAAAGAAGTCTATGATCGTGGGTTCGAATCCTTGTTCGCCCTGATTATGTTTTCTGGTTTGTCAGCACCATACACGTGCTCGTAGGATTCACCAAAGTGGTACAGGTGTGTTACCTGCATCACATAAGCTGACACACAGTGATATAAGTGGAATACTGTTCAAAGCGCCATTCACCAATGAGTTTAAATATGTATGCTTTTACAAATGTATATGTTAACTGTTGCCTTGCTTTATTTCTCAGATGGCACTTGCTTTGTACGGCAACACAATCGCACAGATCGTCTTCAACTGTTTCTTCGCAATAGGAATCATCGTCAGCAATCTGGTACTAATCGGCATTATTTTGTCAAACAAGGAACTCAGACAAAATTCCAAGTATGTCATCGTCTTGTTCTTGGCACTGGCAGACTTATTCGTTGGAATATTTCCCCTCCCGATGTGGACACACACGCTGGTTACACAGGAAATCGATCTGTCGTGTTCAACTTTGAAGGCATTATATGCATGCAGTTCCATTACTACTGCCAACAGCTGCTTTGCCGTTATCGCACTGAACTTGGAGTTCATACTTCAATCTACAGTTTCGTCGTATCAAGGAATGTGCAAGAAAATGGTTACATGCATTCTCGTGGCGTTCTTTCTACTTGGACCGATCATTCTTCTGGTGCCAATAATGGTCAATGGTCAGTATCCTGGTGCTCCAGCGTGTGGGTTATTATTGTATGTGCAATACGCAAGAGCTCTTGTTGCCTTGTCCTATTGGGTTCCATCTTTCATCGCCATCATCTTGACAGTGGTCAGTATTGCTGTACATCAAAAGAGAAGACGGCAGTTGAATCATTATGGTCAACAGGCAGTATCCACATCCTCGACCAGTCCCACTGCACCGGTGGATATGATCCTTGCCTCGTTCTTGACAGTTGCTCTCTTCTTCCCAAGCGAAGTTATATCTTTGACAAGTGTCACGTGTTTCTCCGACTGCAGCTGGTATTACATACTATCAACAGTTTTTGGCTACTTTGCCTCCGCTAAATCTATGATCATCCCATTCCTCTGGTTTCTGAAAAAAGATTTCCGGTCAATAGCTAAAGGCCAGGTACCTTCCAACGCCAATCAACAGCCATTTGTCAGTCAGCCTCCTCCCTACTACGCGCACCAGCAATATCTGGAAGGTCCTGCAGCACTGACTACTGCTAATCAGAACAACTATTTCAGTCCCGTGGTAACTGAGAAGGATGACCCGGCAGAGGCAGTGAAACAGTAACAAAAACTATCCCTCCCTTGGGCCATATGCTCTTGTGTTTGTTATTGTACGCCACAATTAGCAATATTCAAGCTGTATAACCTGAAACAGACAGATCAGTTATTGGTGCAACTAGCATCGTCAAAAAAGAAAAACCCACCAGGGTACAATAATACGCCATCAAACAAATCATCGAGCCTGACCACCCTTTACTTGCCTTGTAAGGCAGGCATAGGTAACTGGAGGTAACTGGTAAAATGACAATGCAATGGTGTGACAAACATGGGTAATTACACAGGTTGATTAATACGGGTAATTAAATCGAAACCAAACTGTGCTGATTGTAGTATAAACAAGCAAATATTATTGTGTTGAATATTGGTATTTGTAACTTGTACGTTAGTCTCATTGGTGTTGACATTAAGTTCATAAACGTCTGTATATACTATTCGATCGTAAAACAAGTGTGTAATAAACGTTTCAAAGTGTATAATTTATGTGTTTAACTACATTCCCGAGACGAAGATGAGATTTAGTCCAACAGGACTATCTGGTTAAACAGAAATCCGTATTAAGTTCCAAGTGGAGTTACAACCCTTTGTAACCCGTTAAGTCGACAGTTTAATTCAGTAATAATAAATTGATAAAGTAAACAGAAAGAACAGATATGAGTTGCGTTACTTTATGCATTTATGAAAAAATAGTAGCATTCCGCCTCTACACTTTTTTTGTAGGAAGTATGCATTTTTTCGTTTTCATCTGTGCTCAGTTTGGAAAATCATTTTGCAAGAGTGAGTGAGTACGGCTGTACATCAGGGAGGGATACACCAGAAATGGGCTCCACACATTGTACCCATGTCGGGAACGAACCCAGGGCTTCGGCGTGAAGAGCGAACTCTTTAACCACTGAGCAACCCCACCGTTTCCATTCTGCAAGAATGACATTGTTGTACTGATTATAAATTAATGTAATGCGAGTAGGTGGACAGAGATATCTCCTGGCGGTTTCAAGACACTTGTGAATGTGAGGTTTGATAAACGCAGTCATACAATGAGACATAAGTTTAATCCAATATTGTTACACATAAAGGAAGAATACCGAGCATTTCACAACATAGACATCCCTACCCATGACGGTCACATATTTTGTTTAAAGATTCATTAAAATGTGAGACGTTTTACGATCATAAATACAGATAATATTGCGAAAGTAAATAAGGCTACCTTTAACGTCAATGTACACCAATGACGCATTGTGTAAGCAATAATCCACGCAATGAGCCATTGTAGACAAAGAATTGCATATGCTTCCATATACACATATCAAATTAAAATATACTACCTGTGTGAAGCATTATGAAGCTGAGAACAGAGGAGCCAAGGATTCAGTATATTCACTTGAGTTTACTCTTTTTTCTGAAAAAAGTATCCAAAGGATACTTCAAATCGTAGAAGATGGTGTAGAGAGTATAGAATAAAACTTAATTTAATTTTGGTGTCTCTGAAAGAAATGATTGATAATTTATTGACATGCAGCGTCGAGTTAAAGCATTTTGAGTCACCACCCTCATCTCCAAATTAGATTTTTAGCGCATCCCCAATGTCTTATAGAAGCACTGTTAATCAAATATTTCATAAGGATTGATTGGTAGCATTGATTCATCCATGCGGATTGCATATTGTTTTATTCTTATTCCAATCAACTGGTTGCTAATGGAATACATTAATCAATGTCATCACATGTAACCGGAACAGATTTTAGTATTCAAATGGGTCGATATTTACCTGGATCCATAATGGTACAGGTTTGAGAGTATGCTATGATTGTTGAAACTGTGGGTACCTACATTCTCAGCTGGCAGGAAAACCGGCTTAAATTCAAATCTATCAGTCAACTCTATTTCACAAGCATATTAGCACTGGATTTAATTTCCGTAAACAGTTTGAACCAAAGGAGTTATAATATAAATTGTCAAAATAAATAGGTGAAAACATTTATCTGCTTCTCCTGTATGTTTGAGTGAGTGAGTGAGCGAGTGAGTTGGGTTTATCGCTGCTTTTAACAGTATTCCAATTATATCACGGAATGTCAGCTTAATGTGGGAGGAAAGCCCGAAGTGATGCAGGTCTTAGACGTTTACCACTTCGGTGAAACCCACGAGCACGGGTATGGTGTTGACAAACCTAGAAACATAATCGGGGCGAACCGGGATTTGCATAATATACATTTTTATGATAATCAATATAACTATCATTTCCATTCCGACATGTCGAAATCTGCAAGATGACCGACAAAATAATTATTCTGACATATTGGTTAACATTTGTCAATGTATAATGTACCTGTAATTCATTAGTTGTTCTCGTTCAATTTATTTGATATATACTATGCAGGCCTTTCTAAAGTTCATTTACACGATTCAAGGAGGAAGGGTGTGTTGATAATATTTTATGAATAAAATTAAAATATGAGTAGCGAAACACCTTCCTAATCCACGTTTAGGGATATAACTTGTCATCCTGGACACAACAAATGTGTTGACGCCGGTGAACCAAAAAACTTAATACACACATGATAAAGAGCATTACTCTCCTAAATGTGCTTCTGGCTATTATATATACACAAAGAAAAAGGTTAAGCAGGACCCCTATTTATGAACCATGACAAATGGCAAAAATCATAGCATGGGATAACTGACCACATGAACTGGGCGATTCCAATGTCATCGGATAGAACAAACATTTGACAACAAATAAAGAAGATATTGGTGAGTTGTGATTGAAATTTACTGACAAAAACATCATGGTAACACAGGTAGTTTTTGACCTTAGACAATACCTAAAAAAAGTATGGAGTTGCAGGATTAAGTAAACGAGTTACATTTGATGTTTCATGTGAAAATGTTCCTTCAAGACTCTACTTGACATGACACGTGAAACAGATCAGTAGCGGGTATAACCGCCACGTGCCCGGATGACGCATTCCACCCTACGTCTCATGCCTCCATTCAGACGTTGGATCTGTTGATGGGTCAACAACAACCTGATGCAATGCTGCTTCAAATTGGCGTAAATCTTGTAGAGGAGGATCTCGTGCCTGTTTGCGCCGCCCCAGAATATCCCAAACATGTTCAAGGGGGTTCAAATCTGGGCTCATTGCTGGTCAGGGTAGAGTCGTTATTGCATTGGCAATAATCCACGACTGCATGCGAATGATGAGGCCTGGCATTGTCATCCATGTACTGAGGTCAAGTAGCAAGAGGGTGGTTGTCAAAATGAGGAACGACGACCGGCCTCAAAACGTCCCGAATGTACTGAGCCCCTGTAAAGTTGCCCCTTATGGTGACCAAATCCAACCTGAAATCATGAGAGATACACCCCAAAACCATTACCGAGCCCCTGCCGTATGCAACAGTCGGTTTAATGTTCCTGGGGTGTAGGCCGTGTTCCGGTGCCTCCAAACGCTCGTTCTTCCATCAGTGACGTGGAGCAGAAAGCGACTTTCGTCTGACCAATGGATCTGTCTCCAAGTTCTCAGATTCCAGTTCTATCGCGCAATACACCATGCTAAACGAGCATCTTTGTGGTGATCTCTCAACAAGGAACGCTTTATGACTCGTCTAGCGCTCAGTACTGCTGCTTTCAGCCGGTTCCTGACGGTTCTGGTGCTGAAACGACGATTTGGCAACCACAGCTGTTTCAGACGAGTACTTGTTATAAATAGGGTTCTCGGCGTATGAGACGAAGAAGGTCCCTGTTTTCGTCAATTCGCGATGTGTCGTCACAGGAGGTCTTCCGGATCTGGGACGGTCCTGTACATCACCGGTCTGAGCATGTTTCTCGACTAAACGGCTTACGACAGTGCCATGATACCCCAATTTCCGACCGATGGCATTACAAGACATTCCTGCGCTATGCATGCCGATCTTGTGGCGTTTGATAATCGCCTTCGTGCCATGGTCACACGATGTCATGGAATAACCACTTATAACCGAGCTTAAGAAAGCAATGTTAACCTTTCGGATATAATGCTTTTAGAGATACTCCAGGGTAGCATGCTGCACGGGCATACCATGCATGGCACGTGAGCTTTCGTCACGCATGACTGATTACATCATCTCGAGGAAACAATTCTTCCCGTAATTATATCTTTCATGACTGTTACAAATATTGCAACCAAACAATAACGAAATATATGAGGATGTGCTTAACTTTTTTTCTGTGTGTATACATTGAATTCACTTTGTCCTAATACAAGGTTTTCATACATGCTATTGTTTGTTTGTTTCTTGTTTAACGCCGCACTCAGCAATATTCCAGCTATATGACGGCGGTCTGTAAATAATCGTCTGAACCAGACAATTAAGTGATTGATATCATGAGCATCGATCCACGCAATGAGGATCATACATGCAGCATGAAAATACAGGGCCATGACACTTCATGAATGTATTGAATGCATCTTCGGCAACCCCTTAACCACATCATGGGACTCGTATTCCAGTATTTTTCTTTTCCAATTTGAATTCCAAATGAAAATTAGGAATTACTTTTGTTTGTTTGTTGTTGAACGCCGCGTGCCATATGACGGCGGTCTGTAAATAATCGAGTCTGGACCAGACAATCCAGTAATTAATAGCATGAGTATCGATCCACGCAATTTGAATGGATGGCATGCATAAATCAAGTCAGCGAGCCTGACCACCCGATCATGTTAGTCGCCTCTTACGACAAGCATAGTCGCCTTTTACGGCAAGGATGGGTTGCTGAAGACCTAATTAAGAATTATAAATTATCTAGATTAGAATGGAATTCAACTACTTATACGTATGTAAATAAATATGTGGTGGTAAGAGGCGACGTATTAAGATCTGGTGGTGCGGTTCTGTGACTTGGCTGATTAAGGTTCATGCTGCCCCAGTGGCGCGGATCGTTGCTCATGATTCCAGTCACTTGTTTGTGTGGTCCAGGCTAGTTGAATTTAAAATTTGGAATGGCAGCATTCAGGACTTCTGCATGTCTTACAGATGATATTTATAATTCAAATGGCTATTATAGATGTCAAACTCAAAAAGTACAAAAGGTTGAAAATATCTAAAGATAGCTGTCGATCAAGGCAATACACATCCCGAATTAAGACGAACTCAAATGGACAAATGGATTTTAGGATGTCTAGAGGCATGCCCTCACAGGGCTTTTTTTCAAGCTGCCCCAGTGACGCGGATCGTTACTCATGATTTCAGTCACTGGTTTGTGTTGTCCAGACTCGTTTATCTAAAATAATAAAGTGGCTGCATTCAACAGTGTCACATCACGATGTAAGCACTTCTCCAGTTATTTACTGATGACATTACATTGACCCAATGGCCATTATGAATGTCAAAAAGTACTAAAGGTTGAAAGTATTTAAAGATGGATATCGATCAAGGCAAAACAGATCTCGAATTAAGACGAACTCAATTTGGACAAATGGATTTTATGATATCTAGAGGCATGCATTTACAGTTTGTTTTTAAAAAGGAGTTCTGGGCTGGTCAGTTATGTATTTTGAAAGGTTCAGTATTTCAGTGTATATCACAGTTTTGATGTTGTTAGTTTACAGTAATATTGAAACTGAGCTCGGTTTGGACGCTATCAGATACTGGCTGAAAGAGTATCGCCATGAAATACCAGATAGATAACCGGATGAGTTTATCATTGATGCATTGAAGTTTGTTAATACCAATAACATGCTTTATTTTGATGGATGTTATCATTCACAAAAGAAATGAGTAGCCCTAACTACCCCATGCAACCCTCATTTTTGGATTTTGAGAGGATATATTTGAGAGATAATCTCGGAATCTATTAAAGAGCAAATGTACGGAACAATTTAAAGCTAATTCCTACCCGGAATCATGAAAAACATTGTCCATGGTACAACGAAACCTTTTGGCAAGTTCTAAATTTGATTCTGTTTCTAAGTGTGGTGACAAACGTTGGCTTACTTGCAGCAATATAATTGAAGGCTGTTCAGCCCAAAGTGCAAAGGGCACTAAATGTACTGTAAAACAAAATATGACATGTTATACCAGAAATGTTATTTATTGTTAATTTGGGTACAGTGAAAAGTATATCGGGAAGACAGAACTTAAATTAATAGAAAGAATGGATCTTCACCGTTCACAAAAAACCCAACCACATAACGGCACAATTCCACTCAGTGAACATTTAGATGTGGAAGCGGCAACATTTTAGTTTTCCCGCTATGTGAGCTTAATTTTGATGATCAACCTACATTGTTTAAAAAAGAGCAACATTTCATTCATAAATACGCGCCTAAGTTAAATGTAAAGGCGTAAGTTATTTTTCCATTGTTACCTTGGTATTTTGACGTCATAGTTCTCCTAATTGTCATGACGTCACGGATACAGTTTCAAGTACGTTAATCAGTTTTGGCCTGAGTTATGGATGAGATTCGTACGTTGTATGAGTTGAAAGCGCGAACCAATTAACAATGTGCTCAATTTTACTCTATACATGAATTATATTTTTGCTATATTGTGCTATATATATTTATATTCTTTTGTTGTTGAAAGTACCCATTCTCATTACTTGTTTTGAAAATACTTCGACAATCCGACCCATGTGACTATTACGCAATATAAGATTTCTCCCCACCCCGCCTGATCCTCACCAAGCCTTGTGTGGCGTGCGCCAGTAAAGCAAACAGAATTAATCATATACTCGTCATTCATTATATGAAAATTTTCATCTGGAAAAGAACCACAGCGCCCCTCGATATAACAAGGTCAGAAACGATATATTACATGTACATATTTTCTAAATAACTTGATAACTAATTCCAATGGACAAAATGTGTGGCGAATTAATAATAGGCAGGTGTCCATGTTTGCTGGTTGCTAGGTTTTGTCACGTGATAAGCGAATGCCAACTATCATGGTTGCTGCAATGTTATCAGCCACGTGACTTGAAATGAATTAAATATCTAATAATAGCCGAATTTGTCTCTAATAAAAGGTTGTAGAGGTCTTGGCAAGGTTTGTATATCTATATAAGAATAATGTTCTAAATTTAAAAGTGTTTCCGTCCGCCCGACTCCCTCCGTTGGGAATTTCATGTACGTGACACGTTACATTATTTACGTTTGTTAATTCCAGTATTTCTACGGAATCTAAAATACCTTTGTTAACGTTTCTTTGTGCAGATGACTATACTTCTTTTAATGTTGTTTCCTTCCTGACCTGGTTTGTTACTTTGTTTGGACATTGACACTTTACCTGTAGGTTAACCCTAAAATATACAAATGTGCAAAAGATATATCTGCAGTTTAGATCTCATACTCATGAGTAGGGTGCACGGGTGGCCCAGTCGTCTAAGGCCACGCAATTGGCCGTACAGAGTTGTATCCCTGGGGCGCGAAAGAAATCTATGATCGTGGTTTCGAGTCCCTGCTCGCCCTGATTAGATTTCCTGGTTTGTCAGCACCATACTCGTGCTCGTGGGATTCACCAAAGTGGTACAGGTGTGTTACCTGCATCACATAAGCTGACACACGGTGATATAAGTGGAATACTGTTCAAGGCGGTGTTAAACTCAACTCATATATCAATGATTAAACAGTATTATGCTTTTACAAATGTCTATGTTAACTGTTTTATTTCGTAGATGGCACTTCTGTAAAGTGATGGCTTCTGTTGTCTATTACTAATCACCTTTCAGCGCCAATCATCTGTTGGCTTCCCTTGTTAGTTTCTAGCATTTAATATTTTCCACCTTTTGTTATCTTATTTATTGTGTTGTCCTTACAGGTACATATATATGCTCTCTGCTCATGACATTCATTTACCTGATGAAGGAGTAAGCATATGTTCCGCAACGTTGCGTTCCTCATAATAAAGAAGTTGACTTCCATAACTTCTCTTCCTTATGTGTATCACTTCTAAATGCCTTTTAAAGACCTGTTTCGACAGGTTCTAAATATTCTGTTTTTTACTCAGCAGGTGTCTTGCCCTACTTGCAGAAGTATAAGGCTGTTCAGTCCAAATTTCAAAGGACACTAAATGTACTGTAAATCAAAATATACTTGTGATACTAGAAATGTTTTATACTTGATTGTTTGTAGTGGGTGCAATGAGAATGATATCAGGAAGACAGAACTTAAATGAAAAGGAAGAAAAATCTTCACCGTTCACAAATTTAGCAGCCACGCAACCGCACAGATCCACTCAGTGAACATTTCGATTCATGTGGAAGCGGCAACTTTCATATGTGTGTGTGTGTGCGTGCGCGCGCGCATATATACCTTTGTTGTTGCTCTAGTGGAAAGTTCCCATTCTCATAACTTGTTTTGAAATTACACCGACAGCCCAATCCATGCGCTCATTGCGCAATGCCAGGCTACCCTGGCCCCACCTGCTGATAACACCCCGTTCTCTGACGTACGCCAGAAAGCAAACAGAGTTACTCATGCGTCATTCATTATATGGAATTATTCGTCTGCAAGAGAAACACAGCGACCCTCGATATAACAAAGTCATAAACAATAAATGACGTGTACATATTTTCTAAATAAATTGATAGCTTATTCCAGTGGACAAAATGTGTGGCGAATTGCTTGGATTTGTCACGTGCCTATGACCCATTCCATGGTTGCTGCAATGTTATCAGCCACGTGACTTGAAATGAGGTTAATATCTAATAATAGCCGAATTTGTCTCTGATAAAAGGTAGAGGTAGTCAAGTAGTAGTTGGATGCGAGGTTTGTATATCTTTATCGGAATATTGTTCTAAATTTAAAAGTGTTACGGTCCGACTGGACATCCGCCGTTGGAAATTTCATGTATGGAAAACGTTACATTATTTACATTCGTTAATTCCGGTGTTTCTATGGCAACGATGCCGCCTGGACTAACGGGATTTGTCTGTATTCAGGTCATATAATTCGAATCTAAAATACCTTTGTTGACGTTTCTTTGTGCAGATGACTATACTTCTTTTACTGTTGTGTCCTCCCTGACCTGTTTCCTTTTTACTTTGTTTGAATATTGACACTTTACCTGTAGGTTAACCCTAAAATATACAAATGTGCAAAATATATATCTGCAGTTTAGATCTCATACTCATGAGTAGGGTGCACGGGTGGCCCAGTCGTCTAAGGCGACACAATTGGCCGTACAGAGTTGTATCCCTTGGGCTCGAAAGAAATCTATGATCGTGGTTTCGAGTCCCTGCTCGCCCTGATTAGATTTCCTGGTTTGTCAGCGTCATACTCGTGCTCGTGGGATACACCAAAGTGGTACAGGTGTGTCACATAAGCTGACATTCAGTGATATAAGTGGAATACTGTTCAAGACGGTGTTAAACTCAACTCATATATCAATAATTAAACAATATTATGTTTTTACAAATGTCTAATAGTATGTTAACCGTTGATTTGGTTTTTTTCGCAGATGGCACTTCAATTGCATGGCAACGTTGTCGCCAACTGTTTCTTCGCAATAGGAATCATTATAGGCAATCTGGCTCTAATTGCCATTATTTTGTTAAGAAAGGAACTCAGACAGAATTCCAAGTATGTCATTGTTTTGTTCTTAGCACTGGCAGACTTATTCGTTGGAATATTTCCCCTCCCGATGTGGACACACACGCTGGTTGCACAGGAAATCGATATGTCGTGTTCAACTTTAAAGGCATTATATGCATGCGGTTCCATTACTGTTGCCAACAGCTGCTTTGCCGTCATCGCACTGAACATTGACTTCATACTTCAATCTACAATTTCATCGTATCAAGGAATGTGCAAAAAAATGGTTACATGCATTCTCGTCGCGTTCTTTCTTCTTGGACCGATTATCGTTCTGGTGCCAATAATGGTCAATGGTCAGTATCCTGGTGCTCCAACGTGTGGTTTGTATTCGCTTGTGCAATACGCAAGAGCTCTTGTTGCCTTGTCCTATTGGGTTCCATCTTTCATCGCCATCATCACGACAGTGGTTAGTATTGCTGTACATCAAAAGAGAAGACGGCAGTTGAATCAATCCTCTTCCAGTCCCACTGCACCGGTTGATCTCATCGTAGCCTCGTTCTTGACAGTTGCTCTCTTCTTCCCAGGCGAAGTGTTATCTTTGACAAGTGTCACGTGTTTCTCCGACTGCGGCTGGTATGACATACTATCAATAGTTTTGGGCTACTTTGCCTACGCTAAATCTATGATCATCCCATTCCTCTGGTTTCTGAACCAAGATTTCCGGTCAATAGCTAAAGGCCAGATACCTTCCAACGCCAATCAACAGCCAGTTGTCAGCCAGCCTCCTCCCTACTACACGCACCAACAATATCTACAAAATCCTGGAGCACAACCTGCTGCTCATCAGAACAACTATTGCAGATCCGTAATAACTGAGAAACTTGAACTGCAGGAGCCAATGAAACGGTAACAAATAACATGTCGCCCATTGGCCCATATGATGTTGTGTTTGTTGTTTTACGCCACAATTGGCAACATTCTAGCTATATAATCTGAACTAGACAAACAAGTGATTGCTGCCATGAGCATCGTCTAAAAGGCCATCAGGTAATAAACGTCAGCAACATCACGGAGGGATACACAAGAAATGGGGGCCTCATTGTACCCATGTGGGGAACGAACCCAGGGCTTCGGCGTGACGAGCGAACTCTTTGACCACTTTAACCCCACCATCCCGATTCTCCAAGAATGACATTGTGGTGCTGATTATAGATTCATGTAATGCGAGTAGGTAGAGAGACACCTCTCCTGGCGGTTTCAAGACACTTGTGAATCTGAGGAGGTTTGACACACGCAGTCATACAATGAGACATAAGTTTATTCCAATATTGTCACACATGAAGGAAGAATACCGAGCATTTCACAACATACATATCCGAACCCATGACAGTCACATATTTTGTTTAAAGATTCTTTAATACGTAACAATATTTACGATCATAAATGTAGATATTATTGCGAAGATACTTAAGACGGCCTTTAAGCTCATGTGTATCAACAACACACTCTGTATCATGTGATGATTCATTGATTCATGTGATGATGTATCATTGTTTGACTGACTTGTATAGTTGTAGACAGAGAAGTTGCATATGCTTCCATATATACATAACAAGTTCAAATATGGTACCTGTGTGGAGCATTATGAAGCTGAGAACTGAGGAGCCAAGTATAACGCTCATTCACGCGGAAGCAGTATTATTCACTTGTGTGTATTATTGCGAAAGTAATTAAGACGTAATTAAGACCAATATAAACTGTTAACACATTGTGTATCAGGCGTTAATTGCAAAATCAGGTCAAGCAATAAATCCACCCGATCCATCATCCACGATAAATGAGAAATTCACCTTGTAACTACAATATGCGTGTATCTAAAGTACGTTTTAAAAAAAAAAAATTCTCTTAAAAAATAATACCTATAAAACACGATGCCTTGTAAATGTATACATGACGATTCGTTATTTTGTCGATCTATTATTAGACGCCAATCATGGACCCATAAAGAAAATAGGACAATTCGCTCATTTCTTCTGCTATTTGTGACATCGACAATTGTGCAGACGAGGCCATCCGCCGACGGCGTGAACTTCATTGACATACACAATTTATTTGTTTGTTTGTTTGGTTTGCGTCACACTGGGAAATATTTCACAATATGGCGTGGTCTGTAAATACCCGAATCTGGACTAGACAATCCAGTGATTGATATAATGATCAACGTATCGAGCTGTCGGGGTACGATGATACGCAATCAACCAAGTCACCCGATCCACAGTCGCCTCGGACGACCGGCAGAGCTTGCGGGGAACCTGTAGCCGGGAATTGGTTTTCAGACATTTCAGTTGACAAACAAGTCAGCGGAGATGTGATACGCAGTCGAACCTGCATCAGACAAACCAGTGAGTGATAGCATGGGCACCGACTGACAGTTCGAAAACAATAATACACTGTAACACCACAAGAGATGTCACTTACCTCATCGTGGCCACGAATTTGCAAATTTTTCTTCTTTCACTAGACACGCCGTGATATTGCTGGAATATTGCTAAAAGCGGCGTAAAACCATACTCAGCCACCCCCACGAAGGAGGGTGTGTGTTCTCATGTTATCAGTCACTGGTTTGACTGTCACTCACTCACTCACTCTGAACTGCTCACTTTCAAACTCAGTGGGTGAGTGACTGAGTGAGTTCACGTATATAGCTGCACGTCCGCTTTATGTGGGATGACATCAAGGAATAGTGCTGACAAAGCCATAAACATATTCAGGGCGAATCTGGGATTCGAACCCACTATCCCGGGTTCCCGGCACCCTGAAAGGGACGCAACTCTGCCGAGCGCATTGTGGCGCCATGGGCTATATGTGTCCGCCATTCAGCAGATGTAACACTGTCTGGTCTCGTTGCTTACACCATGTCCCGTTGTGAAAGTGGGTTACATGTGTGAGATAGCACACATCTTGGCTGCCCTAGTTTGTGGCCGTGAAACTGATAGTGTTTGTCCAATCTTAGTTGGAGCTTACACTGTTTAGTAAGCTGAGATTAATCAAACGTTACAGTGATATTGTCACAGCGTGACACTGGTAACATTGTTATGTTAGATTGTTTTGTATTGTGTACTGTAATGTTGGTTCTTGTCTAATATGATCTGTTATATGTCTGTGCCACCCTGTCAATCATCCCATTGTCACCCAAACCTTAACGTATAATAGCTTTTGAACGTAAATCGGGATCCTCCTCATAGTTTTGTTCTGCACCGTTAAAGTAGCAATTGTAATACTTATATCTACGAGGGGGCACGGGTGGCCTAGTCGCCTAAGGTGTTGCAATTCGCTGTGCGGAGTTGCGTCCCTTTGACACGCTACAAAATATATATAGTGGGTTCTAATCCCAGTTTGTCAGTTATGTTTCTAGTTATGTCAGCACCATACCTATGCTCCTGGGTTTCATCAAGCTGACACACCGTGATATAACTGCGATACTGTTGAAAGCGGCGTTAAACCCAACTCACTCACTCATTCACCCTCTGACATCAACGTGAAAAAATGTTTAACTTTATGAAATGTTCCACCTCAATGACATGTAGACATTAAGGTGACCTGATATTCCGATTGAGTGTGCAGTATGTGTCGCTCGGAGGAAACGCCTGGTGGTTGAGCAGCTTATTCTGCTCATGGAGGGGCGGTCGGGTAGCCAAGTGGTTAAAGCGTTCGCTCGTCACGCCGAAGACCCGGGTTCGATTCCCTACATGGGTACAATGTGTGAAGCCCATTTCTGGTGTCCCCCGCCGTGATATTGCTGGAACATTGCTAAAAGCGGCGTAAAGCCAAAACTCTCTCACACACTCTGCTCATGAATGTCTGAGCTGGAAACTGCGCTCGTCGTTGTACTTGTGATATAAGATTGCTTTTGTGTTTGTTTGTTTGTTTGTTTGTTTGTTTTTTAACGCCGCACTCCAGCATATTGCCAAGTATATGACTGCGGTCTGTAAATAATCGAGTCTGGACCAGACAATCTAGGAATTGACATCATGAGCATCGATCCACACAATTGGGATACGATGACAAGCATCAACCAAGTCAGTGAGCCTGACGACCCGTTAGTCACATCTTACGACAAGCATTCTCGCCTTTACGGCAAGCATTGGTTGCTGAAGATCTGTTCTACCCCGGATCTTCACGGGTCTTGTGATGTAAGGGCAGGTAGTCCACTCACTGGGCACTGTTTGTGTATTGTGTATCAAATGTTCCGACACGGTGTCAATATTACAGCTAGTCAATACAGATAGAATACTCAAAATAACTTTAAGGGAACACAAGTGGCATATGTTAATTAGAGCACAGCGTGTAGACGGGTAAAAAACATTTATATTATAACTATACCACCCACAGAGTCTAAGACAATTTCAATATGATACTTTGTTCATGAAATTGTATGTTATGAAATGCAATAAAAACATTTGACCACGAGATCAAGTGAAGAGGTATTATGCATAAAGAGATAGCCAACGTTGACAAATTGTGTCTACTGCATGCTTGACACTGGCTGAAAAGAAGTACTTTTACAAGCTGGTTAATGGAAGGTGAAGTGAGATGGTGTTTAACGTCGCGTTCAATAGTATGTTAACGTATTTCGGTATGACGCGGACAGGGGATCGAACTACTGGCCTTCCTCTTTCCGGACAGACGCTCTATCCACTAAACCACTTGAGTGACGATTTGTTTCCGTGAAAGATAAATTATCAGCATGGGGGTAACATAACGTATTGAATTAAGGATTTCAGTTTCAGCTAAGTTGTACTATACCTTGTACCCGTTATCTCAAACTCGGATATGTTGAATTATTGTCACTAGTTTAATCCGGATATGTCGAACTGGATTAGTCGAATTCCCGGTTGTCTCGACCTCAATTACAAAATATTAATTGTTATTATCATAGGAAGTCGTGATAATCCAGTGATATGAATATAAGGCATATGGATGCATACACGTAGACATGACAGCTTCTGTTTTCATTTCGAGACTGTTATTTACATGCACGATGTTATACGTATTATCTTAGGGTTAGGTCAGATGGTATGAAGGACGAGTAAGATGTATCGAACTCCGGATTAAATCGAAGTATTTCTCAGGAGTCCGTGACAAAGGGGTTCGACTGAACATATGACATTATTGGTCTTTTATTTTCTATTAAGTCATCGGTTAAAGATACAAAAGATAAATCCCCGCTCAGTTCAACACCCGAAATGTCCATTATCGATTACACACCCACCAAATTATGAGATTATACTTTTTATAGTGTTAATAACATCGTATGTGCAGATAGAAATTGCTTCATAACAAGTTCATATGTCAGTGATCCTGTTCGGCAATATCAGATGTCACACTCTAAGAGTAATGTACACCCTATGCCTTATGATGTGTGTACATAACAAACTAGATCATAATGCATGGTCAAGTTAAGTCAAGTGTCCCTACTTTTCCACTTGCTATAGGACTTCTGTGCCATTACCTGCATCTTCACATTGGAATTATAATGATGATAAATACAAATTTCTAATGCGCCAATTCCATGCCCCGGTACGTGCTCATAGCGCTGCACAGTCCAGACATTACGAAGAACAGAAAGTTAATATTATGCATAGTAGGTTGTGAAAAGATGTGTTTTCAGTTTCGATAGAAAAGTGACAAGACTGCTGGCTGATTTGATGTCAAGGGTTTCCACAAGACTGACACACAGCAGGAGAAATGAGCTTGTACCGAGGGACTCGGCAGATTTTGGTTTTGAGAACGGAGTTCACGTACAGGAGTATAAAGCGTGAGAAGATCAGAGAGACAGGCAAGGCTGGTACCACGAGGACATCTATAGGTGAAACAGAGAACTTTGAAGTCAATTCTTGATTTGACCGGCAGTCAGTGGAGTTCTTCGAGGAATTCCGGGTAAGAATAGGTCCCTAGCAACTATGCTTGTCGTTCAAGGTACCTAAATGGATCGGATGGTTCAATTGATTGCGTGTCATCATTCTCCAATTGCATGTCATCGAACCTCGACAGCGTGGAACATACTGTAATTCACTGGTTTGTTTGATCGTGATGAGATAGTATGCGCATGAACAAAATTATGGTATGTTCGTCAAGCCGAGCAACTCTAAACACATTTCACTTGAATGCAATATAGATTTTTATAACGAATGTACTCTCAAATAATGCATAACAAGTCTTTTAAATTAATATAATTTATTCTTTGCATTGTATGCATGGCAAATACTACATTGTAATGCCACTGTGCTGTAGCAGTTGAACGTTACACATATGGTGATACATATCTTTCCGTACAAATGATCGGGCACTTAACATCTGAATTGTGGACGGATCGGGCACTTAACATCTTGATTGTGGACGGATCGGGCACTTAACATCTTGATTGTGGACGGATCGGGCACTTAACATCTTGATCGTGGACGGATCGGGCACTTAACATCTCGATTGTGGACGGATCGGGCACTTAACATCTGGATTTTGGACGGATCGGGCACTTAACATCTGAATTGTGGACGGATCGGGTACTTAACATCTGGATTGTGGACGGATCGGGCACTTAACATCTTGATCGTGGACGGATCGGGCACTTAACATCTGGATTGTGGACGGATCGGGCACTTAACATCTGGATTGTGGACGGATCGGGCACTTAACATCTGGATTGTGGACGGATCAGGCACTTAACATCTTGATTGTGGACGGATCGGGCACTTAAAATCTGGATTTTGGACAGATCGGGCACTTAACATCTGGATTTTGGACGGATCGGGCACTTAACATCTGGATTGTGGACGGATCGGGCACTTAACATCTGGATTTTGGACGGATCGGGCACTTAACATTTGGTTTGTGGACGGATCGGGCACTTAACATCTGGATTTTGGACGGATCGGGCACTTAACATCTGGATTTTGGACGGATCGGGCACTTAACATCTGGATTGTGGACGGATCGGACACTTAACATCTGGATTGTGGATGGATCGGGCACTTAACATCTGGATTGTCGACGGATCGGGCACTTAACATCTGGATTGTGGACGGATCGGACACTTAACATCTGGATTGTGGACGGATCGGGCACTTAACATCTGGATTGTGGACGGATCGGACACTTAACATCTGGATTGTGGACGGATCGGGCACTTAACATCTGGATTGTGGACGGATCGGGCACTTAACATCTGGATTGTGGACGGATCGGGCACTTAACATCTGGATTGTGGACGGATCGGGCAAAGTAAGATTTGGATTGTGGACGGATCGGGCATAGTAAGATCCGGATTGTCGACGGATCTGGCACTTAAGATTTGGATTGTGGATGGATCGTGCATAGTAAGATGTGGATTGTCGACGGATCGTCCATAGTAAGATCTCGATTGCAAACGAATCGGACACTTAAGTTCTGGAGTGTCGACAGGTCATGCATAGTAAGATGTGGATTGTCGACGGATCGAGCACGTAAGATTTGGATTGTCGATAGTCCATGCGTAATGAAAGGTGAATGATGGACGGATCGGGCGCAGTAAGATCTTATTGTCGACGGATAATCGGGCATACAAAGACGTGGGATGTGGATGAATCGGGCATAGTAAGTAGGATATGGATGATGGACGGATCGGGCGCAGTAAGATCTTATTGTCGACGGATAATCGGGCATACAAAGACGTGGAATGTGGATGAATCGGGCATAGTAAGTAGGATATGGATGACGGACGGATCGGGCATGGTAAGTAAGATATGGATGACGGGCGGATTAGAATATAAGACTCTTTAACTTCACATCAGATATACGTCAAGCATAAACAATGTGACCACACCCGTGGGGACTGCAGGTTAAAATGGGTCCTAGGAAGCTATGGTTGTCATCCGAAGCGACTACGCGGATCTGGTGGTCAGACTCGGTGACTTTGTTGACTGCGTGTCATCGTATCCTGACGGCATTGGACCTTACTCATCATCGCTTATTGTCTGGTGCAAACTCGATTAGTTACAGGTCGCCATCATATGACTCGTCTTGCTGAGTGTGGCGTTAAACAACAAATGCACATATTGTGAAGAACGTACAGATATGTAGAGCATATAGCTAAGGGACCGACGAATTGATATTTGGAGGGGTTACTGGAAATGTTTTCAGCTAGAGCTCCAAAACAATATGTGTTTTAATTGAATCTGTGTGCCTAAATATAATTTTTAAATATCTTGCAACATGTACACAATGTATATTTTTTGGCAGACAATGTCGTATTTTGTCAACAGTCTGAAGCACAATAATATTTTTTAACATTTTTAACCCCTAGGATCTCAAATGGTCAGCTCATAAGTCTAGATTACAGTGGTTCTGAGTGAAGCGAGTGTTTAGTTATTTGTATGTTCCAGACACAAAGTTCCACTGAAACCAAATTTGCAGCCATGCATACATGTCCCATCAATACCACATCGACCACTGGCTCCACAGTTTTCACAATGCAGATCACAGTGCGTACCGTAGAAGCCGTTGTGGCAGCCATGAAGACATTGCCCCGACCATTTCTCACATCCAGCATAACAGCCCGGGCTACAGGGTATGGAGCAGTTTCTCCCCCAGTTACCAAGATGACAACCTTGAGGACATTCTCTAGTCTGGAAGATTTCTTGAAGGCTCAAATTGCCGCAACTTTGACATTTGTTGCGTTTTTCCACATAACCACTTACACACTGATTACCTGAAAGATAAATTGTAGGGGCTTCAAAACAAGGACAAAGTGTGTTTTGGGGCAGAAAAGTTCTGAGCCTAACTATGATAGACTGCGTTGAGTTGACTGATAATGTTTTTAAACAAAATCCCCTCCGATGCTAGAGTGCTTGGGTCCCATAGGTGTAAAATGCTCCTCCACAGCAGAAATGACGTCAATGTCATTTACATATTGCTTGTCAGACAGTTCTTTCTTCTTCTAGGAAGTGGTGGAAAGCTGACGGTGCCAAATCTGTTGAAAACGGAGGATGTTCAAAGAGTTTAAAGCCACAGTCATGCATTGCAGCCAGATTTTTGCATAGGTGGATCCAGGAGGAACAACATAGCTTTAAGTTTTCCATCTTGGTATTATCATGAAGTTGCCTCAGCAAAATGATATTATGAAGGCCATTAATGGTCTGACCTTTCGGGGGATAGTCCATCAGTATGATTCCTTTGGGATTCCAGAAAACCGAAGCCATCACCCTGCCATCTGAAGGAAAAGACTTTGCCTTCTCTCGAGGAGTCGACGTTGGATTTCTCCACTGCTTTGACTGTTGTTCAGTCTCTAGCTTATAGTGATGCACCGACAGAAACACCCATAGTTACAAACTGCTCAACAAAATAAACTGGATCAACTTCAAAACTTCTCAGAGATGATGAACCTGAAGTGTCTTTGTTCAGGAATCAGAAGTCTTGGAGCCCGGCGTGCTGAAACCTTTGTCATGCCCAGTTCATTCTCATGCGACATACCTACTGTATTGGCTATGAGTGGTGAGTTGTCTATCATCCATAGTCACATCATGCACTTTATCAACAGTGTCCTTAGTGGTGACAGTTGAAGGTCTTCCTGGTCTGGGATCATCTTAGAGTCTCTCTCGTCCTCTCTCGAACTCCGCTGCCCTCAGTGGCAAAAGAAGGAGTCTCAACCACTAACGTTAAAACCATGTTCGCATGGGTGGATATTGGTATTAGTCCTTTCATTTGGAGATTGTGCCATTACCAGTTTTGTCCATTTTCATCAAAAGAGAATAGTAGATGCTGGAGAAATATCCTGCCTGGTAGTGTATGCATTTGGTTTAAATGCAGTCTGTAATTATTGAAACTATTATACTAAACACATGAAAACTGTTAAGGGTGTGATATACAATCTTAGTAGTTAGGCTCGGAACTTTTCAGCAATTCCCTCATTGAATTGTTCCTCGTCCGAAATAAAGTTCGTATAAACGCCATGTGTGTAGGGGATGTTTGTAATTCACCTTTTCCCGGATTGGACGTTCAAATACATTTAACAAGGTGGTTAGCATATGAGGGGACGAGTCTTTATAGCATTGTAACGAACCGTTCTATAGAGGCACGATGACATAGTCAATTGATTCATCGTGGGAATTCCGGGTTAGAATTGGTCCCAAGCAACATAATGGTGGCTAAATGAATCGGATTGTCAGGTGATTCGCGGTTGTGTGTCATTGTACGTGGGACGTTGCTCCTAATACAAATGAGTGGTTGGTCATGTTCAGATTCGATTACAGCCTTTTCATAGTGGGAATATTGCTGAGTGCCACGTTAAACAATCAACAATGAAACCCCACATGGTCTATACAATACCTGAGAGCCTGATGCTGATATACTGAACTCACCGTCATCGTGGAGCTGACACGTTTGGCATGTTGCCGAACACGCTGAGGCGATTCCAGGCTGCTCACACATTGACGGGGTGATGTCTATCGGACATTGAGGAAACGTGTCCTGACAATCCAAACCTGCAGGGAGAATAATGATGAAACAGGTATGTAAGTCAAACTACGATTATTGAGGACTAAATCTTCGGCAAGTTATCAGTATGTTACACGAAATTGTCTTCAGGTTGATCAAAGGTAGCAAAGTAAAGTAAAGGGGACACCCGTGACTGCCATCTTCCTATTTGCTTTAACACTTTTGGATGCCTCACACACGTGGTGTAATTACTTTATAATCACTTGATGTGGGAAGAACTGAAATATAAAGAGACTAACCTGTCTAGATTCCATCTGGCGTGAAGGACAAAATAGCTGTGAAAATTATATAAATGGACCACTGGAAATCAGTGATGGCACCAGATGAAAATAATTTATCCCCCATTACCATGAACCAAAGTGATATTTTTAAATAAACTACCACATGAACATTATATTATTGTTGCATTTCAGATGCCTGACAATGATGGATTGGTAATTTGGTAATTTGGCACAAGGGTCTCGTAAATGAAAGCACGTCAACTAATGAACGTCTACTGATAATAACACAGGCAAAACCATAACTCCTTCTGAGAGCATACATGTGATCAAATTAAGTTTACAGTATAATACCATTTTAACGTGAGGTGTACACGATAAACGACTTTTCCATTGGACAAGACGCCGGTCCCACGCGAAACTGACGTTATTTAGAAGTCAAGAGACGGTATTCTTGACATGACGTAACCACTGAGGGCCTACTTCCACATTCTTTGGAACCCCCTAGGGGTTCTCTTGGTCGAATACATACAGAAGCGTTCTTTCTGTCATTTAGACCCTTTCATCAGAGAGTTTGACTGCCTCGTTACGACCAATCCTTATGAACAAAACGAAGAAATGCACATCCAAACTATCGTAGCATCGACTCAATCCATGTCATGACTGACAGTGACAGTCTACAGCAATCTATGAATTTACCTCAGTATCTATTTTACGCATCTTCGCAATCACCTGTCAATGATCGGCCAAATGATCGGTGATGGCTAACACTTATAATCGCCACAGGTTCCTGAACAACTTCGGAAATATCTCCCGTCTCGTTATCGTGTAGCCATTTTCGCGTCCAGGATTTGATGTAAATGTATCACTGTGACTGACTAACCGACGTTGTTCGTGAGACAACTTCTTCATCTAACGATGGTATCTTTTGAATCTATTTGTTGTAACCAGGCAATAAGAGACGTCCCCGTAGAGCAAGTTGAGCATACATACGCTCATGTCACCTCTCCTTTTGATGAACTATTTTATTCCGTGTTAACACGAAGTCACAGGTACCAATACATTCCTGTAATAGACGTCTATCGACAAATAAAAAAAGTGATATAAAAATATAAGAATTGACCTTTACTTTGTGTGAGTTCATTGGAGTATGAACCTTCATAGAATGAGGGCCAAACATTATTCAAACAGCTTGGTCCTCACTCTATGAAGGTTCATAATCCACGCAAAGTGAAAGTCAATACTTAAATGAACTAATGGAAAATCAAATTATAAATATGTTAATGGTAGTGTATTCTTAACATGTCCTTCTTGGGTGTCCAAAGTCAATTCGTAAATGAACTAATGGCAAATCAAATTATGAATATCTTAATGGTAGTGTATTCTTACCATGTCCTTCTTGGGTGTTCAAACAGAACCCCGCAAGCAGTGAGAAGAAGAAGACGTGAAACGCCATGTCTGTGGCAGTGTCTCTCGGTCAACAGCTGGCTCGGATGTCACAGGACCGGTGTTGATGTACAATGTAACCAGCCTCACGGCATGGTGGATGAAGGGGGCGTGTAGGCAATGTCATGTGGGATATCTCCATAAAAGACATAGTTTTTTCACATGTCGTTACAAATAGAGCTTCTTATCTGACAACAGCTATATAGTCCGATACGGTTTAAATAATATATAATTACACAAGACGCAGAAGGATGTGCTGGGAAATAAATGTTTGAATATAATTCAGCAATGGCTTTCAAAAATACTCCTTTCTGATTGATAAATCAGAGGTTTCTAATCACAATTGGGTGCATGGGTGGCTCAGTCGTCAAAGGCGCCACAATTCGCCGTGCGCGATTGCGTCCCTTGGGCACGCCAGAAACCGATGATCGTTGGTTCGAATCCCGGTTCGCCCAGATAATGTTTCTAGGTTTGACAACACTATACTCGTGCTCGTGGGTTTCACTAAGTGCTGAACCTGGGACCTACATCACTTGGGACCAAGCTGACACGTAACTGGAATACTGTTCAAAGCGGCGTTGAAACCAACTCACTCACTCTAATCACAATAGACACTCCTGTCTGAAACAGTGGATTGGAAGGCCGCATTATTCGGAAAATTATACCAGTATTTATAGTGTAGGAAATGGGGTAATTTATTTAGTATGCGCCTGCTTAATGTAATTTCTCGGCGGGAAATGTATATCCCAAAGACAGTTAATCATAATTATTTTTGTTTAGAAAGACTCTGTCAAGTATCCAACAACGATGCAATGATAAATTTTGCAAAATTTCAAATGTACGTGTTCTCAACACACACAAAAAAAAATAACAATTAGGTAACTTTTAGATAAATAAAATGTAAATGTATTTTGTACAATGGGTCAAATGGCCTTATACAAATAAATCTGTCTGTCTGTCTGTCTGTCTGTCTTAATGTAATTTCCCTTCAAAAAATCTAACGATAACAATAATTTATTTTTTGACATGTAATTGAGTATGTCCGTTTAGGTTGTTTCAGGTTGGGCGAAAGGGAAAATAATATGGCTCAGGGTTTGTGAGACAGGCAAATGGAACGTTACAGTAGAAGGAGATGTTAGTGGCTATTCAATTTCGTTTCCTGAGTTTCTGGGTTTTTTTCCTCCTTTATAACTGCACCACTAAATAACCTGAAAATGTGGTGTACCTGCCCCCTTTGGGATGCTGGGGTCAAATGTGTTTGTTTCTAAGATGGAGAGGATCGTTGATCATGTATTGCTATAAGCACTGGTTTGTCTTGCCCAGACTCGAATCTTTATAGGCTGTCGTGATGTAGCTCGAATATTGCTGCTGCGATGAAACAATATTCACATTAAGTAGTCAATACATGAACTAAAAACTACAAAAAGAAACACTTTTTTCCATGCTATTGCAACATGATCAACATTTAATTCATGAATAAATCGTTTACACACAATATGAACGATCATGGGAGGGTATACCAGAATGGAAGAATGATCCATTTGCATGTATCCTATCGCTAGGTATATATTCAACCATCCCCAGCGCGTACTCCGCCGCCGAGACTTGCATCCCGTAAGATACGTTCCGACTCTATCGCGCCGTCCTCCATCACGTTTAATCAGTCTGATCACATTGTGGTCCCCTCCATCTCTGCCTGCATCCTGTGCGACACGTTCCATTCTTGAAGCACCCTCCTCCATCACAGTTCTCACAACGTAGTTCACAGGCCGCATCGTAGTTGCCGTTGATGCAGTCACCGAGACATTGTCCCGTCAGTCTGTCACATCGTCGTCCACTGCAGGCAGCGTTACACAGGTCACGACAGTGCCACCCCCATCTCGCGGGGTCCTCGCAGGGATCTGCAGGTACAACAATAACGTGACTTAATAGAAGGGAGCTAAGAAACTGTTATTTCACGTTTATCAATAGTACACATTACGTAAGAAGTTTCACATGAAGTAGCTGACTCGCATTTGTTAAATTTCTTAATTTGTTGTGGTTGTGCTTGGCGTAACAGTTGTTTTCACTGGTCCGACCCCGTCTCCACTCTAGTGAGACGTGCAGCTGCTGTAGCCCTGCTGTCCCCGACAGGGCCCAATACGCTTGGTCAGATCTCATGAGCAGAGCACCAGGTGTTGATGGCTGTGAAGAACTCACATGAACATGTACATGTCTCAATGAAACCAGCAACAGCTTTACTTTCTGGTTGTTTGTTGTTGAAAACGCTGCAAAATATTCCACTAATAGACGGCGGACTGTAAATAATCTAATATGGACCAGGGAAACCATGGTGATTCATATTATTATCAACGAACCACGACGTACAATGACACGCAGTCAACCAAGTCACCGGGCCTGACAACCCGTTCAAGTAAGTCACCTCTTATGATTATCACCCAGTCGTCCAAGGCGCCGCGATTCGCTGTACAGAGTTGCGTCCCTTGGGCACGCCAGAAACCTATGATTGTGGGTTCGAATCCCAGTTCGCCCTGATTATGTTTCTAAGTTTGTCAGCACCATACCCGTGCTCGTGGGTGTCACCGAAATGGTAAACGTCATCTCTTCGGGCTTTCCTCCCACATTAAGCTGACACGCCTTGATATAACTGGAATACTGTTAAAAGCAGCGTTAAACCCAACTCACTCACTCACTGGTTGCTGGGGACCAATTATAACCAGGAATCCCAACGGGAAGCTTCAGTTCACTCTCAAAGGTTCTCCATGTTGGAGTACTCACCCACAGGCTCCACACAGGCTGAGCACGCACGTCTACACGCAGGGATAATGCCTGGCTGATCACACAGTGTCCTTGTCACGTAGTGCGGACATTCTGGGTATTGGTCCCGACAGCTGTTCACAGGATGACCTAAGTTGAAGTAAATAATGTACACATGTATGTCTAAAACCGTTCATTCTTCCCCGCCCTGAAGGCGGGGAAGTATACGGGAAACGTTAATTTTGTAGCAAGTATGTCGACATGTTGGTTTATTTGAAATTTCAAGCCACGCATTTACGGAAACAAAATATACAAATCATGTGCGTGGAATGTTGATGCTATTCTTTTCCAGCAATAAGAGATACTTCAAAATCGTCTCTATGTAGTTAATTGATGCATCTGACCGTTTCTGGTCATTAGCTGACATTATTAAACCATTCATGTGTAATCCGATGTCCTTTTTACCTCAAGGACTAGACTAACAGATAGTCTCTGAAATGAACATATCATATAGAAAAACACAGTTGTTCAGTTATCTTAATAATAATCTAATAAAAAGGGAGCCCAGTGATTCTCTTCCTGATACTGAAGTAATCTAGACTTGCCAAACATTATAGACTTGCATTGGCTGTAGTTGATATAAATGTATCAGGGTCTGTAAGACAGACTACTCAAGGACTTATTTTCTGATTTTCACGGTGTATACAAAAGAAGAACTCTACTCCGGAGATCGTTAATAACAGCATGATATAAAATATGTTCTGAATATGCTTACTCATGAACAACGACGACATCTCAATTTATATGTAATATGGCTGAATTCCACATTCTACATACCACACTTTTGATTGTTTGGATGCTCATGTTCACTGGAAATATTTGGACAAGTTAAATTCCGTATTTTGAATTAACCCAGTCCCCTGTGTGTTTTTAAACAGTGCACCGCACATAGCCACATGTGAAACGTTTGGGAGCAAAGTCAAAGCAAAATCGGAGTAGTGTGTCGGCGAATTTGCATCAAGGCCGTAGCCGTTTTCAACCGTTTAATGGAAATCAATGTCCAGCCGTAGCTCTGGTCACTCATATATTTTGTGTCCCATGGCTCAAATCTATTTGCGTCTGTACCGTGTTCCAAGGACCTCGATAATCTGTTGGATGAAGGCACAGCTCTCTACAGTCACATAGTTAACACCGAAGGCTATGAGGGATATGTAGGTTATAATCAGCTCCCAGCAGCCACTACCTCAAGCGATATTGTCTACATAACAGATCAGTTTTATAGCCCCGTCACAGGTGCCACAAATATAGAAGCAGGGAAAACAAATTTCACAGAATCATTTCAACAAGCAATATTGATATCCCCGTCAGTTTTGGTAACTTTTAATGATGTCTCCATTGCAATTTTTACGGATTTTGATTCGTATGCATTATTTGACTCTCATCAGCGGAATGGTTTGGATCAGATTGATCCGAATGGACAAGCGGTTTTACTTCTGTTTAGTAGTATGGACGAATCGTTATGTTACATCTTAACAGTATATCAGGCGACAATGCTTGTCGTAACAGGCGACAAACGAGATCGGGTGGTCAGACTTTGGTTGATGCATGGCATCGATCCCAATTGCGTGGATCGATGCTCATGATATTAATCACTGGATTGTCTGGTCTAGACTCGATTATTTACAGAACGCCGTCATATAGCTGGAATATTGCTGAGTGCGGCGTTAAACGACAAACCAATCAATCATCATCATATGAACTCAAACCAGTCATTGTTACAAGTAAACCACATTCCACAACAGTTACTGAAACTGGATAAAAAAACAGTACATAGAAAAAGACCTAGTAACTCAACTCATCATGATCACGATTACTATTCTTTGAAAGAAAGAAATACAAAAAAGAAACTGACCAAAAAACGTAATACAAGAGACGAGGAATCTCCGTTATTGATTAGTCCCGGTATTGAAATGTTCTCCAACTACGTGATAATATTTTGAGTATGTGCATCTGTGGTTGTGACAAAAAGACCTTAGTATTTTCATTTACATTTATAACCAAATTCCAAGTGTAAAAAGAATGTGATCTATTATTTGAGTATGTGTATCTGCCAATGTTGTTGGCAGTTTTGATACTATTTCCACATGTTTACATTTGTGCCAGAAATTGCTTCCATTTCCTTCGATCTACTTTTTTGATAAAGACCCAGGTTAGCATAGGTCATCAGCAACCCATGCTTGCCGTAAGAGGCGACGAACAGGATTGGGTAGTCAGGCTCGCCGATTTGGTCGATGCATAACATCATATTCCAATTGCGTAGTTCGATGCTCTTGGTGTCAATCACTGGATTATCTGGTCCCGACTGGATTATTTTCAGACAGCGGTCATATGGCTGGAATACTGCTGAGGGGGGCGTTAAACAAGAAACTATTTTTAAATAGACCTACCCTATGCAAATGTATCAACTGTATTGCCCAATACTCAAAATAAATAATATTTGTTTCCACAACAGCGTTGTGTTATTTGTGGTTAATATAATTATGCTCCTTCATGACTTTCGGTAACATCATAATTATGCGTTTGTGAGACATCACATATGGCGGGGAACTTTGATGCTCTGCATCAATGTTTTCTTGTTCCATTATACAGATGTTTTGGTAAATTGTAACAGTTTAAGTTAGCCCACTTTGACATCTTCATTGGTAGGTGAGAGTAGGTTGTTTAACTACGATATGACAATTAAGCCTGCAAGTGTTTGTTTGTGATAAACATCCTGTGGCTTCAATGTGTTGCTAGGTTACCTGTAGATATATATTCGTATAAACGTAAACAACATTAACTTTATGGTTGTCATCACATAAGGGCAGAGGTACATTCATGGACGTTACTCTATAGTGCGTTATATTATTTAACTTATCAAAGTAGAGGAGAAAATCAACATATTTATAAACACTATTTAAACAGCATTCAGCAATAACACAGCTTCATCGCGAGGGTATGTGAGTAATCGCGCCTTTCACAAGGCAGGGGAGTTGTTGACAGCATGAGCAACACTGACGAAACCCCAGCCAACACACATACCTTAATAATCTCACTGGTCTGTTCTAAATCAAATATTTGATTCTCCGAAGACAAAGTGAAGGTTTGGACAGAAAGAAAAAGAAAGTGAGACAAGAAAAGAAATTTAATAAAACAAAATAAATTGTTCAAATCTATTAAAATAACAATTTTACAGACAATTAAATGCAACCAATGGCAGTGATGAGAAAAGACCCACCATGGATTCCAGTGACAGGTTTTGGAAACAGTTGTTGTGTATACCCGGCAACTGTAACCTCGAGGAACCGCGGGTAGAGGAAAACAATGATATTGTACACGAAAACATAAGGTCACCATTGGTGGGTTTCATTACACCTGATTGTCTGAAAAATGTGGGCGGTCGGGTAGCCTAGTGGTTAAAGCGTTCGCTCGTCACGCCGAAGACCCGGGTTCGATTCCCGACATGGGTACAATGTGTGAAGCCCATTTCTGGTGTCCCCCACCGTGATATTGCTGGAATATTGCTAAAAGCGGCGTAAAATCCAACTCACTCACTCACTCACTCACTCACTCTGAAAAATGTAATTAAAGTCCAAATCTAATAGGGCCTGATGGTATTCGAAACCGCATTATTTCACTGTTTAAACAATACTCCTCCCAAAGAAAGGTGATTTGACTGACCCGAAATACCTCCGCCCTTATACATTTCTGAATACACACTATGTGTGTCTTACAGATCTTGTATCATCATACTGCACTTCCAATGACATTATTTAAATAAGGCAGAAAGGATCCAGACAGTGATGCTGGGGTTGTAAGGATCAATTGCTGGTTCAGAAAATGATCCTTGAAGAGGCTAAAACTTACCACCGTAACCTCTCAATGTGTTTGATAGACTACAGAAAACCTTATAATTCTGACTCAACTTGAGATGTATGCGCAGGGGCAGGTGGTGACTTCGGAACCCATTTCTTCCAGAAGAGGAATATTTCAGGGCGATTCTTTTAGTCCTTTGCTTTTCTGTTTGTTACTAAATCCCTTAAGTTTTTAGCTTAGCAAAGAGGGAGGTTATTATCCTGGACCTCCTCAGCACAGATCCCCAACACACAAATGGATGACTTATTGCTAATGGAGGATCCACACGAAACAAACATATTCTCATTGTCGGGTCCTTTTCTAATGATGTCGGCATGTACTTTGGACTCGACAAATGCAACATTCTTCATATGAAACGTGGCAAGGTAGAAGAGGGAGGATCAGTCATTTTACTTAGTGGAGGAGTTATTGACCATCTCGTGGAAGGTCAGGCCTATACGTTCTTATGGAGGCAGGATGCCCATATCCAGGAAACACTTCGGGCAGAGTACAAATGGAGACTTACGAAAATCTGGAGTTCAGTAACGTCAAAGCCACAAATACTTATGCTGTACCCGTCCTTTCATATTCTTTTGGCGTTGTTGATTGGACGAAACAAGAAATACAGGGTATTGACACCCTCATACGAAGAATCATGTCAGACAATAGATCCCACCACCCTCGCTCTTCCCTCAATCGGTTATATTTACCAATCATTTGATTGACGTGGAGGCTCTTCGTGATAGAATTCTTTTGTGCACTTTTGCACACATTTATATGTCTCATGATCCTCTTGTGTAGCATGTAAAGACTCATGATGCAAACAAGGCATTCGACAGTTTCCTTAAACGAGCCAAGGATGTGGGACATAATCCCAATGTCAATGTTGATTTTGTTGATGGTTTTGTACTACTGGGCGGTACAGAAATGAGTGTCAACCAAGCGAAGTATCAATCAAATCGGCCCAGACTCAGTGAGAGGCTATCTGAAGGCTATCTGCATCGAGTTTATGTGCAGGGTGTTGAGAGGATCAGCAACCCTGAAGAGTCCTTCGCTTGGATGAAGTCGGGTTGCCTGAAAAGTGAAACAGAAGGCTTTCTGTTCCCTGCTCAGGAGCAGTCACTTCCCACTCGAAACCGTCAATGTGTCATTTTGCATCAAAATGTAAATAGGAAATGTAGATTAAGCAATGAATTTAATGAAACTGTCCAACACATTGTCAGTTCATGCCCGGCTTTGGGACAAACACAGTATCTTAAGCGGCATGATGGAGTGGCTCAATCATTTTATTAGCGTCTTCGCCCTGCTTATGATTTTGACACAGAGGTCCATCCATGGTACGACCCGGAATATGTTGAGGGCGTCACGGATAATGATAAATACAAAATTCTTTGAAATAGGCCCTTATACAGTCTATGACGTATCACGGCCAACAAACCTGATCTTGTCCTTTTGGATAAATCATGAAATCATTTATATCATTGCATTTTCTGTCCCTTTCGACACTAATGTAAATGAAAAGATTCAGGAAAAACATGGCAATTATGCTTTCGAAATGTCACGCGTGCATCCCAAGTACCAAGTTGTCCGACTTCCCATTGTTCTCGGTGCCTTAGGTTTGGTACCTCCTAATCTGTTAACTGACATTGGGAGAGTGCCCGGGTATGCTGCCAGGAACACAGCCCCATTTGCTGTCTGGGCTGAGTGTGGAGGGTGCAAAGGCCCTGAGCTCATGATAGGATCACCCAAACCCTGTTTGCTGCATTTATATATTTTATTCTGTATAATAATAATAATAATAATAATAATAATAATAATAATAATAATAAAAACAAAAAAAACAATGCAATTATGTATAGGAAACCTTACCTGTTCCTCTGCCCAGTAACAAGGGCGCCAGCAGGAACAATAGCCAAACGGGGATGACAAATTCCATTCTTTAAAATCCAAACGGCCGACCCCCACAGAAAGGGGGAATAGCTTCTCAGCAGTGTCAACATACACTGACATGCAATTATAACTTGTTTGAGGCATATCAGTGCATGACATGGTGATAAGTGAAACGTTAGACGCGACAAGCACACTTGTCTTACACACACTGATCATTCTCCGGTGTACCCAAATTACTGCAGTAACCAGGTCACATAATATGTAATGGTATGTAAAGTGAGTGAGTGAGTGAGTGAGAGAGTGGCTGAGTAAGTGAGTGAAGGTTTTACGCCGCTTTTAGTACTATCCCAGCAATATAACGGCCGGGGACACCAGACACCCATGTGGGGAATCGAACCCGGGTCTTCGGCGTGACGAGAGAACGCTTTAACCATTTTGCTACTCCACCGCCCCAGTTGTATTTAAATCGTTCTCGTTGTTCCATAATTCTAAGAAAAGAAATAATTTAGTAGTAACTGAAGAGGGCAGGAGGGGTTGGGGGTGTGTAGTGGGGAGGACTGGAATTTTGTATATGGAAAGGATATTTATTCAACTACAGTTGCAAAACATTTTTGGTGGCAGACAATTTCCCCTTTTTCCAACAGTCTAAAGTATAATTATCTATTTCAAGCAATATCAGGAACAATATTTTTTTTCCGATAAAACCTTAAACACCCCCACCCCCACCGAATATCAAATGGTTGGTCCCTTTGTCTAAAAAATCACGAAACATTAAAAATAAAACCATAACGGTAAATATGCAAAACGTGCATAAATTTCATGAAAATATCACAACAGACTGTTGAAGAAATAACACTACTTTTGGCTTGATGTCTGAAAGAGAAATTATAGAGTAGCTAGGGGTGCACTGAAATTGTCATAATTGTAAAGCCTGGACATCGCGCAATGTCACCAAACCCAAATATTGGGAAATATAAATGTTACAATAAAAAGGGATAAGAAAATCACACATACCATATCAGTTGTTAAGATGGTTACAGTGTCACCCAGCACTCAGATGCCGTGTAGTTTGTGTAATGATGCTAAATTCAATCTCTGGAAAGTGAAGCCCTGTTGATCTGTCCATCTATATTTGTAGGAGGCATTCTTCTATTTCTTGCTGGTGAGTAAGTGTGTGCGTAAATCTATGTTATTTAATGATGTCGCAATCTGCAGTATTCAAGCTGTATCAAATCTGGACAGGGCAAACAAGTGACTGAAAACAGAAGACGTTCCTTGCCATCGGGGTACGGTGGCATGCATCTAACCAACTGAAGGCACATGGCCTGGCCACCCTATCCTTAGTTCCGTCGGCTCTTTCGATAAGCGGTAGGGTTTTGGGGATCTGTAATATTCAAATAAAGTTAAAGAAAACCCGATTCTTTCTTATTACCATAGTTTATTTGTCATGGCATGACAGATTAACTATAGTAATATGAAAGAACCGGGTATTCTTTAACTTCTTTTGAGTGGTATATTTCTGATCTTTCATTTCAAATTGCAAGTTTCCATTTTAAGTAATCAGTGTTTCCATGGCTTCAATCAATGCTGTCGTCCATTGGAACGTATTCAGGCCACAAAAGCAACGGCCTTTTCATAGAAATATTATGTGAAGCCTCGTTAATCCGAATCCATTCAATACGGAAACCTGTTTTCCGGACGATTCGTTTTTTTCTGGATGATTTCACTGGAAACGGTGCATTGTGGGTTAAAATAGTTTTAATCTTCTTCTAAAATGACAACCACAGCACCCTGATGATATGTCATAAGGTTTATTCAGATTACAAAACCAGTGCTATCTATGCACACGCAATATCACGTACATATTGTCGATGAATGAAAACAATGATTCCATGGGTTATTTGCCTGCAATTTCACATTTGGTGCCCGCTGAAGGGATAGGAGCCGGTTTATAAGTCATCAATGAGGCTACTGTAAACACTTGTCGGTAATGTGAGTGAGTTGGGTTTGACGCTGCTTTCAACGGTTATATCCCATTAGTTAGACGTCCCATTAGTTAGACGTCCCTATTGTTAGACATTTTTATTTAGGCAAAGAGGGAATATACCTTCAGGTGTAATTGATCAGTCCTAATTAGATTAAAGTACTGATTTGGGATAGGGGACTCACAGTTTAGGGAGTATATATGTTACAATTTCGTTTAATAACCTATAGGCATGAGATTAACCATGTTAACTATGGAGTAGCTTAATTGTCTTACTGTATGATCAGTTGAAGGAGTTGAGTTTAGATTATCTACTTATCAAACAAATAAATATGATCTTGGGGTACATATCATTATCAGTATCGATATGGCTGGTTTAAGGAAAGTAGAGTACATCACCTCTCGGCGTGGAAGTAAGCAGTTGATATTAGATGGATATATTTACAACAGAAACCGCGAGAGGCAAACCTGCACACATTGGAGATGTGTCGTCAAGACGTGCAATGAGAAATGTACGACTGTCGGTGATAAATAAACTGTAACAGTTTATTAAATGTAAAGTGTACATTACCAAAAACTGTCACAAAGTGTTGTTACAAACTGTATAAAATGTATCAAATGTAACGTGTCATTAAATGTTAAGTATAATATTAAAGTATCTATTTAAAGCTACTTTGCTTTGTTTGTCAGATCTTATCTGGACTATTCCATTTTAAAGTCTGAGGTAACAAGCATAAGGATTAGTGTGCACTCAACCGTTTAAAGTGTTGTTATAAGCTGTCTAACTATTGGGACGTCTAACTAATGGGAGGACACCGCTTTCAACAGTATTGCAGTTACATCATTGTGTGTGCCGAGCACGGGTATGGTGATTACAATTGTAACTGCTATTACGCAAAAGGGACGGAACAGTACACCGCGAATTACAGCGTTTTAGACGACTGGGCCACCCGTTGTCAGTCAACTTGTTGAAACATAGAGACTTTTTGTTAATCATAGACAGTGTTCAATATTTGTAACAATGGGTCCTTCAAAAGCATCACTGAATAGGTGTTTCGTCAGAACAAAATGATCGGGTTAAATGTTAGTTTCTGAAGAATTAGGCATCAGCTTGTTGTTGCCCAAAAGAGAGGTGAGGGGAAGTGTAATATAGCCGAAGAAGAGGTGAGTCGAAATGGGATTTAACATCGCCTTTAAGATTAATGCACTTGTATATTAAGTGATTTCACGCGTGCGTGCGTGCGTGCCTGCCTGCGTGCCTGCGTGCCTGCGTGCCTGCCTGCGTGCGTGCGTGCCTGCGTGCGTGTGTGGCTCCTGTGGCTAGTCCGGACTAATGCCGGATTTATAGTGCTAGACAACTGAGAAACCATGCCGCAGTTTAACATGGATACCCCACTCAGACACAGTATACTGACTCCGAGCCGACCAGTCCTTGTTTTATTCCCTGAATGACGAGTGCCAGGCAGGGTAACAGCAAGTACCATCTTTTAACGTCTTTTGGTATGACAAGGCCGGTGATCTAAACACCGACCTGCAACTCATGACAGACGTTCTATCTACTAGACCACGGAGATGGTCATTCCCTGAAAGGTACAGTCGTTTAATCAGTCTGATAACATTGTGGTCCCCTCCATCCCTGCTTGCATCCCGTACGACACGTTCCATTCTTGAAGCACCCTCCTTCATCACAGTTCTCACAATGTAGTTCACAGGCCGCATCGTAGTGGCCGTTGATGCAGTCACCGAGACATTGTCCCGTCAGTCTGTCACATCGTCGTCCACTGCAGGCAGCGTTACACAGGTCACGACAGTGCCACCCCCATCTTTCGGGGTCCTCGCAGGGATCTGCAGGTACAACAATAACGTGACTTAATAGAAGGGAGCTCTTAAAATCAATTAGTCGTTGAAATATACTAACATTGTTGACGTATACGAAATAGAGAATCTCATCCGAGTGTCTTTTGATATTAAATATATCAACGAGTGTTGATATATCTGATATCAAAAGACACGAGGGTGAGATTTTATTTATCATCCAACATCATTCTTCCAACCTTTTCAGTTTGTAGACAGCAATAAGCAGTGTCTTAAATGTAAAAAGTACTGCTAACAGCTTTAGTAGCAGAGACATTAGTGATGTCTTTTGATTGTGACGTAATGGTAACCGATGACGTCATAATGATCTGCAAAGTCTCCTGTGGGAACCAGTTTTGGATGATAAACCCCAACTGTACAAATGTAGAATAATGATTTTTTCGAGGAAATTGTTTACTAAATTCAGGAACGAAAACATATTAGGTTAATATTTGAAATACATTAAGTATCCTTTTTTCTTATTTCCACCGCGTCACAATATATATATATAGTACATCTATAAAGCTCGTAAAGCTGGCATACACCAGTAGATGTGTGCTAAACCACGTGCTGTTAGGAGAGGAATTCTCATGCTTAATTTCTCAATATACCATTAGATAAATTGGATATTGAAAACACGACCACATACAAAAAGAAGATAATTTATGGATTTCAACTTTCTATATCATGAGGAACACAACGTTTCGTAGTATATGTTTACTTCTTCATCGGGTGTGAGGCAGAGGGCAGATATATGTACATGTAAGAACAATAAAAGTAATAAGATAACAAAACGTAGAAACTCTACAAGGGAAGCCAAAAGATGATTGGAGCTGATAGGTGATCAACAACAGACAATGGAAGTCAACACTTCACAGTAATTACCGCTGAAAGTAATGGACAACTGGAAGCCAGGACTTAAATTAGCACTGATAGGGGGAAAAATGGAAATAGCAATGGGCAAATGGACTGCAAGCTAGATAAATGGCACCGACAAAGATCAAAGCAATAAGTCCCAAGCACTACGCAGATTCCTTGGTCATGGTTCATGGCTGGCTGGTGTCTCCGTGTATTTGGAATTGTGATTCGTTACTCAATATCCGTGACCGAGGATAGTAACTAAGCATACCAAATAATTAAAAAACTCCCCCCTTAACTACTCCAAGCACTACTTAAATTATACATTCTCATCTATCAAAACGGACAAGTACCTACTCCCTGGAAACAGGCCTTAGTCATACCAATCCCTAAACCTAATAAACCAGCTAATCAGGCTAACTCCTATAGACCAATTTCCTTAACTTCAAACTTATGTAAAGTAATGGAATCAATGGCTAAAAACAGACTACAACATTACCTAACTCAAAATAACATTATAAACCCAGATCAAAGTCGTTTCACTCCTGGCCGCTCAACCTTAGATAACCTCGCCCGTTTAGAGCAGGACATTAAAACAGGACAACTCAGCAAACAATATACTACAGGCATCTTCTTAGACTTCTCCAAAGCTTTCGACATGGTATGGCACGACGGGCTAATACAAAAACTACAAAAAATAGGACTCAAAGGTCAAATAATAAACTACATCCAAATCTTCCTAAACAATCATAAAATAACCGTGGGTATAGACCAAACGCTATCGGACCAATGTCCCCTAGAAAATGGCACTCCACAGGGCAGTATCCTCAGCCCCACACTCTTCAATATAATGATAAATGATCTATTCGAGGGCCTATCCCCTAAAATAAACACATCTAAATTCGCGGATGATGGAGCCCTCTGGATCCGCACAAAAAGCATTAAAATGGCCCAAAACCTACTTCAAAAATCTCTAAACAAAATACAGCAATGGGCTGACAAATGGGGCTTCTCCCTTAACTCGGAAAAAACTACAGGAATAGTATTTAAACACAAAAACATGTCACCCGCCTCCCCAAAACTCCAGCTAAACAACAAACCAATCCAATTCCTAAAACAAACCAAATTCATAGGACTAATTTCCGATGAACATCTCTCCTGGGACGCTCACATAAATAATCTAATAACTAAATGTAGCAAAGATCTAAATACGCTAAGATGACTCACTGGCTCAAACTGGGGGGCCTCCAAAGACACCCTCCTCTCACTCTATATATCACTAATTAGATCTAAAATAGACTACCGATGTGCCATATACGACACCCTAAACCAATCCCTAAGCAAAAAACTAGACTCAATCCAATATCAGGCTCTAAAACTAATAACACGCACCCAACATGGCACCTCCTACACTTCACTCCAGGCCTTAACAGGAGAAATGCCACTAAGTCTACGTAGGGAACAATTAACCCTAAATTTCTGGGCCGCGTCTCAATCCAACCCCCTAATTCAAAGCCCAATAAACAAAAATATAAGCCCAAAAAACCAAGCCCTAGCTCGAAAACACCCTCTACTTACTCCAATATCCCAAAGAATAACCAATTACTTAAATGAACACCAAATAAACAATCTTAAACAAAACTGTAAAAAATCAAATATCTTCACCCCAAAACTTAAAACACCCAAAATAGACATAACACTAGCTAGCACAATAAATAAACAAACCGACCCAAACATAGCCAAAACCACCACACTAGCATACATACATGAAAATTGGCCAAATTGGTGTCACATTTACACAGACGGATCCTCAGATCCGATCTCCAAACACACAGGTTTCGGAGTCCACATCACACAACCAACTAAAGCCACACAATCCTACCGACTCCCAAACAATCAATCAATATTCACGGCCGAACTAATGGGCATGGCCTCAGCCCTTCATAATCAACAATCTAAAAAACAACAAAAAATCCTAATACTTACCGTCTCGCTCAGTGGACTACAAGCCCTCCAAAATAAAAACACCAAAAACCGCCCTGAACTAATAAATCAGATACTAAAAAGCTCAAACGATTTAACTAAGGCAGGCAAACAAATAGTATTCATTTGGATCCCCGCCCACGTAGGAATATACGGCAATGAAAACGCCGATAAAGCAGCTAAACTATCCCTTAAAATCCCAGAAATAAGCTTAAACCTACCCATCTCCAAATCAGAAATTAAAAGTGTTAACAAACAAAAAAATCACCAAAAAATGGCATAACCTATATCAAAACTCAAATAGCCAAATCAAAAAGGTTCTCAAAAAAACCCTAACCAAACCAAAAATTCTACATCCGTCCAAAAAAATCGACAGAGTAATTACTAAACTCCAAACAGGACATACCAACCTAAATAACCACCTCAAAATAATAAGAAAACACGCAACAGGAACCTGCCCACATTGCAAACAACAAGAAACCACAGAACACGCACTCATACACTGCACCCACTACCTAACACACCGAACTACACTACAAACCACCCTAAATCTAAATAAGGCTCTTACTCTAGAAGCAATCCTAAACCCACAAAATAAAATAGAAAAATTCAAAGCCTTAGGCGTATACTTAATCAAAACAGGACTAATAAATCGCATTTAAAACCCCAATAAACTACCAAAACCAGACCACATAATCAAACTAACAAACTTCCATACTCCGGTCCCTTAGTTCGTCCCCCAAACCCTCTTGGCATTTTTTCAAAATTTCAAAATTTTCAAAATTCTTTATAAGCAACCACTAAAACACCCCTACTGGATTGCCAAACAACTTTTTCCCCTTTTCGGAAACACATTAAATGGCTTGGCCGGGCCCGTGTGCGAAATACGCTACAGTCGGAAAGCGCACGTAAAATCTCCAAAGTAAGTAAGTAAGTAAGTAACTAAGCATGAGGAAGATACTAACATATTTGAAAAAAAACCATTCGAACATCCCTTGAGGTTTGCCACATCCAAAGGCTGAAGCAAGGGTGAAGGGCATTGGGTTTATCTTCATTTTATACCGTGAGCGCCCCTTTAAAACTGTCACTATGAAAAGTTTATTTTATGCCAACTTTAAGAACCAGAGAACTCACCTGAATATGTGTCTGTACAAGCACCGCAGGTCTTCTTACAAGACTCGCTTTTACCCGGCTCATCACAGTTTACAAAATACTTGTGGCAGAAGGAATAGTCGTCTTGACAAGGTATTTCTAACGAGAAGAGAGAATAAGCAAATATACGCGAAAGACACAAGTTAACAAATCACATTCGGTTCTTCATGTATAAAACCTATTATACCATTTGGTTAGCGTGAACGTGCAGTTATGGGTGGATGAAACCTACTTTCACATGACAGGTCGGGTCTGGTCCAGTTTCCGTTCTCCTGGCAGGTGCTTGTTCCACTCCCGACCCCAGTGTAACCACTCACACATCTGTATGTAGCCTGGTCTCCGTAATAGGTATGTCGTCTACTGACTACCATGTTAGTGATAGCGGTTGGTTGTCCACAGTCAATCTCCGAAAGTTGAAATGGTTTCACATCTAAACATGAGATTGATACCAAATCGAATGACAAGAGCGACAGTTCTTGTGTTTCAATGTCTTATTTGTTTTCTCTGTCTATATAAAGTAAAGACGGCATTCATGGTCAAGTGGATATGGCGTCAGCTCGGACAGCTGAAGGTTGGTGGTTCGACCTTTGGCCGCGCCATACCAAAAGTGGTTGAAAGATGGTACTTTTTGTCACGCTGGTTGGCGCTACGCATTAAGGGGGTAAAAAACAAAGACGGTCAGGCTCGGAGTCAGTATACTGTGTCTGAGTGTGGTATCCATGTTAAACCTGTGGCATGGTATCTCAGTGGGCTGCCACTACAAAACTGACATTAGTCCGGACTGGGTCAAGCAGCCACACACACATACACACATACACGTCACTGATATCATTTCAATAACGTTACGTCACCTATAAAAATAATTCAACCTCTGAAAGTTGAAAGAGAAACAGTGTCACATCACGTGTTTGAAGGCTACAATTGTTTTGTTATCTCGAAATGTGTATCAGTACGTACTCTTGCAGATCAAGCCTGGTCTAGTCCAGTTTCCGTTCTCCTGGCAGGTGCTTGTTCCACTCCCGACCCCAGTGTAACCACTCACACATCCGTATGTAGCCTGGTCTCCGTAATAGGTATGTCGTCGACTGACTACCATGTTAGTGATAGCGGTTGGTTGTCCACAGTCAATCTCTGAAAGATGAAATGGTTTCACATCTAAACATGAGATTGATACCAAATCGAATGACAAAAGCGGCAGTTCTTGTGTTCTTACTGAAACTATCTGTCTATATATAGTTAAACGGCCATCATGGTCAAGTTGATCTGACGTCTGCCCGGATAGCGGAAGGTCGGTGGTTCGACCTTTGGCAGCGTCATACCAAAGTCGACACTACAAAACGGACATTAGTTTGGATTAGTTCAAGCAGCCACACACACATACATATCACTATATAATTTCAATAACGTTACGTCACCTATAAAAATAATTCAACCTCTGAGAGTTGAAAGAGAAACAGTGTCACATCACGTGTTTGAAGGCTACAATTGTTTTGTTATCTCGAAATGTGTATCAGTACGTACTCTTGCAGATCAAGCCTGGTCTAGTCCAGTTTCCGTTCTCCTGGCAGGTGCTTGTTCCACTCCCGACCCCAGTGTAACCACTCACACATCTGTATGTAGCCTGGTCTCCGTAATAGGTATGTCGTCTACTTACTACCATGTTAGTGATAGCGGTTGGTTGTCCACAGTCTATCTCTGAAAGTTGAAATGGTTATAAATATAAACGTGATTAAGCATTAAGGGGTCAAAACAAAGACGGTCCGGCTTGGAGTCATCTTCCCGATGCAAGGGGGTTAACTGACTATAAAAGTCCAAGTTTCCACCCTTGCCGAACAAGGCTTGGATTTCTGGGCTCGATTGTAGCGCGACCAGTGGCTATTACGACTTATGTCCCTTCTATGTCCTCCCTTCGGACAAATCAGATTTCACCTCTCACAACTCTTTCACTTGCTTAAAAAAATGGCGCCGCCAAAACAAGGCGATTGTAGTGATAATATAGATCTTTATTGTAATAAAACGGGGTTTACCTTGCAAAATGCATCAAATCACTTCGGCTCCTTTATTTAAAACATGAAAAGATTTGGAAAATATCTGTCGATGCCCAGTTGACGGTACACGTGCTCTGCAAATCCTGCAATCGGGCGAACTTGGCACGGCGGTTGCCATGTTGATTATGAACCGGATCTCGATTAAGTTACGGGATTTTGATTGGAGTTTGCAAAGACTAGTAATTCCAGTCAAAATATAACTCGTTAATTTCGACCTAGTTCGGCAAGGGTGGAAACTGGACTTTTCAAGTCAGTCCCTTGCCTCGGGAAGATGGCTCGGAGTCAGTAAACTGTGTATGAGTGGCGTAGTGAGCTGGCACTACAAAACTGACATTAGTCCGGTCTTGTTCAAGCAGCCACACACACACACGTCACTATATGTATTTCAATAATCTTGAAGGGGACGTTAATCACCACCTCATCTCACCTGTAAGAGAATAATTTAACCTCTGAAAGTTGAAAGAGAAACAGTGTCACATCACGTGTTTGAAGGCTACAATTGTTTCCGTTATCTCGAAATGTGTATCAGTACGTACTCTTGCAGATCAAGCCTGGTCTAGTCCAGTTTCCGTTCTCCTGGCAGGTGCTTGTTCCACTCCCGACCCCAGTGTAACCACTCACACATCCGTATGTAGCCTGGTCTCCGTAATAGGTAAGTCGTCGACTGACTACCATGTTAGTGATAGCGGTTGGTTGTCCACAGTCTATCTCTGAAAGTTGAAATGGTTATAAATATAAACGTGATTAAGCATTAAGGGGTCAAAACAAAGACGGTCCGGCTTGGAGTCATCTTCCCGATGCAAGGGGGTTAACTGACTATAAAAGTCCAAGTTTCCACCCTTGCCGAACAAGGCTTGGATTTCTGGGCTCGATTGTAGCGCGACCAGTGGCTATTACGACTTATGTCCCTTCTATGTCCTCCCTTCGGACAAATCAGATTTCACCTCTCACAACTCTTTCACTTGCTTAAAAAAATGGCGCCGCCAAAACAAGGCGATTGTAGTGATAATATAGATCTTTATTGTAATAAAACGGGGTTTACCTTGCAAAATGCATCAAATCACTTCGGCTCCTTTATTTAAAACATGAAAAGATTTGGAAAATATCTGTCGATGCCCAGTTGACGGTACACGTGCTCTGCAAATCCTGCAATCGGGCGAACTTAGCACGGCGGTTGTCATGTTGATTATGAACCGGATCTCGATTAAGTTACGGGATTTTGATTGGAGTTTGCAAAGACTAGTAATTCCAGTCAAAATATAACTCGTTAATTTCGACCTAGTTCGGCAAGGGTGGAAACTGGACTTTTCAAGTCAGTCCCTTGCCTCGGGAAGATGGCTCGGAGTCAGTAAACTGTGTATGAGTGGCGTAGTGAGCTGGCACTACAAAACTGACATTAGTCCGGACTGGGTCAAGCAGCCACACACTCGTACAAACATACACGTCACTAATATCATTTCATTAACGTTACGTCACCTATAAAAATAATTCAACCTCTGAAAGTTGAAAGAGAAACAGTGTCACATCACGTGTTTGAAGGCTACAATTGTTTCCGTTATCTCGAAATGTGTATCAGTACGTACTCTTGCAGATCAAGCCTGGTCTAGTCCAGTTTCCGTTCTCCTGGCAGGTGCTTGTTCCACTCCCGACCCCAGTGTAACCACTCACACATCTGTATGTAGCCTGGTCTCCGTAATAGGTATGTCGTCGACTGACTACCATGTTAGTGATAGCGGTTGGTTGTCCACAGTCTATCTCTGAAAGTTGAAATGGTTATAAATATAAACGTGATTAAGCATTAAGGGGTCAAAACAAAGACGGTCCGGCTTGGAGTCATCTTCCCGATGCAAGGGGGTTAACTGACTATAAAAGTCCAAGTTTCCACCCTTGCCGAACAAGGCTTGGATTTCTGGGCTCGATTGTAGCGCGACCAGTGGCTATTACGACTTATGTCCCTTCTATGTCCTCCCTTCGGACAAATCAGATTTCACCTCTCACAACTCTTTCACTTGCTTAAAAAAATGGCGCCGCCAAAACAAGGCGATTGTAGTGATAATATAGATCTTTATTGTAATAAAACGGGGTTTACCTTGCAAAATGCATCAAATCACTTCGGCTCCTTTATTTAAAACATGAAAAGATTTGGAAAATATCTGTCGATGCCCAGTTGACGGTACACGTGCTCTGCAAATCCTGCAATCGGGCGAACTTAGCACGGCGGTTGCCATGTTGATTATGAACCGGATCTCGATTAAGTTACGGGATTTTGATTGGAGTTTGCAAAGACTAGTAATTCCAGTCAAAATATAACTCGTTAATTTCGACCTAGTTCGGCAAGGGTGGAAACTGGACTTTTCAAGTCAGTCCCTTGCCTCGGGAAGATGGCTCGGAGTCAGTAAACTGTGTATGAGTGGCGTAGTGAGCTGGCACTACAAAACTGACATTAGTCCGGTCTTGTTCAAGCAGCCACACACACACACGTCACTATATATATTTCAATAATCTTGAAGGGGACGTCACCACCTCACCTCACCTGTAAGAGAATAATTTAACCTCTGAAAGTTGAAAGAGAAACAGTGTCACATCACGTGTTTGAAGGCTACAATTGTTTCCGTTATCTCGAAATGTGTATCAGTACGTACTCTTGCAGATCAAGCCTGGTCTAGTCCAGTTTCCGTTCTCCTGGCAGGTGCTTGTTCCACTCCCGACCCCAGTGTAACCACTCACACATCTGTATGTAACCTGGTCTCCGTAATAGGTAAGTCGTCGACTGACTACCATGTTAGTGATAGCGGTTGGTTGTCCACAGTCAATCTCTGAAAGTTGAAACAGTCGCACACCTAAATATGAGATTCTTTTGAAACCAAGGCGGAAGACCCAACGGAAGGTCTCAATGCCGCCATATATAGTAAATCTTCGAAATACTTTCATCATACTCAGTGGACTCATGGCAGCTGATCTGACCTCTTTTTCTTTCAGTAATCCATTTAACTTGTATTAATGTTGGGTTTTTTTATAGGATCTCTTTTACTCAGCAGCTGCATTATTCAGGAATTATTTGATTCCTTTAACTTCGTTGATTTTCACCATATATTCAGACCTTCAGAACACCACCTCCGTGGTCCAGTGGATAAAGCATCTGCCCGGAGAGCGGACGGTCCGTGGTTTGATCCCCGTCCACGTCATACCACAGCAGATGGTGATGGTGCTTGTTCTTTTCCTGGCTGGCGCCCGGAGTTATGGTGACATATATACTGTGTCTGATCATGAGTGGGATATCCATAACTACCGTGCTTTCAGGGAAAATTGCAATCCCTTTTGAGAACAATGCAATTGGTGCTGATCGAAGTTGCTGATTCAGCCTAGGTTTATTTCAGTTTACTGTTGTTTCGTAACACTTGCTGACTCTCTAGTGCGACAACGTTTGATAATTGTGACACGTTTGAAAGAAGCACTCTTTACTTAGTAACCACAACCGTTTGACTACCATGGGGATGAAGTATGCATGTATTGAAAACTGTCTTGGTCGTGCTTAGATAATGTACTAGGAACATCTTTACTCATCTTCAAGGCAAGGAGGTTAACTGATATGAAAAGTACAGTTTCCACCCTTGTCGAACTAGACTGGAAATTTTGGGCCCGATTGTAGCGCCACCAGTGATTATTACGAGTTAAGTCCCTTCTATGTCCCCGCTAGTGACAAATCAATTTTCACCTCTCCTGTCGCTTGCACTTGCTTCAAACAAAATGGCGGCGCCTAGTCAAGACGATCATCGATAATAAGGAAAATCTGTATGGTAATAAAACGGGTTTTACCTCGCAAAGTGTATTAAATCACTTCAGCTCCTTTATTAAAAACATTAAAAGATTTGGAAAATATCTGTCGATGCCTAGTTGACGGTACTCGTGCTCTGCAAATCTTGCAATTGAACGAAATCGGCACGGCGGTTGCCATGTTGTTTACGAACCGGATGTCCATTTCGTTACGGGATTTTGATTGGACTATGCATAGACTTGTTTGTCAAGCCAAAATATAACCCCATAATTGCGGCCAAGTTCGGTAAGGGTGGAAACTTGACTTTTAAAGTCAGTTAACTTCCTTGCCTATGGAAGATGCTCTTTACAAGGAAAATTACATTTACATCACTCACCCGGGTATCTGTCACAAGCTCCACAGGTCTTCTTACAGGAGTCTCTTACATCCGGTTCATCACATTGTACCCAAGGCAAGCGGCAGGATAGGTAGTTGTCTTGACAAGGTGCTTCTGGTAGGAGAGAGATGAATTGATTCAGTCGAGTATAGATGCCACGTGAATAAGAAAAATATACATGTAAGACACAATTAACGAATCTCATTCGGTTCGTAATGTATAAAAGATATTATATCATTTGATTAGCGTGAGCTTGCAGTAATTGGTTGATAACATACTTGTTGTTTGGAAAAAAACATTCGATTCAAATTATTGGGGTTACATAATGATAAAACGTGAAGGACTACGCTGGGATTTAACAATTGGTTCGTCACAACCGAGGATTCTAAAACAAAGGTGTTCATCTGTTTTAACTCTCAAATACCAATGCTAATGCTTATGCGTATTCCACTACTTGAAGAATAGACACTTATTAGCCAAAAGGGGCGGTCGGGAAGCCTAGTGGTTAAAGCGTTCGCTCGTCACGCCGAAGACCCGGGTTCGATTCCAAACATGGGTACAATGTGTGAAGCCCATTTCTCGTGTTCCCCGACGTGGTTTTGCTGGAATATTGCTAAAAGCGGCGTAAAACCATACTCACTCACTCGCTCCCTGATCGGTTTGAAGTGAAAGGAGAAGGATTGTGTTTCCGTTGATAGTACATCAACAACACCTTTCTTTTATCTGTCAAATTTATTATACAATGTTGAGATATCTTGTCTTTAATATTTGTGCTTCACCTTCAGAAAACAGGTTTAGTTGGTTTAATATTTTTTTTATTTGAAGTTTACACGATATACGGCTTTTCAATTGGACGAGAGGTCGGTCACCTGACCGCGAAATTGCCTTCCTAAGCGTATGAACGACACAATTGGACGTAAATACGTTTTTCACGAGACCGTGTTCTTGAAATGTCGTAAACACTGACGTTCTTCAGTTTGGCCCTCACTCTATGACTGACTGACTGAGTATGGTTTTACGCCGCTTTTAGCAATATTCCAGCAATATCACAGCGGGGGACACCAGAAATGGGCTTCACACATTGTACCCATGTCGGGAATCGAACCCGGGTCTTCGACGTGACGAGCGAACGCTTTAACCACTGGGCTACCCGACCGCCCCCCTCACTCTATGAAGGTTAATACTCCAATGAACTCACACAAAGTGAAAGTCAATTCTTAAATAGACTGCGGGGAAAAGGAAAGTACACATCCATGTCTGATGGTGGCTGAGAATAAAACAAGCAAGAAATGGTTATTCGATGGTGATGTCTTTGATATGGGTATCATAGTTGTGTTTGGACCTTAAGTTTGCTGTGTTTCGGCGACTGTTTCCAGGCTAGTAACGTTCTGATAACATCTGTAATTTTTGAGTCAAATCCAAGGTTCAAGTGTATACTTTCTCCCGCCCGACAGCTTAGCTACATCCCTCTGTGTGAACCCATTCATGAACTTACTGCTCAAACAGGTCGACCCAGTCCACCCGGCTAGGCAGCCGTAGATACAGCTACCGTCCCTGTAGCATCGGCCAAATCCTCGGCACTTCCCACAGTGCTGGTCGCAGCGGTCGCCATAGAAACGATCGGCACATCCCAGTTTACACTTCCCTGACGACGCCAGGCACCAACGGCCAACGCATCTGGAGCTGCATCGTCGACGGCAGTCTGAGCCCCAGCGGCCAAATGAGCAGCTTCCTGTCAGTGCAGACATAAGGCCAAAGTCACGTTAGCTTCAACATATGCATATACACACATATGTTAGACACATTTGTATCGTTTCTAGCAGACTAATAGGTAGATGAGTGAATGTTGTTTAATGCCGAACCCTAGCAATATTTCAGCTATATGAGGACGGCCCGTATATAATCGTGCTCGGGCCAGAGAAACCAGTGTTTGATATTGTTAGGAAAGGTCGCGCTGTCGGGGAAAGGTGACACGCTATAACAAATTCATCGACTCGTCCCACTTCAATCGGTACTGAGAATCTGGGACCTATTCTTCCCTTGAATCCCCACAGCGTGAGCCTTCTACCTGATGAGATGAGGTGAAATGGGTTTAAGATTAGGATAAGACCAGTGCACTTATATAGCGACGTGCCCCACACAGACACGTTACACTGACTCTGAGCTGACCAGTCCTTGTTTTATGCCCTTATTCCAGGCAGGGAGACAACAAGTACAACCTTTTAAGACCTCTATTCCGCGGCCAGGATCGAACCACTGGGCTTCCGTTCTCCAGGCAGACGCTTTATCCACTAGACCTCGGAGGCGGGCCGTTGATGAGGATCGGTTGGGTGCAATTTGAAACCTGGCTTATTGTGAGTCATCCTTCCCCAGCAGTGTTCATCGTTGCTAATACTGCCAACCACGCGGGTCTCCCCCGATTACATTGTACCAGATTACATATAGTCCGCCTTGAAGGCAACTGTGGGTTATTCAGGCGTAGAGGGCTAGTTACTCACTCACCCTTCCATACACCGTAATATTTCTAAATATTCGTGTTACGCATCGACCATTAAATATTCTTCTTCGAGACATAATTTCATCTTTCAAATCAGGAGCAAAACCGATGACAAGGTAGGCACAATTTTATGGATAACAACTTCTTTAATACTGTAAAAAAGACGTTTCGGTATGGATCATTATACCGTTGTCAAGCAAGACTGAATGAGGGACTTAGTACAGAATATATATAGTTGGTGGTGTTGAGGTGAGGTGAAATGGGGTTTAACGTCGCGTCCAAGATTATTGCACTTATATAGCGACGTGCATGTACGTGTGTGTGTTTGTGTGGCTGCTTGTACTAGTCCGGACTGGTGCCGACTTATAGTGCTAGCTCACTGAGATACCATGCCGCAGTTTAACATGAAAACCCCACTCAGACACAGTATACTGACTCCGCAGACCAGTCCTTGTTTTAGCCCCTTAATGCCGAACGCCAGACAGGGTAACAACAAGTACCATCTTTTAACGTCTTATGGTATGACGCGGCTGGGGATCGAACCCCGGACCTCCCGCTCTCCGGGCGGACGCTCAATTTCAACAAAATCCCAACGGCCTCCTGGTAGAGCTGGGCAAGCAAAAAAGTTAATGGCTAAACAAACTAAAGTATTAATGGTGAGACTGTTTATATTGCTTTTGAGCCATCGTATATCCTTCAATGACGACTGTTCGTTCCTACTTGCCCCAGTTTCCTGTTTATGAAGAGAAGCATGTTTTCCCAATCAAACAGCATCATTACGCATGTTACAGAGTACTAGTTCTTGAAATAATTAAGTAACCTTGGATTTATAGCTCGCAGCTTTCAAAAGAGCATTTGATAGGCCAGCTTTAGACGTCACCATTCCAATATTTTCGAATCAGGCATGGTAAACACCGGAAGTACTAGTATTACATGACTTCATGCTTGTTTCGGTGTTTGGTACAAGAACGTATCAGCAGATGGTAACTAGCGGGCGATGAGATTTGCAGTGAACAATCAATCTGGCTACATCCCTTTTGGTGCAGAGGATGCGCGTCTCACCTCCCCCATCTAAGACACTCGCCAGCGTATTGCGTTTTGTTGTTACTTGGGGTATAGAGTGCACACCTCTTGTTTTCAAAATCCTGGATCCGCTACTGCATACACACAACATCATGAACACTGCATTTGGGGTATAAACAATATTGACAGCATCATGAACACTGCATTTGGGGTATAAACAATATTGACAGCATCATGAACACTGCATTTGGGTAATAAACAATACAAACATCATGAACACTGCATTTGGGTTATAAACGATGCAAACAACGTCATGAATACTGCATTTGGGTTAAAAACGATGCAAACAACGTCATGAACACTGCATTTGGGTTATAAACGATGCAAACAACGTCATGAACACCGCATTTGGGCTATCAACAATACAAACATCATGAACACTGCATTTGGGTTATAAACGATGCAAACAACGTCATGAACACTGCATTTGGGTTATCAACAATACAGACAACATCATGAACACCGCATTTGGGTTATAAACGATGCAAACAACGTCATGAACACTGCATTTGGGCTATCAACAATACAAACATCATGAACACTGCATTTGGGTTATAAACGATGCAAACAACGTCATGAACACCGCATTTGGGCTATAAACGATGCAAACAACGTCATGAACACTGCATTTGGGTTATAAACGATGCAAACAACGTCATGAACACTGCATTTTGGTTATAAACAATACAAACATCATGAACACTGCATTTGGGTTATAAACGATGCAAACAACGTCATGAATACTGCATTTGGGTTATAAACGATGCAAACAACGTGATGAACACTGCATTTGGGCTATCAACAATACAAACATCATGAACACTGCATTTGGGTTATAAACGATGCAAACAACGTCATGAACACTGCATTTGGGTTATAAACGATGCAAACAACGTCATGAACACTGCATTTAGGCTATCAACAATACAAACATCATGAACACTGCATTGGGTTATAAACGATGCAAACAACGTCATGAACACTGCATTTGGGCTATCAACAATACAAACATCATGAACACCGCATTTTGGTTATAAACGATGCAAACAACGTCATGAACACTGCATTTGGGCTATCAACAATACAGACAACATCATGAACACCGCATTTGGGTTATAAACGATGCAAACAACGTCATGAACACTGCATTTGGGTTATAAACGATGCAAACAACGTCATGAACACTGCATTTGAGTTATAAACGATGCAAACAACGTCATGAACACTGCATTTGGGTTATAAACGATGCAAACAACGTCATGAACACTGCATTTGGGTTATAAACGATGCAAACAACGTCATGAACACTGCATTTGGGTTATAAACGATGCAAACAACGTCATGAACACTGCATTTGGGTTATAAACGATGCAAACAACGTCATGAACACCGCATTTGGGTTATAAACGATGCAAACAACGTCATGAACACTGCATTTGGGCTTTAACAATACAGATATCACCATGAACACTGCATTTGGGTTATCAACAATACTAACATCGCGAACACTGTATTTGGGTTATTAACAATACAGACACATCTGACAGTCGTCTTTCACGGTTGATGTCTGTATAAATAGTGAGTGTGTGAACAGAGCGCGTGATTGAGTTGGGTTCAACACCTCTTTTAACAGTAATTCGGTTGTCTTAGCGTGTCAGGTTAATGTGTGAGAGAAAAAAACAAATTGACATATGATCATAATCAGGCACGCGTAAGGGACGCAACTCTGAACAGCTAATATCACCGTCCAAGACGACTGCATCCAAGAAACCGGGTTAGAATTGGTCTTCAGCAACCCATACTCTCCATGAGGCGATTAACGAGATCGGGTGGTCAGACTCGCTGACTTGGTTGACGCGTGTCATCATATCCCAGTTGCGGAGACCGATGCTCATAATGTTAATCACTGGATTGTCTGGTCCAGACTTTATTATTTACAGACCGCCGTCATACAGCTGGAGACATTGCTGAGTGTGGTGTTAAACAACAAACAATTAATCAATCAACCAATTTGATTAAATAAATCACACACAAGTGATGTCCAGACTCGGAAATAGTGGTCAGCAGCTGCCCGTTGGCGTCGCGTTTGGCTAGTTTAGGAACATGTAGATCAAACTTCTATTTGCCACCAATTGCTCAATCCGATCCACCTGTCCATGTGACCATGAACCGGAATGGTAGTGTTATTCCGCATTTTCATATTTCTCGAGATATGTCCACACATGACAACCAGGACGAAATGTACATATTTTTGCATTGATAGAGAAATTTTATCTGTGGCCTCGCGATACTTTACACATTCTTACCAATACGTGTTATAGAACTGGGGTCCGTTCCCCCAAGCGATCGCCGTACTGAGGTGATCGTAACTCCCCCACTCTAGCAAAGACTCTTGGATTTAGATGAACAGGAAGTGGAATAGAGATGGAGTCACATGAAGATTTGTTACATCAGCGCTACTACATCCGAAGCCTTCACAAAGCTTTCATAAAGTCTGATGTTGGTATGTGGAGATCATGACGCAACAGTTACAAAAATCATGCTCGATACAATTCCCTATTTTGACTATGTTCCCGTATTGTTTCGGGTGAACAATTGACTTTCCTTTGCATGTGTCTGTGACGAGAGCCACCGGTGGGACAGGATACGCTAACCTTTCGAAATCGTACAATGGAATCTGATTTTAGTACAGATTTCTTATCATTATGGAAATTGTTTTGTTGCTTTTGTTTAAATTTGTGTGGGTATTTTAATGGTAAGTAGTTTTCAACTAAATAACTAAAAGATTTACAAATTACAGTTTTTAGTAAGAAAACCAGTTCGTTTTTGAACGAGGTTTGTTTGATGGCAAACTTTCACACAGTTTTCATTAACGATCCCTACTTGTATTATTTTGTAACTACTGCACAACTCGAACTGTCGTAAACTGGAGGTTATAACGACATAATAAAAGTGAACATATCGCTGATAGGAACTGGCGATGCCGTGGTCAAATTTAGTCAAATCGTCAAAGATATGGTGCTATACATAAACCAAAAAGGGAATTCATTCATTCTCATTCTGTGACATGGCCCGCAACGTGGAGTAAGATTAATGCCGCAATGGTTTTTTTAAACTATAACGTCACTTCGTTTGAGCTAGGTAATTGTATGAAGTCATTGATCAACATAATATCACTGCACGTTATAAATTGAGGGAAATGCGTAAATGCGCAAGTTTTTATCCATTTCCCAAAAATAAACAGACTGAAATATATATTAAAACGTTTTCTCATACATAACCAAGCTACCCATATGTGGTTAAAATATTTGTAAAACTTAAATGAGGTTAATCATACTTTTAAGCGAAACTTTGAACAGAGAGAACGACACAAACATGAATTGGAACAAAAGTTTTTTACAATCAAATATTTTGAAAAGCATAGTTATTGCGGGTATTATAAAATATTTGCTATTAAAGTTTAGTTAATATTTATATTGACTAATACTTTTCGTTGAATGCATGGAATTACTTTAAAACAAACCATTTATAAATTTTAACTTACCTTTAGCATGGTCAGAAAGGAAGGTCAGGCAAAGTATCAACGCTGGAAACAAATTAGCAACCATGTTGAAAGCATGTGTGCAGCGTCTATGAAGTGGAGCCGGTGGTTGAAGGCAGTATAAACAGGCGTCTCATGCGGAAGTATATATTTAGCAGAATATACTGAACACCAAAAGAAACGCGAAAACACAGGTGTGTCTTTCTCTCATCAGTGACAAAAAAAAAATACACAAATCATCGCAGGGGTCCATTCATGGTACTCTTCACCCCGTGAGGTTCTGGGTACGAATTGGTCTTCAGCAAGCCATGCATGTCGTAAGAAGTGACTAGTGGATACTTGATTACGTGAGAGGAGAGAGAGGGGGGGGGTCCAGTGTTTACTCAACGTCACCGTCAGAATTGACTAAATTGGGCTTCAAACCATGACAGATGGCTGGCATAACCCCACTCCATATTGTGCAAGGAAGGATCACTGGACAGTATTATCGGGACAACATACTGACACCCTTTCTTGTCCCGTTCGCAAGACGTATGGGTCATCGTTTTGTCGGTACCGATGCTCACCGTGCACAAGTCGTCGATGCCCACCTCCCAAACATCCATAGAATGCCACGGCCGGCAATGGCCCCAGACCTTTCCCCTATTGAACACGTCTGGGACATGATAGGGAGGCGTGCACGTCAACGTCATAGACCGTCGACCATGTTGTCTGAACTTGACCAACCGCTGCATGAGGAGTGGAACCGACTCCCTCAAATCGCAACTGGGAGATTCATACGCAGTTTGCCTCGTCGGGTGAACGAATGTTTAAGAAATCATGGCGGTTTGACGCACGGATCCAAAAACGTCAACTTTGAAATTTCGCATCTTATCCCCATCGTCCTTCAAGATCATGGCGGTCATAACATCTACTGTCATACTTCACTTCCGGTTGTAATGTGTTCCTGTTGTCATTATTTCATTCAACTATTACAAGAAACTGATATCGCTTACAATTTCGGAAATTTTAAGTTAGTTCCGAGTATCTCCTAATTATATCTCACTTATATATGGTTTCATCACTATATGACAGTGATTCATGAACACGTGGACATTGCTTCTCGCAGAGATTTTACATGATTATGGAAATGGTATAATGATACCTTGGTGTGCCCTGTAAACGCCTATAACAGGTATCATGACTAATACACGCAATTGGGGGATAACCTGAACTAAAAACTAGAAATCCAAATCCAAGGCCACCAGTTTGTGCTTCTCATCTTCAAGGTAAGCTTCAGAAGGAGCGGACAGTCGAAATTAAAGATGAAAAATAAAGTTAAAAGATAACCTTTGGTTGAGAAATAATATTTCTGAAAAAATATTTGTGCAAAACTGGTTCACTATTTTGATAGTTTTATACCTGAAAAGATAAAATACGAAGCAACGGTCAGTCTTCGAATATTCTTCGTGAATCTTTTTCATGCACAAGGAATGTTACCCATAATTACCCATTCTGTGTGTCATGGTTTATGTAGACCACTGGAGAAGTCCCAGAAGGCTAATTACCTGTTCAGTGTGTTATGGTTTATGTAGACCACTGGAGAAGTCCCAGAAGGCTAATTACCTGTTCAGTGTGTCATGGTTTATGTAGACCACTGGAGAAAGCCCAGAAGGCTAATTACTCATTCTGTGTGTTATGGTTTATATAGACCACTGGAGAAGTCCCAGAAGGCTAATTACCCATTCAGTGTGTTATGGTTTATGTAGACCACTGGAGAAGTCCCAGAAGGCTAATTACCTGTTCAGTGTGTTATGGTTTATGTAGACCACTGGAGAAGTCCCAAAAGGCTAATTACCCATTCTGTGTGTTATGGTTTATATAGACCACTGGAGAAGCCGTGGTCAGAAGGCTAATTACCCATTCTGTGTGTTATGGTTTATATGGACCACTGGAGAAGTCCCAGAAGGCTAATTACCTGTTCAGTGTGTTATGGTTTATATCGACCAGAGGAGAAGTCCCAGAAGGCTAATTACCCATTCTGTGTGTTATGGTTTATATAGACCACTGGAGAAGCCGTGGTCAGAAGGCTTATTACCAATTCTGTGTGTTATGGTTTATATCGACCACAGGAGAACTCCCAGAGACTAATTACCCATTCTGTGTGTTATGGTTTATATAGACCACTGGAGAAGTCGTGGTTAGAAGGCTAATTACCAATTCTGTGTGTTATGGTTTATATCGACCACAGGAGAACTCCCCGAAGGCTAATTACCCATTCTGTGTGTTATGGTTTATATAGACCACTGGAGAAGCCGTGGTCAGAAGGCTAGTCATTCTATGGTTCATATATCTATGGATTATCCTGTGACCCGAGGTTAGTTATAATTCAATTTCATATTTTAAGTGAAGGATAGAACACAAAACCCTTTCCATAACCATAATAAATATCTGCTAACACTGTACCACTGTCCACTGCACCATTCCGACTAAGTGGGTGTTGCAATAACTTATCAGTTTCCATGTTATATGGCTGATAGAGACTGTCAGTGAACCCCAAGGTATTGGTCTAGTTATCCCAAACCCTGTTTCAACCCTAAGAAATAGTCAAGGCACTGTTGCTCACCAGTTTCATTCAAACTGAGCTGAATATTATATGTAGAGGAATATCAAGCCAGAAAGCTTGGCTGCATGATTTCTCTGTTTGATACAGTACAATCTCAATGTTACATTCTTAAGTTTTAAGGAATACTGTCACTGTAACCAAGGTATGAACCATTCATTTAATGGATCACTGCATTTAATAAAACCTTCTTAAATATAGCATATTATATTTCCACAACATCATCAACAAAAAGAACAAGTTAAATTGTGGTCCTACCTAATAACATAACAGTTTTATTCTCTCTGGGCGCGGGTGGCCCAGTCATCTAAGGCGCTGCAATTCGCTGTGCAGAGTTGCGTCCCTTGGGCACACCAGAAACCTATGATCGCGGGTTCGAAATCCGGTTCCCCCAGATTATGTTTCTAGGTATGTCACCCGTGCTCATTGGTTTCACCAAAGTGGTAAACGGCCGAGACCTGCATCACTTCGGGCTTTCCTCCCACATTAAGCTGACACGCTGTGATATAACTGGAATAGTGTTAAAAGAATAATAAAGTTTTCTATAAGTGTGAATACTTAACAATTTATAATTGACTGGTGGTACACAGAACACACCATACCATGAGTTCGATTGGACTATGGACCAGGTGAGCTAAAACTGTTCACTGTATTCACCTATTTTCAAGAACAAAACTCATAAACTTCAATAATACATGAAAACAAACCCTTCAAGTGTGTTGTAAAATAGCTGTTTACTTCTTCAAAAAGATATTTACAAAATATGTCTTTTTTAACCTTGATTAACATATGATAAAGTTCATATAACTGACATTTTCACGATTATACATAACATCAGTGCTCACAAAGTCATATTACGGTTTGAGCAATACATGTATTTCAATGCTAAAAAAATCTCTGTGCATCATGAATACCATTGATCAAGAATACCATCCATCAAGAAAGCCTTTTATTGTAGTCAGTACCCAAATGCCAACTACGAGACCACACTTATTGACACGGAGGCAGAATTCTAACAACAACACAAAAGTTGTAGTGTGAGAACCAGGTGTTCTTGTTTGTGCCTTAAACAAGGACCATGCTGTCTACTTTCAGTGTAGGTCCAAATTAGCATAAATGTGCTTTGTGTGAAACCCAAACTTTGCCTTTATATAATAATGCCACTCATGTACTGAAACACTACTATATATGACAACATTTGAAGTAACAATACATAGTTGTTTGTTTACAACTTAAATCAAACTTGCTGAGGCTGTCAATTTGAGAAAGTCTAGTCCCCATTCAAAATCTAAAACTCATTGTCAAATAACTAATGAGTTATGAGCACCACCTAATGTTAAGTACAATATCCTGTGCTTACACACTGATACTCAATGTCTGTGTAAATATGGCACTACACAATTGAATAACAAACATTAACAATCCTCACAAAAATCATCTGCTTAACTCATTGGTTGTTTTGTAACAATACAAAAACTGTTTAACAACATACGTAGAGTCTGCTGTGGATGGTCATCATCCTGAAAAATGTGTAATTGCATATGGGTGCCATGTTTAATACTGGCCTCTCAGACCCTCATTCATAGGGCAGCTTAGTGTTGTGACAGAAGTTCGGTCAAGATGTTGTGGTTGTAATAACGCTGGTGTTCCACTGTGGCGTATTTAAGTCGTGTGTGACTTTAGGTTTTCCAGCTTCAAGTATTGCTCGATGGCTGCCTTTGATGTCACTGTACATATCGTATCATGACAAACTGGACCACCACAGCCCTACTCTCGGACTCAGACTCTATAACACCTTTGATGTCACTGTACATATCGTATCATGACAAACTGGACCACCACAGCCCTACTCTCGGACTCAGACTCTATAACACCTTTGATGTCACTGTACATGTCGTATCATGACAAACTGGACCACCACAGCCCAACTCTCGGACTCAGACTCTATAACACCTTTGATGTCACTGTACATATCGTATCATGACAAACTGGACCACCACAGCCCAACTCTCAGACTCAGACTCTATAACACCTTTGATGTCACTGTACATATCGTATCATGTCAAACTGGACCACCACAGCCCTACTCTCAGACTCAGACTCTATAACACATTTGATGTCACTGTACATATCGTATCATGTCAAACTGGACCACCACAGCCCTACTCTCAGACTCAGACTCTATAACACCTTTGTTCCACGGCATGGAAGACCTTACAAAAATGAAGTTTCTGCACCCATATCACTGAATTGTTAATTTGTAAATTAAAAGAATACCATAAATATTATGATAAAAAACAACTCCCTAATACTTCTGTGATGAAATGCCAGTGAATTTTCTTATCTATTCATATTATTTAACGAAAAGAACCATGTTACCAACTTGGACATAGCCTTTGAATGCCATCAGCTATTTTTCTATTCAGCTAGGGGTCATCCTAAAAGTTAACAAGTTTTAATAAAAATAATTCAAGCTCGAAATACCATCCAATGCACCTTCGGAAAAGCAGAATATATTGGTAGCATGATAAAATACAACCTACCAGATTATGAGTGACCTGGATAATAACTGGAATTAGACTTTGGCAAGAATTTAACAAAAAACACTAACACCTGAAAAAATTTAAAGTGGAAAAATCTACCTGAAATGAGCAATATAAACAAGAACTTTTTACCTATTCACCAACATATCATGTCCCCCTTTGTATAATATGACACTAATGTCAGTAACAGCTCAGCACCAATAACAGGCTTCACCCACAGTAGTTGAATCCGTGAGTATGGTTTTATGCAGCATTACTAATAATCCAGCAGGGTTAGAAACTAACAGTTTTCGTCCACTAGTCCTTATAATGATAACATATAGCAAAACCCTTAAAAAAGACAAATGTCTACTAGTCCTTATGATACCTTTACCATTGGGCAGTTTTTGGCAAGGACTTAAGGACTAGTGCCAATTTCTAACGCTGTCCAGCCATTTGTACTCACACAGGGAGGAACCAAACCTAAGTCAATGGTGTGATGAGTGAACACTTTAACCATTGTGCTACCCCACTGCCCCTCATCTTCCAAAGGCTAGGGAGTTGTTAGCTGACTATAAAAGTCCAGTTTCCACCCTTGCTAAATGAGGCTGAAATTTCTGGGCATGATCGTAGTGCCACCAGTGGCTATTATGTCCCTTCTATAGAGTTATGTCCCTTCTATTACATTTTGGCTGGACGAACGAGTCTATGCATAGTCCCATCAAAATTGTGCACCGAAATCGAAACTGTCATGCAGAGTTCGGTCGATTGCAGGATTTGCAAAGCATGTGCACTGCCAACATGTTGTCAACAGATATTTTCAAATCTTTTCAAGTTTTTAATTAAGGTGCTCACATGATTTGATGCACTTCACGATGTAAGACCCGTTTTATCACAATATAGATCATGATTGTTGATCAGACCATCTTGTCTGGGCGCTGCCATTTTGTTTGAAGCAAATGAAAGTGAAACAAGAGGTGGAATCTGATTGGTCCATAGGAGAGCCATAGAAGGGACATAACTTGTGGCGCTACGATCGAGCCCATGAATTCAAGCCTAGTTCGGCAAGGGTGGAAACTGGACTTTTAAAGTCAGTTAACTCTCTTGCCTCGGGAAGATGGCAAATACCAAGCAAAAACTGATTTTGTTGTGTCATTAGATCTTGTTACATATGACTATTACAAGATCTTAGTATGATTACAATAAAGAGGAAAGTCTGAATTTACGGCATGTGGTCTGTATTGATATTGCGGTCTGTTAAAAATCGAGTCTGGACCAGACAATCCAGTGATTGACATCATGAGCATCTATCTACACAATTGGGAAACAATGACATGCATCAGCCAGGTCAGCGAACCTGACCACCCGATCCTGTTAGTCGCCTCTTACGACAAGCTAATCGCCTCTTACAGCAAGCATGGGTTGCTGAAAACCTACTCTCTACACGGATCTTCACTGGTTAAACAGTATATGTCATCAGGACCCTCTAGTATGGTTGAATGCAAAAAGTTACCCATCTTGCTACCTTGTATAATATACTACATGTCTCCACCACAATTGAATACAATGTCACATCTGTCAATTACACCTTTGTACGAAAAAAACATGCGATTGTTGGTCAACGTTGGTGGGTAAACATACTGTAAGTATTTGTGTGATACTTCAAGAAAAGAGAATTCCCATTACTGAAATCTATGGGAAATTACCTCCCCAATCATAAACAAAACCATTTTTGCACAATACATGACTTTCGGTGTAAAACAATTTAGAATGTAAATACATTCATTGTATAATACATTCAGTGTTAACTGTTCTGAAACTGCAATAATGAAGTAGCTCCTATAACTGAAAACACGAGTAAGTGAGTGGATTGGGGTCCAAGGCTTCAACATTCCAGTGCATCATCCTGATGGGTACCGTGGACGTTCACCACTTTGGTTGGCTTCAACTTAGTTCAAGGGAGCACCACTACCAATCACTCTTACGATCATAAACATTCAAATTCACAAATGCTTGTCACTGAAGCTATTAAAAAGGATGGTTTCAGAAAATAAGCCACATATTCTTTAAAAAAATCAAGAACCTTTTTAAAATGAAATAAAGTTTGAATCAAAATTAAAGACCCACAACATATATAAAGCTATTTCAACATATTTCCATATTTGTTTTAAATAATAGAAATAAAAAGAGTATTGCAAAACATCATATTTAAATATGACCCCTTAAGAAATAATTAAATGCCGAATTAACATAAAAAAGTAAAAATATATCTGAGGAACATGCTTGAGAAACATGCTTCTTTGAAAGAAAAGTCCAAGAGTTACCCCCCTTCTCATATGGATCTTCCTTTCTACCTACTAAATTGCATAGGCATAATAAGATAATAAAATTGGTGGGAGATGGAAAAATTGTTATTCCATGTTTGTGACATACTTGGTTGGTTGATCAATAAAACAAGCACTAAAAACCCCAACCTCAGTGATCCATCCATCACTTGTTGTTTTGTAAGGGGCTTGTTTCACTAAGTTATATGAGTGTTGAAGACTTTAAACATAGCTTGAATGTAGTTGTCCCATCAAGCAGGCCTCAAACATGGGAACCACCTATCTCCTTAATGTTTTTTCATGTTTTGCTTGGATAAAACTTGAGTTAGATGTTAATTTTTTTTCTAACCACAAAACTTTCCAAGGAGCCACATTCAAAATGAAAACATACTGAACCAGTTAAGAATCATGAACATCTTTGGAGTTATTTTTATGTAGTGAACACACTTTCATAATAATTTGAAAAAGAAATATTCAGGACCACACAAATATTCAGGTTCCCTAACATTTTTTGTTCAGGCTTCTGTTTCATGTTTAATCCTGAGTCTAGAAACATCATCAGAAGTCAAAACATTAAAGCCTGTTATCTTATGGTGAGTAAGGATAGGATTTATGGATGAACAACTTCTTTATTACAATCCATAAATCCTATCCTTCTTAGACCTCCAACTTCTAAATGCAAATCAAAGAAGTTATCTTATGCTGACGAAGCCTTGTTTTTGAAGATTAAAACTGAAAAATTTCATAAAACTGGGTCAAAATTGTCGTGAAAAAAATCCTGTACAGTATCCACGATGTTTGGTGTTTACAAAAATATTCTTCACATCAAGAGGTTTTGACTCGAGGTAGATACAAGGCAACTTCATGATTTGTCATAATTACAAACATATGATTTAAGTAAAATTTATAATGAATTACCGGGTAAGGAATACAGTTTAATGACACCTCAGCAGTTTCTAAATCACGGGTTACAATGGTCACTTGGTGTGGAGGATGTATCATCTGGTCCACAAACCAAATGTGATCATGTGACTTTCTTCTTGCTGGCTTTTGAGGTCTTGTTCTTGATTTGCTTCTTGAAGAAGTCCGCGTTTGACAGACACCTGTAGGCTAACACCTGGGGCACGAGGAACAAGGTCAGGTTGATGAGCCAGAACACCAGTCGGGCCGAGGAGTTCTGCGGAACGCGATGGATGTATGGTGTCCGGTTGTGAAGCGATGCTCCAATGTAAGAAAACTGACCCTGGAGAAGACAAAAAACATTCTAGGTTCCTGTTCCTGTCCACTGAGTAATCTTTGAACTATAGTTGCAGTAAATATGTGCTAAAATATGGCAGTAATGATCTTAGGACTATGGTTGTTGTAAATCTATGCTGAAGTATGGAGTAATGATCTCAACACTATAGTTGCAGTAAATATGTGCTAAAATATGGCAGTAATGATCTTAGGACTATGGTTGTTGTAAATCTATGCTGAAGTATGGAGTAATGATCTCAACACTACAGTTGCCGTTAATCTATGCTGAGGTATGGAGTAATGATCTCAACACTATAGTTGCCGTAAATCTATGCTGAATTATGGGAGTAATGATCTCAGCACTATAGTTGCCGTAAATCTATGCTGAAGTACATGCTGAATTATGGGAGTAATGATCTCAGCACTATAGCTGCCATAAATCTATGCTGAAGTACATGCTGAATTATGGGAGTAATGATCTCAGCACTATAGTTGCCGTAAATCTATGCTGAAGTACATGCTGAATTATGGGAGTAATGATCTCAGCACTATAGCTGCCATAAATCTATGCTGAAGTACATGCTGAATTATGGGAGTAATGATCTCAGCACTATAGTTGCCGTAAATCTATGCTGAAGTACATGCTGAATTATGGGAGTAATGATCTCAGCACTATAGCTGCCATAAATCTATGCTGGGCTAGGATTTCGATAAACTTACATTTACGCCAGCATCCATTCCCCTGGTTCTTGTGATGTTAAATTAACCTCCCTTGATTTTCATTACCATTTTACTGAGCAATTTTTTGCCAATAAACATAATCACGAGACAAACCACGTGTCCGGGTAGTCCTGTGGGTACCTGGGTCCTACTCAATACCGACCCTACCCGTGTACCCGAGTTACCCGTCCTAGCTCTAGTAGCATAGCAAATCAAATTGGCCAATGAAAATCAAGGGCTGGTAATTTGAAATCGGATAACAGCATGGAACGAATTGGGGACTCAGAGTAGGTTTACCGAAATGCCCAATCTCATTAAAATCAGATCTTAGAACAAAGATCCTTTAAACAAAGATTTGAGGACATCCAATTAGGGGTCACGTCTGAACAACCTTTCATCCGACCAATCAGAGCGTCGCTTACCAGATCATTCCAGAATGTTCTATTTTTCAGGTTTCAAATTTTTTATCGAGAAGTTGTCAAAATATGTTTTGAAGCGTAGTCGCCAATTTGAAATTAATGCCGTAAAGCATGAGAAAGCTGCCTTCTGATTGGCTAATGTCAACTTCTTGTTAGTCATTCCATTGGCCGGTCAAAGTTCGCACAAGGTTGGTCTGACGTGACCCATAATGGGATGTCCTCAGATCTTTGTTTAGCGGTAGCGAGAACTAAGATCTGCTTTTACTGGGATTGCCGAAATGCCAGACATGGAGACATGGAGGATGTGGTTGTGCTAATGCTAAGTGATGAGCTACTCATGGAACTTGAGTATCTGGCTGTCATCTAATACAGAAAGAGCACCAGTGACAGAACTATTTCTGGTAAAAAAAGAACAGTTGCAGGAACAATAGGGTTATGATTTGTTCTTGCAACTGTACCTTTATATCCCGATATTGCCCCACCATGTGTCCTCTATATGTTGCATTAACTGGTTGTGTGTGGGTGTTTGTCAGGGGAGATATCTCTGAGTACCTGTGCTGCTGCCCCAGCGTGAAGGAGGGACCAGTCAGACATCCACGCTTCTCCTGGATAGATGAGGCCGTAGATGGAGGCCCCGTAGTAGGGGAGGAAGTAAAACAGGTACACCATCATCTACACACAGAACAATGGCTGTCAGTCAGGGAGAGATAAATACATACAGAACAATGGCTGTCAGTCAGGGAGGGATATCTACATACAGAACAATGGCTGTCAGTCAGGCTGGGATATCTACATACAGAACAATGGCTGTCGGTCGAAAGGAATATTCTACACACAGACCATGCAGCCACAATAATTATATGTTAAAAACTGGATTCTATCAACAAGGAGTATAAAAATTCACACTTGCATCACTGACACAAGCTACAGTGGTAAGAAGAGTTGTGTCCCTTATATCACATCTTCCCGAGACAAGGGAGTTAACTGACTTTAAAAGTCCAGTTTCCATCCTTGCCGAAATAGGCTGGAATTCCTGGGCTCGATCGTAGCACCACCAGGGGTTATTATGAGTTATGTTCCTTCTAAGCCTCTCCTATGGACCAATCAGAATCCACCTCTCATATCACTTACATTTGTTTCAAACAAAATGGCGGCGCCCAGTCAAGATGATCTGATCGATAATCAAGATCTATAGTGTCATAAAACGGGTCTTTCATCACGAAATGCATCAAATGATATGAGCACCTTGATCAAAAACATGAAAAGGCTTAGAAAGTTTCTGTTGACAACGAGTTGGCGGTGCACATGCTTTACAAATCCTGCATTCGATCGAAATCTGCACAGCAGTTTACTAACCGCATTTCGATTTCATTGTGCGATTTTGACTGGACTATGCATAGACTCGTTAGTCCAGCCAAAATGTAACTCCATAATACCAGCCTAGTTTGGCAAGGGTGGAAACTGGACTTTTATAGTCAATTAACTCTCTTGCCTCAGGAAGATGCTTATATCACTACATTTTAGAGAAATGACATCAGAGTATTCATATTCAGTTTGTTTGTTTGTTTGTTGTTTAACGCCGCACTCAGCAATATTCCAGCTATAGGACGGCGGTCTGTAAATAATTGAGTCTGGACCTGACAACCCAATGATTGACATCATGAGCACTGATCTATGCAATAGAGATGTGATGACATGCGTCAACCAAGTCAGCGAGTCTGACCACCTTATCCTGTTAGTCGCCTCATACAACAAGAATAGTCACCAGTTACTACAAGCATGGGTTGCTGAAGACCTATTCTAACCAGATCTTCACAGGTGAGCAAACAGTCAAATCACTGGTCTAAGAATGTGCTCAGAAAGTCAAGTAAAGTCCCTAACCCTGAAGTAAAACAATTTCTAATTAATCACGAGGCCCCTCAGGATATAGTCTGGCGAAAACTGTTCCCTAACATTTGGCACCTGTAAGAACCTTCAACAAAGCCTGCAGCATGATACAAGCGACACAATCAGCATACCTGTACTTTCGGGTAGAGCGAGGGATCAGACATGTACGGCTCGACCTTCTCCAAGTAGTACTTGCCTATTGTCACATTGCCACCTGTGGCAGCCTGGAATACAACAGAAAATCTACCTCAAACTGTTTATGTAGAGTACAAACTTTAGTATGAATAAGAATTGATAATATCTTTTGTGTTCACAGGGGAATAAAGGTCAAATACAGGTGTGCATACTGCATAATTCCACATAGCAACATTACGAAATCAACGACATCGGTCAGAGCTGTAATGCCACACAAGGCCCACCCATGCTATTATCAACTAATCAAGAAACAGTTGTCAGTCAGAGGGTGGAGGCCTCACGTGTTTTTGGCTTATGGAAACAAATGCAAAAACAATTGCTTGGCTAGCCAATCAAATGAAACAGAATCACTTGCAATTTATTTATTATCCACACCCAATACTGATATTGATCTGATATGTTATTTCAGACTGCAGTGGGCGACAACTACCGGTATGCTAACCTGGAGCTAGAGAAAATAAGGACAAGTAAAAAAATCTTTGGACATTATGCAAGTTGATTAAATATTCTTGGAGATACTGATTTTATTTAACAAAGAATAAAGTTTGCCAGCAGAAAATCAATTATGCATAATTCATCTTTGAAATGCCCACAAAAGAAATAAGAAAAGAACTTTGTAAATATCCTGTTTACATGAAGTTTCATTGTTAGATGTTCAGGATTTCCTTGTGATTCTTTATGCATGAGAAGGAAATTCTGAAATTTAACAGACACACACACACATAGCAACAGAGACAGACACACAGAGACAGAGACAGAGACAGAGACAGAGACAGAGACAGAGACAGACACAGACACAGACACAGACACACACACACACACACACACACACACACGCAACTGCAATGCTCCCTGAGAGCAAAATCAATAATTTGGAAAGGAATGTTATGTGAATCAACCTACATAGATTTTTAAGAATTTTTACACAACACAGAAAACAAAATTGAATCGTTTTCTTATATCATTCAAAGCTCCAGATAACTTTTTGAGCAATTAAAAAATTGCTACATTGAAAAGATATTCGCTACAACTTTAAGCCAATCTTAGCTCTGAGATAGCTTCTTGAACAGGCCGCCTGTGTACTCACAATGAACCTGACGATGGCCAGAACTGAGGCTGCTGCGAGGTAGAGGATGAGGAACATGTCCATTGGTCGGCGCCAGATGCTTGGCGGCTCTGGTCTGCTGCTGGTCTCCTGCAAGAAAACACACACCAATTATTGATGATGGCTAAACTACTGCATGCTTCTGCTGCATTGTGTTATTGCATATTCTACCATGACTCAGGAAATTACCTGATTCTGACTGGTCAGTCAGAGGTATCAAATAAAAATAACCACCTGTGACTGAACCAGCGGATTTGACAACCCCATCACTGCAGAAGCTAATGTTATTAGAAAAGTACTTCTTTATCAGTAGTTGTCGGTAAGCATTTTTAAATAAGTATATGTACAATCATAGGTAATAAAATGAAGAGTTGCCATTGCTACAGTATTCAAAGTATGTGTGGCAATACATTTTGAGCAGGAAACACAAGAACTGTCAAGCGTGGGTTGCTGAAGACATATTCTAACCCGAATCTTCACAGGACGTTTCTTAACTACTACTGAGTCAAGCCTGTCTACAAGGTTTTTTCCCCCTCACCTCCTTCTCCTGGCTACAAGGTCTTTCCCCCTCACCTCCTCCTGTCTACAAGGTCTTTCCCCCTCACCTCCTTCTCCTGTCTACAAGGTCTTTCCCCCTCACCTCCTTCTCCTGTCTACAAGGTCTTTCCCCCTCACCTCCTTCTCCTGTCTACAAGGTCTTTCCCCCTCACCTCCTTCTCCTGTCTACAAGGTCTTTCCCCCTCATCTCCTTCTCCTGTCTACAAGGTCTTTCCCCCTCACTTCCTTCTCCTGTCTAAAAGGTCTTTCCCCCTCACCTCCTTCTCCTGTCTACAAGGTCTTTCCCCCTCACCTCCTTCTCCTGTCTACAAAGTCTTTCCCCCTCACCTCCTTCTCCTGCGGCCTTCCCCGGAGGAACTTGGCTCCGGCCAACACTGGGATGATGAGATACGGCAAGTTCAGCAGGCATGGCCATCGGATGCCATGCTCCCCTTTAACAAAGGGCAAGACATATCCATAACAACACATTCATCTGCAAATCAATAAGTTTCCTTGCATGTTAAATAATAATATAAAGAATAGATCTTTTGAAATTGTTTAGAAATGGTTATACTATGGTTATTGTTTATGTGTTCTGAACAAAGGACGAAGGGGCAAGCAATATATCCCAAATTTCTAATACTACTTTCAAAATTCAGGATTGAAACTGGGACTGCTTCCACAACAGTGGGACAGTGGGTTAATAAACAGATAACATGAAATCTTATCCTAAACTAATTTTGAGGGGAGTAACCTTGAATGTGAAATGGTGTCATAATACTACGAAAAGTACTATTTTCAATGCTTATGAGTTAATGAATACAGAAAAGTTGGACAAGTTGTGAGGCTTGTTGAGATCTCCTACCCATCAGGATGCCAGGCATGAAGACAAACATGCTGTGACCGATCGACCCCGCCCAGTACAGGCCCACCTCTCTGTAGCTCTGACTGAAACAATGGAGTAACATTGATGAAACATCACACCTCTCTGTAGCTCTGACTGAAACAATGGAGTAACACTGATGAAACATCCCACCTCCCTGTAGCTCTGACTGAAACAATGAAGCAACACTGATGAAACATCACACCTCTCTGTAGCTCTGACTGAAACAATGGTGTAACATTGAGGAAACATCACCTCCCTGTAGCTCTGACTGAAACAATGAGTAACACTGATGAAACATCACACCTCTCTGTAGCTCTGACTGAAACAATGGTGTAACACTGATGAAACATCACACCTTCCTGTAGCTCTGACTGAAACAATGGAGTAACATTGATGAAACATCACACTTCCCTGTAGCTCTGACTGAAACAATGGAGTAACACTGATGAAACACCTGTAGCTCTGACTGATACAATGGAGTAACACTGATGAAACACCTGTAGCTCTGACTGATACAATGGAGTAACACTGATGAAACACCTGTAGCTCTGACTGATACAATGGAGTAACACTGATGAAACACCTGTAGCTCTGACTGATACAATGGAGTAACACTGATGAAACACCTGTAGCTCTGACTGATACAATGGAGTAACACTGATGAAACACCTGTAGCTCTGACTGATACAATTGAGTAACACTGATGAAACACCTGTAGCTCTGACTGATACAATGGTGTAACACTGATGAAACACCTGTAGCTCTGACTGATACAATGGAGTAACACTGATGAAACACCTGTAGCTCTGACTGATACAATGGAGTAACACTGATGAAACACCTGTAGCTCTGACTGATACAATGGTGTAACACTGATGAAACACCTGTAGCTCTGACTGAAACAATGGAGTAACTCTGATGAAACACCTGTAGCTCTGACTGATACAATGGAGTAACACTGATGAAACACCTGTAGCTCTGACTGATACAATGGAGTAACACTGATGAAACATCCCACCTCCCTGTAGCTCTGACTGATACAATGGAGTAACACTGATGAAACATCACACCTCCCTGTAGCTCTGACTGAAACAATGAGTAACACTGATGAAACATCAAACCTCCCTGTAGCTCTGACTGAAACAATGGAGTAACACTGATGAAACACCACACCTCCCTGTAGCTCTGACTGAAACAATGGTGTAACACTGATGAAACATCAGACCTCCCTGTAGCTCTGACTGAAACAATGGAGTAACACTGATGAAACATCTGTAGCTCTGACTGATACAATGGAGTAACACTGATGAAACACTTGTAGCTCTGACTGATACAATGGTGTAACACTGATGAAACACCTGTAGCTCAGACTGATACAATGGAGTAACACTGATGAAACATCACACCTCTCTGTAGCTCTGACTGAAACAATGAGTAACACTGATGAAACATCACACCTTCCTGTAGCTCTGACTGAAACAATGGAGCAACACTGATGAAACATCACACCTCCCTGTAGCTCTGACTGAAACAATGAAGTAACACTGATGAAACATCACACCTCCCTGTAGCTCTGACTGAAACAATGAGTAACACTGATGAAACATCACACCTCTCTGTAGCTCTGACTGAAACAATGGAGTAACACTGATGAAACACCTGTAGCTCTGACTGAAACAATGGAGTAACACTGATGAAACATCACACCTCCCTGTAGCTTAGACTGAAACAATGGAGTAACACTGATGAAACAACACACCTCCCTGTAGCTCTGACTGAAACAATGGAGTAACACTGATGAAACACCTGTAGCTCTGACTGAAACAATGGAGTAACACTGATGAAACGCCTGTAGCTCTGACTGAAACAATGGAGTAACACTGATGAAACATCACACCTCCCTGTAGCTCTGACTGAAACAATGGAGTAACACTGATGAAACATCACACCTCCCTGTAGCTCTGACTGAAACAATGGAGTAACACTGATGAAACATCATGGCTGCAGTGAACATAAACTTAAACTGGACGGAAGCCAGCATGTACTGGTATGTCCACTGTAGCAACATATCTCTTCATCTTGTTTATGATAAATAATTTTTAATAAAAGAATGATACAAGTGACAAGCTCCTCACAGAGATGGCCTGTACGCAGAGCTCTGTATACCATCACTGCCACCAGTCACAGCTCCCCACTGTGCTAGGTGCCTACAACCATGCATGGAGTTGAGCACACAACCATCTGATGTTAAGGTTTACAAACAAAAATTTCTATTTCATTTCAACTATCATATAATTGGTACAGTGAGAATGTAAGGGGGTAGTTGGGTGCGTTTCCATTGGTCAGCAATCTTGAAACAATCTGATAAAATTTAAACAAACATCAGCTGGGAAATAAAAACTTAGTCATAAAACTATTCCCAATTCACTAGAATGGCATTCCCAAAGATATATACGGTACACATGTAAAAAGTCACCAAAGATGGGTTAGATCGAAAGATTTCAAGATTCTTGTAATCCACAAATCCATGTTCCTAAAAAAAATCTTTGTTTACCATGTTTACAGTTAACTTTGCTTGTGATGTTAAATTTAGTTACAATGTCCCAACATGGCCATCCTTTTCCATTAGGAACTTATACAACCCATGCCATTGGCACAGTAACACAAGGAACATCCAACTCTGCCAAGTGATCAAACTGAAATGTCATGTGCCCACCCCCAGGACTGGGCAGCCAGGATGGTGAGGTACATGGCGTAGTGGGCAACGCCGTCCCAGTAGGCGATCATAGTCCCATAGGCAGTCTTCAGGTATGGCTCCCCCTCTCGCAGATAGAAGGCCATGAAGTCACCAATGATGCCATCATTCTCCAGCGCAATGACGAGGTCAATCACAGAACTGAACGTGAAGATGCTGAGGACTGCAACAGACAGACACATGCTGTCACATACAAAAGATTTATTACCACGTGATGAGTTTGGTTTAAACGCTGCTTTAAACAGTGTGTGAGTGAGTGAGTGAGTGAGTGAGTATAGTTTTATGCCGATTTTAGCAATATTCCAGCAATATCATGGCGGGGGACACCAGAAATGGGCTTCACACATTGTACCCATGTCAGGAATCGCACCCGGGTCTTCGGCGTGACGAGCAAACGCTTTAACCACTAGGCTACCCGACCGCCCCTGCTTTAAACAGTATTTTTGTTTATCAGCTTAGTGTTGGGGGAAAGCTGCAGGGACGCAACTCTGCATAAAGAATTGTGGCCAAGTATGCAGTAAAGGCATGCTTGGAAAATATGAGTGAACAAAGATGCAAAAACTTGTAAGGATATTTCACATTTTATACTTGAACATGTGTGGAGTCGATTCAACTAACTTCCCGTAATATGACAACAGCACATTATATTTAAGTCATTTCTGTCGAGAAAACTATCCTGTTCTTCCTCACAGTCCTATCAATAACCATACTGACAATATCTTCATCTCTACTGTTATGGCTGCCATCTTCATCACCTCCCCACCAATCATCCTAATGACACTTCTCTTCAGCAGGTTAGGATGTTTGCTGGTAGTTTTGTGTGTTCACTGCTCAACTCGGCCATGAACTGGGAGTGCTTTACAACATATTTAATGTCATACTATCCCCAATGTGAAGCGATACAGCCAAGAAATGTAGACTATAAGCATATGGCATTGTATGTCAAACAAGAATGAATTAATTCCCAACCATGTTTCTCAAAGAATAATTGAATGGGAAAAGCACTGCAACATTCTTTAAACAATGACAACTGCATTGTAACCTTGTTGCTTGAGATCATCGCATTGTACGGAAAGCACATATCTGCGGTTGTCATGGCCCCCCATCTCTGCATCGTTAATATAGTGAGTGAGCATGGTTTTACACCACGTTTAGCAATATTCCAGCAATATCATGGCAGGGGACACCAGAAATGGGCGTCACACATTGTACCCATGTGGGGAATTTAACCCGGGTCTTCCATGTGACGAGCGAACACTTTAACTATGCCATCACCCCATAAGGTTTTTGTAAGTGTTATCTTCATGTTAGAAAAGTCTGACAGTGTGCTCTGTAGCATTTACAGCAATGTGCACTGTAGGATGTAACAAGGACGGGACATTGTCATACAATGATATCCTACATACTGCTGTAGAGTAGACATGTTTATTCTAGCAATACCTTTAGGTTTGGTTTCATGTTCACTTACTTAATGCCTTAGATCCCACAGTGCAAGGTAATGAACATGATAAATGTCATGCTTTGGTACAGGGTCTGTGTTTTCATACCAAGTGGAACATGTACAAAGTTGAAATTGTTGTTGAATGCTAATGAAATTATATTGGTGCACTTTACACTTTTTTTTATTTCAATTAGCACTGCATGGAGCATCGAACTCACGTTGCAGCTTGTAGCTAAGTGAGTTAATCTGATTAAAAAACCCTTAACACAAGACCATGGGTGCTGGTTCACCAAGTCATCAGCCCCCGAATGTTTATCATAATGCCCATGTGTAGCAGAGATTTTCTCAGTGGACAAGTGACAAATCTGACAAAACTAACTGCAATCATGCAAACGTAGTAACATCTAAACAATTTTTACATTAGAATACTTATCCTGCATTACTACCTTAATGCTTTTACTGCTATTTTTATTTTATATATATTTATTTAAAAAGAGAGCTTCCACAGCTTTTACAGATTGCAGGAACATGAACTGCATCCAGGAAACCCAGGCAGGTTCCAGATACGGTGCTAGGAAGGAGCCAAAACCAGGAGGCATCAGAGGCACCAGCGCCAGATGTGCTGGCACTGGCAGCGCACCAGGTGCTGTTAATCAAGAGTTAACCATGGCGGCAGACACAATGGGTGTGAGCGCTGATGTAGACAACCGTGGGGATGAGAGCGCTGCTCTAGTAGCAAAGACTGTTGAGTGGTAGGGGGTAGAAAGACCTGAGTCAATGGGATCTGCGACCTCAAGTGTCGGGGATGTCTCAACTGGGAGTTTATTCTCAAACATTTTACAGTGCTACGACTAGCAGTAATGTGATTATACGTGACAGCTGTGCATGGGTAGGAGCCACACCACAGTTGGAACAACTTCTTCTGCAACCTGGACCTCTCACAGCTCCGTCAGGAAAACTTACCTACCAGTAAATATACAAGCTTGATTGACTAGAAACGAAATGGATGCTGAAGATAACTTAACAGCACTTTCAAATCTTGACTGCCCATGTGATGAACTGTCGGGTCGGGTGCTGATAACTCACTTCATCCCTGTGATTGGTGGACAAGACAATGATGTCACAGAGGTCATCAATAGCGACCATACCAAGAATGAGTTTGGTAGTTTTAAAACTAATGTCGCTGCCATTTGTACTTCGGTTTTAGAGCAAACCTGTTGTGTAATCATGTGTGATTAGGATGGCATCTATCCAGACTTCGCTGTTTAAGCTGCCATAGCCCTCACTGTTCCTGCCAGCAGTGTACCAGCTGAATTAGACTACAGAACAGTGTTCATGTTGCTAGTCACAATCGCCTCAGTCAACATCGTCAAGGACGCCTGAACTATTTGATGGAACTGAAAAGGCACCGTGATGAGCCCATTGCTAATACACCTGTTGCATGTCAACTCCTCCAAATAAAAAACAAAACTCTGAATCAACAAGGTACAATGTTTTAATTTCACTTTCAATATAAAGTGATAATGGGGTACGGCAAATTGTTGCCAAGACTGGTATTTCGTATGCAACTGAAAATCCTGACATTTGTTATACACAGTGTTACAGTCACTCAAACAAGATGAAGCGGGGTAACTTTGATCTCTCAACCTTAATTCATACCGGATATTAATGTCATTTTTTATGGTAGTATTTATCTACAGAAACAGGAGAGCTTTGGAATATATTTTGATCAACTAAGAGGTATGCATAAATACCACCGTTAAAATGTCAATAGCCAGTCAGTCTTGGGACATTTCAGAATCGCAAGCTCGACCAAAAGTTTATAAGCCATGCACGGACCAGCGGGCAGGCGGCTATTTCTCACACTGATCAGAACTAACTCTAAGGATCTAAGAGGCACGCGAGATTTGTGATTGTGAAGTGAGAGCGACAGCCTGAGCCATTTAGTACAATATAAGTCGGGCCAGGTAAACTAGATTTGTTGCCCAAATTATTACTGCTCCACAAACGGATCTTAACACAGAAATAAATGAGTTATTTGAAAGCTAAAGTGATTTTTCCCCTGCAAAACTCTCCAGTTGACATAAAGTAACTGAGTGGTGACACATGTGACACATCCTTACTTAGCCTACTTCAGTGTAAAATGGGCTATGTAGCATATAGTCTAGATCTAGAACATAATGCTTCCTTACCATAGAAGAAGGAATCGGTTTTCTGTGGTCGGTACTTGACAGTGAGGTATGGGATGAGCGTCACAAATACCAAAACCAGAACTCCACAAAGAAGTATAAGCCGGGGGTCTGTCATTGAAGACGCCTTGTTCAGCATGTACGAAATTGGGATTGCTGTCAGTGAGGAAAAGAAAACAGCAGTTGGGCCAGAGACACCCATTTTGACGTTTTTTGCAAAACACAACCTTTGGGTGACAGTACCACTCGAACGATTTGTAACAATGCCTGTGTCTGTCCCGTAAGGCGGTCACATGCTCTTTTAGTTATCGCAATAACAGCGATAACTGCCCTGACAACACAAGTGTGGCGAGTTATCTTGTGTTTGTGAGTTCTGGAAGTAGTGAAAAGTTCAGTTTATCTCCCTTGGATGCATTACACGCGAGTGCGTTTAGCTGCACTGATCTAGGTGCCGGAAGAACACGAATACTGATGACGTCATCCATAGTTACCATGGTAATGATTAAATGCTACGAGAATCAGGCAATAATTTGTTCTGCCGTGGAAGGTGTATTGATATATAGTCCCAAGCTGCATTCTTATATTACATAAATCACATCTAAATCGCTTAAATGTAATGACGTCATCACAATCTGTCATGCCGTTCAACGATGCACCCAATCAACAGAGGGCGCTGGCATAACCAGTCTTTGTACCAGGCTTGACGGAAATAGCCGAACTTAAGGCTTGCGATCCACCTAAGCTGGGCCCCGTCTCTCATATCTCAAATTGACGAAGCGCCCAGGGAGCCGGGAACCAGCTTAGCGACCGACCGGGCTTTCATTTTTAACTGGTTTCACTATTGATGTGCGCAAATACCTTGTTAAATTTTATTCAATAACGGATAGACAGAAGCCCAGTCACGTCTCTCCACAAGTACTGTTTCCTGTTTATCCAAGGACAAGAGCACACGCTTGTTTCAGACAGCGCATAAGTATTTGGCATGGTTTATTGCAATATTAGGTAACTATGTCCATAAAGTGATATAGAACAGGCTTCGCATGGAAGGAATTAAATTATTCGGGCAAATTATTTTTCGTTTTGAATAAACAGAGCTATATTTTTGTGTCAGATAAACTGTGATAATGGACAGCTCAAAAGCCTCGGTTTAATAATAATAATCACTACTCTGAGAGTCGCTGAGGCCTGGCCCTGTTTCTTGGGACATATATTTGTGGATGTAGAGTATTCACTTATTTCTTGATTGATCAAGAATGCTTTCATTGACCAGGCCCAGCTGATCTAACTTCCTGCCACTGCAAATATGTCTGAGACTAGCTGTTTTTTAAGAATACTTCTAATTACTGTCATCACTGCATGTTGAGAGACCATATACCAATATGGAAGACGATTCCAAAAGAACTAATTTGGCTCACTGTTCCCCATACCTCAAAGTAGATTGTCACGAGAATCTCCAGAAAATCAAACCTTAACTCTGATTTGCCTTCTCCCTCTATATGAAGAACTGATTTCTGATGTGTTCAGCAATAGTCACTCGCTCCATTAAGAACTGACCAACTCTCTGTAAGAGGTCATGTCCCATGAACTTTCAAATTAGCATGCCTGGGAGGCTTCTAAATTCCAGACTAGCGGGGTCGAGTGGTCAGGCCTCGCTGACTTGGTTGATGCATGTCATCGATTCCAATTGCGTGGATCAATGCTCATGATGTCAATCACTGGATTGTCTGGTCCAGACTCGATTATTTTACAGACCGCCGTCATATAGCTGGAATATTGCTGAGTGCGGCATTAAACAACAAACAAACAAACAAACAAAACAATCTAAATTCCAGGAACAAGTCAGCGAGACATATGGAGCATGCATACCCTGTTGCAGTCCCTCGAAAATGAAATACAACTTACAGTTCTGAATGGAAAATAATAGCCACCCTACAGGGTTTAGTATCAAGGGAATATTTGTGTTTTGTGAATGAGAGGGGAAGGGAGCCCTTTTATTCAGACTAAATTCCAGACAGAAATAAACCATTTAGAAACAGGGACTGATTGTGCTGACAAATTGAAGACTAGTTGAGCCCAGTTGTTATAGAAAGTTGACCTATGATTGATGATGCAAGAAACCTATCATCATGAATCCCACAGTAAAACCCTGATCAAGTGTCTTGTGTGCACCATGCCTGTACTCGTGGTTTCCTCACTGTGGTAAACGTCTTAGACCTGCATCACATTGGCTCTTCTTCCACATCAAACAGACACACTGAAAAATGACTGAAATTCTGTTCAAAGCTATGTTTAACCAAACTCACTCCCAAATTCATCCCAAACAGAATAACATGTTGCAAAAAGGGAAATTATCTCATTTCACAAAGGCCATTTTAACTTACTTTTACGGTTGCCAAGACCCAGAGTTACTACAAGTCAATGAATTTGAATATGTAGATGACAGAAAACATTTTTAAAGCTCCTGAGGCATGTGTTAACAGTGTTTCAAATCAACATGATTGAGGAAGTTGCTCGGGTCATTGAGGTTAGCGGGATCACAGGTGGCCCAGGTGTCTAAGGCGCTGCGATTCGCTGTACAGAATTGTGTCTCTTTGGCACGCCAGAAACCTATGATTGTGGGTTCCAATCCCGCTTTGCCCCCTTTATGTTTCTAGGTTTGTCAACAAAATACCCGTACTTGTGGGTTTCACCGAAGTGGTAAACGTCTGAGACCTGCATCAATTCGGGCTTTCCTCCCACATTAAGCTGACACACCGTGATATAACTTGAATACTGTTAAAGCAGCGTTAAAACCCAACCCACTCACTCATTGAGGTTAGCTGTTGTTGGAATCTAAGATTTAAACATGAATGGGATTGGGTGGTCATGCATGCAGACGTGGTTGATGAATGTCATCATTTCCAAATAGTGAGATTAATGCCCATGAAGTCAATCACTACATTGTCTGGTCCAAACTCGATTATTTACAGACAGCCTTCATATAGCTGGATTATTGCTGAGTGCATCGTTTTTTTTAATTTGTGATGAGGTGTATAAGAAAATGTGAGGTGAAATGGGGTTAAACTTTGCATTCAAGATTATTGCACTTACATAGTAACATGCTTGTGTGTCTGTCTGTGTGCTTGCTTGTACTAGTCCAACTAATGCAAACTTTATGGTGCTGGCCCACTGAAATACTATGCCACAGTTTAACATGGATACACTACTCTGACATGTGCCATGTCTATACTGACTCCAAGTCAACCAGTCCTTGTTTTATCCCCTGAATGTCAAGCTCCAGACAGGGAAACAACAAGTACCATCTTATGCTTTTTGGTATGATGTTGCTAAGGATCGAACCCCTGGACAGACCTCCAAATAACTTTTTGAGCAATTGAGTTTTTACTCCAGGGTTTCTATTTTAATTGGGTTATTACATTTTTCATTGGGTAACCAATATTTCTTCTCTCAAGAATAGGGGCCTGTGAAGTTCAGCTGTGTTTTCATATTGCAGGTGGTGAGCATAAAGGAAACCAGCTGCAGGGCATCTCTCACAATGAGGCTCACTGTGGTTGCATGTAACTATTTCAAGAAGTATGTACAGCGAGAGATTGCGAAAGCAACCGGTGTAACAGTTAGAAAACCTTTCCAGGGTTTTCGAGACATTCGTAAAAAGAAATGGTATTATGATGAAAACCGACCATGGACATCTGCAGCCAAAGAAACTAACATATCTCTCAGACGTCCTCCACATGTCGTAGTACAACCCATATCCAAAAAGGACTGGACACTTTTCAAAGGAGACAGGGTGAGTAACAATATTAGTTTTTATGGATTAGTTGTTAATGTAACATAACTGGATATTACTCCGGTATAGAATGTCTCCTGTAGTCTTACTTGTCCTAAGAGGCGTTGTAATGGATGGGGTGGTCCGGATCGTACACTGACTTAGGATGTTGCTCGTCATGTCAACCACTGGTTTGTCTGACCCAGACTTGTTTAATCACAGGCCACCATGACACAGCTGCAGTACCGCAGACTGAGGTGTTAAACAACAAATAAATACCGTATTCGATAAGTGCCCAGGGCTCTCTCAAAATTAGAAATAGGGGGTGCTTATTAGAATATTATTTTGGTGAAAAAAAACCAATTGTAAGATCGTAAATTTTGTCTTTAGGCGTACACAGAAAACGATCGCTTCAGTATTTTACCCCTTGACGTGGGTACTTATTAGAGAGGGGCGCTTATTACGTCGAATATGGTAAACATTGTTTTCCATGGCTATGATTGAAGGGAAGAGAAAATCTGCCCCTAATTTCTTGGCTTGTCATTACCTGGACAGTGTTATAATTAATTGTAATACAAAGTCTGTCTGTGCAAGACTCAATTATATACAGGCCCCTGGATATAGGTGGAATGTCACTGACTGTGGCGTAAAACAACAAACAGGATACAACCAGATAAAAGAGAAACAAGTAGCCCTGCAGCGTGTGCAGGTTTCCCCCGGCCTCAGGACCAGGGGTTTTATGGCTGTGTCTGGCCTAGATCCTGTTGTGTAGTTGCGTGACTGAGCAAAGTTAATGTACATGCCGTATTCGACGTAATAAGTGCCCACAACGATATTTGCTAATAAATTGGCCAGTGAACAATCCTAATTAGCGCCCCTTCCGATTGATCAATGTACACAAGACTTATTTATTTGTGTAAAATACACACTCATGTGTTATATGCACCCTTAATTATGGGCAATTAAATTCTGGACAAATATATCTGTCGTACATAAACAGTTCAGGCTGTCAGCATAAACCACGAAATTGATCTTTTAACTCTTTTTTCACTAAAATAATATTCTAATAAGAGCCCCCTATTTCTAATTTTGAGAGCGCCCTGGGCGCTTATTACATCGAATACGGTAGTACATGTACAAAAGCGTGTGTCCAGACATGAATCATTTCCACAAGACTGACAAGAGAGGATCAAGTGCAAGGATTAAAGTACAAGCATCAAGTACAAGAAGACAGTGATCCCTCCCCTTCCTGACTTTCGCCTTCATCATCAGTTCCTGACAACAGCATCACTCACTCACTCATATCAGTACTAACACTATTGACCTGATGTTGGATGGATGCATGTCTTCCACTTCCTCATCTCTTCTTATATACTACTCAAAAGAAGTTAAGGTTCACCCGATTCTTTCATATTGGTAATGTTAATCTGTCATGGCATCAGAGATTAACTATTGTAATATGAAAGAATAAGGTGATCCTTAACTTCTTTTGAGTAGTATACTTTTCAGCTTTCTAATGTTCCCAATAGACAGTACTTTGTTATTGTGACAAGGAATAAAGACTTGATCAATGTTGATTGGGTTGAATGGACCTGACTCTGGAAGACCATCATGTGATTCCCAGAAGTTAGGTCTGAGGATGTTTTCAATTGTTAGTGCACACTATACACAAGAAAATGTGGTACAAGTAATTACTGTTTTGGGATAACTCATGATCTGCAGGTATTTTTGTACTCCAAACCTACTCAAACTGACCATACTGACAGAAGGTTGATGTGACCATTGTAACTCCTAGCATGGCAATATTGTGGATATCCGAGTTAAATTATCAGTCTGTAACTTCGTAATGTACTGTATTGCTTTTGATTGCTCTACAATTGTACGATTGGTAGGAATTTAAAAACACCAATGATATGGCTGATAGTATGCACAACAATAAATATTTTAATAGGTGCAATATTAGTTATAAATAAAACTAAATAGCAGAAAACTCAGGTTTTACCATCAAATTTCATACCTGATATATGTTGATAAGCAAGGATTATGACAATTTCATATTAGAGTTACTTCCCTTTGTCTTATGGCAATGCCATTGCCCACATGGCTAGAAAGATGGAGTGTAAAATAATTTTTAATATTGATTCTTGATGCTGGTGAGTTAAAGCAATTTATCATCCAAAACTTACCAGGCTCCCACGGGAGATATAGCTTGGTTGAGATCAAGAGATATCTACATTGTAGATATTGCTGCAATGAAATTGCATCACAATGCTTTGCTGACCATTAGACATCATTGGTTACCATGACGTCACAATCAATTGACATGACTAATGGCTCTGCTACTGAAGCTGTTAGCAGTACTTTTTACGCTAAAGACACTGCTTATTACTGTCTACAAACTGAAAAAATTGGAAGAATGATGTTGGATGATAAAAAAAATCTCTCCCTCGTGTCTTTTGATATGAAATATATGAACACAAGTTGATAAAAGTGGAAAAACTCCTTAGCAAGCCTCAACTCGTGTTGATATATTTCATATCAAAAGACACTTGGGTGAGATTCTCTTTGTGACATCAAATCACTTAATTGTTGAGAACAATATGCAGGGCTTGATTTAATGAGCTTGATTTAGCTTGCATCAGGTGCATGTTGACATGAAAACATAGTTGCATCAGACAAAACCAGGTTGCACCCAAAAATATTTCTAAATAATAAAATCTCAGATCTCATGACTTTTAGTATGTTAGTACTGTTGCTGTACTTATGAGGCAATGTCATCAATGGCAGCCCTCATATATCATATACTGTTGCTGTACTTATGAGGCAATGTCATCAATGGCAGCCCTCATATATCATATACTGTTGCTGTACTTATGAGGCAATGTCATCAATGGCAGCCCTCATATATCATATACTGTTGCTGTACTTATGAGGCAATGTCATCAATGGAAGCCCTCATATATCATATACTGTTGCTGTACTTATGAGGCAATGTCATCAATGGCAGCCCTCATATACTGCATAGTGATTATCATTAGTTGGATAATCTAAATATCAGGGATAGATGAAGCTACATTACTGTATATATAATCTTGATGTACTCACAGTTTGATGATGTCAAGCTCAAGAAAGCATGACAATTTACACAGAACACAGGGATTAGTGATGTAGTATGTGAATAAAGCCAAGAGGTAATGATAGTGTTCAAAGACTGTTGTTGTGTGGACAAGTAAGGGTCAGCCAAGACACAAATTGCGAAGATCTTTTACATGCATTTGGTGCATGCAGACATCAATATTAAGTTGCATTTTTCAATAATAGGTTGCACTGGTGCATGTTATAGATGGCTAAATCGAGCCCTGAATACAATATTACATTATCCATTATTCGTTATGTCACAGATGATAACATTTCATCTTAACAGTCGCTTGACTTCAGTGAGGTTTCTTTATGGCGTTGACATAAAAACATTATTCTTTTCTATTTTTTAAAATTGACAATGAGTAATATATCATAATATATAGGATAACATACTTGAAAATATTGATTATCTGTCATGAAAGTGTAATGCTGTAAGTCAGTCACCAACAGTTAGAAACCCCTGAAGATCTGGGATAGAATCATCTTCCCGAGGCAAGAAAGTTAACTGACTATAAAAGTCCAGTTTCCACCCTTGCCGAACTAGGCTGGGATTATGGAGTTAGATTTGAGTCTATGCATAGTCCAATCAAAATCGCGCACCGAAATCGAAATCCAGTTCGTAAACTGTCATGCAGAGTTCGGTCGATTGCAGGATTTGCAAACTCGTTGTCAACAGATATTTTCCAAATCTTTTCATGTTTTTAATCAAGGTGCTCAAGTGATTTGATGTACTTCGCGAAGTAAGAATCGTTTTATCACCAAATAGATCTTGATGGTAGATCAGATCGTCTTGACTGGGCGCCACCATTTTGTTTGAAGCAAATGCATGTAATACGAGGGGTGGAATCTGATTGGTCCATATGGGAGAGGCATAGAATGGACATAACTCGTAATAGCCACTGGTGGCGCTTTGATCGAGCCCAGGAATTCCAGCCTAGTTCGGCAAGGGTTGAAACTGGACTTTTAAAGTCACTTAATGCTCTTGCCTCGGGAAGATGGGGTAGAATAGGTCTTCAGCAACCCAGGCTTTGTCGTAAAAGGCGACTATGCTTGTCGAAAGAGGCAACTAACAAGATCGTGTGGTCAGGCTTGCTGACTTGTTTCATGCAGGTCATCATATCCCAATTGCGTAGATCAATGCTCAGGATGTCAATCACTGGACTGTCTGGTCCAGACTCTATTATTTACAGAATGACGTCATATAGCTGGAATATTGCTGAGTGTGGCGTTAGAGGCCTTCACCATGTATTCACTTTTAGAGATAATTTCTTGTAAATCTCTTGAAGATTACTGATTCATCTCAAACTGTGTCACAGTCATTCCCATATTCAATTAAATGAATACAGACATTTCTTGTAGTCTTGTGTGTCCTAATTTCTCTTGGCAATGATCACATAGGCAATGTGCATCATGCATATGGGCGGGTGGTTGTTAGAGTTGACTCCTAGCACCCATTGCTTTTCATTAGCGGTTACTAATTATTATCGGGTGGTCAGGCTCGGTGATTGGTTACGTATATGCTCATAACCGCTCACAATATCAACCCCTGGTTTGTCCAGCTCAGGCTTAGGTATTTACAGGCTACTGTGATGTACATCGATCCCAATTGCGTGGATCGATGCTCATGATAATAATCACTGGATCGTCTGGTCCAGACTCGATTATTTACAGACCGCCGTCATATAGCTGGAATATTGCTGAGTGCGGCGTTAAACAACAAACCAACCAACCAACCAACTGTGATGTAAATATGAAGTGACAAGATGAATAAATGTTTACCAAGAGATGAGAGATTGCTTAAACACCAACATTTCACGTTTAATTGCAAAGATGCATAAGGACATCAAGAGAGCCATATGGAAAGAAATTGCAATGAATCA